AACAACCACTCTCCTGGCTGAAATCTTATCTCTCTGGGCGTTATCAGTACGTGACTGTGCTTGGCACATCCTCGGCTGCAGAGCCAGTATTGTCGGGCGTTCCTCAAGGATCAATTCTTGGTCCCCTACTATTTATAATTTACGTAAACGACTTACCTGCAGTCTTCCCTGGAACGTCTCTGTTTGCTGACGACACGACCCTTCTCACCTCATCAGCTTCCCTCACTGGCCTGAAAAACAACTTGCGTGCTGGCATTCAGGAAGTTCTTTCCTGGATGTCGTCCTGGAGGTTGTCCCCAAATCTATCAAAAACAAAGATCATGCTCTTCCCGCCCCAGCCGGAGTTCACAACCCTCATCCATGCCAACTTTCCAAATCCAATTGACATAGTGTCTTCTCACAAACACCTTGGCATTGTGATTGACTCTGCACTCTCTTGGGTACCTCACATCGAATATATCTGTAAAAAATCAAGTAAATCCTTAGGAATTCTCTCCCCCCACTGCTCCTACCTCCCACTTTCTTGCAAGCTTCTTTTATATTTAGCCTACCTTCGCCCAATATTTCATTATGCAGATACGTCTTGGGTTGGGTTATCCTCTTCCGCTGCTGCAAAGCTTGAAATACATCACAAGAAAATCCTTAAAATTCTCCTCCGTCAACCCCGCATGCTCTCATCATCCGCCCTTTATAAAATCGCTCACACAACCCCGTTATCACATGGACGCAGTGCACACCTGGCTTCTCTTGTCCATTCTATTAAGCTTGAGTTGTGCCCACCTCATCTCATGTGTTTTAATTGGTTCTCTTCTCTAAGAACTAGAAACTCGCTCTTACTCCCTAAGTGTAACTCATCCACTCTTTTGCGCTCCCCTCTCTTTATTGCTTATTCTGTTTGGCTCACTCTACCCAGAGAAGTTAAGGACCTGACCTCACTCCGCCTGTTTAAGATCCGTGCCGCCCCTTATTTACTACGACATGCATAGCTCATTATCCACATGTCCTTTGCGTCTCTGTGTTTTTCACTGTTTTTATTTGACATTATCTTTCTTTACGGAGTTGTTGTTGCTGTTCGTTTTGCTACTCTTTCTTTTTCCCTCCCCTTATTTCTATTTATCGCCGTGGTTGGCAATTACCCACTCTCGTAATATTGGCCGGTGTTTCCGCCGAGTCTTGAGATGTTGCAATAAATAAAAAAATAAAAAAGACGACATCACCGGAACACTCTTCCTCCAAACTGTCGTCAGGCACAATCTGCTGGTACTTTTGCTCACCTCACAAAGATTCACCTAGGGTTCCCTGTAACAAGGCCATGCCTGTTGGGACTCCCCTAGTGAAATAATAAATACTACTACTACTACTACATCAGGAGTAGTCTCCTAACCCCCTAGCATAATGAGGGTCAGAACCGGGTGCGATACCCATATGGTTCAAATGGTCCGCAGGGACCGGGGCTCTGCCAACCGCGGAAGGTTGTAGTAAGGTCACTGTTTCCGAACACGGTGTCCTCCACCTTGTTTCATTCTGTCAATCTAACAATTGCGTGAACTACCGTACTGGCAATATATCTTGCCGCAGTGAGGTCATGAAGCGTTACATTGGCACATGTTTGCCGCACGCAGGGCGTCACATGCAAAGTCGCACAGGAGCCGTTACACAGGTTTCTATATTGCCGCAGTCCTTTTTTTTTGCCACGCGGTACACGTGCTTTCACAGTTTTCAGCCTTTGCAGTGCAAACTGCAATGAAAAGATCGCCGCACCCCGCCTGACGCGCGTTACGAACGCAACGAAAATTTGTCGCACTAGCCTGGTCGCGCGTTACGCCGCACCCCCCTGCGTTACGCGTTACGCGGCAACATATATTGCCAGTACGGTATAACAAGGTTTATCTAATACTGGTTTTTAACCAGTGTTAGGTTATATCATCATTTATCATGTATATACATGTACATGTACATGTACATGTATATACTTAGGTAAACAGCAGCAAGTTCAACTTTTACTTCAAGTCAATAATCCAGTCACTGATACCGCTCGTGCACGCTAAGCCGGTACCCGGGCCTCTACCACTGCCAGCGCAGCAGAGGTATCACCAGGGCGTCGTCAAATAGTATTTGACGACTGAGTCCCTGGGTATCACCCAAAGCCAAGGCAGACTGTAGTGGGTAGTAGGCGTTGAGATCAGTATCAAGAGTACAATAATTATGAAACTCGGGTATTGAGCCAATAACAAGTCTCAGTGCTCTGTCAGTTTTGTGCCTAGTTGTTGCACTTTCTGACTGTACATAGTATCTAGTTACAGTGGTGTAGAGTTACTCTTAACTCGTTTCCATATGTCCTTTTCCTTTCTACAATAATTACTATGCTTATCTCTTATCCTAAATTGGGCTTGAGAGGGCCGCGAATCAGAGCAAAGCCACTGCACCAGTGTTGCTCTGTTTCCATAACTTAAACTTTCCATACGAACTTAGAAGTTGCGACTTCGGCGGTAATAGTCATGAAGTTGATTGTTCCAACTGAGTCAGTCATGTGTCAAGATAAACTTTCCATGCCAATACAAAATGGCAACCCCTGGCCATATCCCTTGCCTTGTCTCAGTTTTATTGGCCGTCATCATGATGTGCCATGAGATAATGATATAAATACAATACAAATACAAATACATATCACTATGTAGTTACTATAATAATATAACCCAATACTACTACGAAGTATTTCAGAACTAGTGTTAGATCAACCTTGTTATAGTAAGGTCACTGTTTCCGAACACAATGTCCTCCATCTTGTTTCATGCTGTCAATTATTATTATTATTATTTATTCATATTTTACTAGGGCAGTCCCCACAGACCTATGGTCTTCTTACAGGGTGCCCTAGCCACGTGAAGATAGCGGAGCGAAATGCAGCAGGTAGGGATATGGTGCGAATCGCGGCAGGGAGGGCGTTCCATCGGTCAGCTCCAAGATTTGGTTGGTTGGTTTTTATTTCACTTCGCACATTCAAACGGGATGACGACCCAATAAAATGACGGCGAAGATAAGATACAGAGTGATAGCCAAAATACAATCTGGCATGGGGCCAATCTAACAATAAATGTAGTTACTAGTAGTAGTAGTAGTAGTGATCGTCCCCAGTAGTACACTGACTGTAGTACAATGTCATGTACTGTAGGCCCGGGGAAGTAGAGTGAAATTTGATTGCGATGCGAGCCATTTTCTGTGGCGGTGTCGTCCATTTTCGCAGAGCCTAATGACTATGTTAGGCTAGGTAGTGGACGACAGTGGGCGGAGCGTCTAGAACGGAATCGGAGCTGACATTGAAACGTAAACGAAAGGAGAGACGAGAGAGAGTGAGTGGAAGATTACAGTACCGATGGCCAGCAGCATTTTCCTTTCACGACGCCAGAATCGCCTGCTCGAGGTAGAAGCATCATGACCGCCATTGCGTTAGAACTTACGCTCCATGCGCCTCCGAGTCCGAGTTCTGAAATGGCGACAACAATCATGAGATGTTCCTTGTGGGTCATCATGGTCATGTAGGGAGTTTGGAAGAGTTTCCTGTTCAAAATGCCCGCCGTTTGTGCTCTTTTACACAAAACTCAAAAGCCTAAAATAATAATTAGGCTTTTATTTTTAATAGCAAGATAGTAGTATTGTAACAAGACAAGCGAAGATCAGTTTGGAAATGGAAACACGGAGTCGTACATAACATTCACAAAGTCATGTACATGTCTGTCCCTGCGGGAATTTGCGGAAAAAACTCTCGAAAACTTGCGCAAGAAATTGCGGCAGAAAGTAACAAAAAATGCGACGTAAACGGTGCGGAATGATGCAGAACTTGCCAGGAAATCGCGGAATTATTTGCAGAAAATTGCGGATTTGGGCCAAATCAGGAAATTTGTTGCATCGTATATCTACTACTACTAGTACTAGTACTCGGGAGTCCAGGTCGTACGAAACTCGTACTGTGCAAATAACCTACACAGGATCATGGAAAGGAACAGCGTGAAAAGTGCATAAAAATGTGAGATTATAGTGCAGAAAACAACAAAAAACGCGGGAAATAGCGGATTTTGCTGAAAATCGCGGGTTTGGGCCAAAATCGCGAAATTTGTTGCATCCGTGGAATCGCGATTTCCTGGAGGGACAGACATGTATGTGTAGTACCAAGAGTACATAACCCCCCAGAGTGTGCAACGCCTGATCCAGCTCTGTGTAGGGTCTTCATGGTCTTGGTCGAGCGGAATCGGATCTTTGCGTCATAATACCGTACACATCTGAGGGGAACCCGGGGAGTCGCGGGTACTCTTGGATCAAAAACAATGGTGCCCTGCCTCGAGACCGGCCTTGCGCTGGTGCGAAGTGTACGCATGACATCAGAAGATCCGATTCCGCTCGACCAAGACCCTACACAGAGCTGGATCGGCGTTGCACACTCTGGGGGGTTATGTACTCTTGGTAGTACAGTACAGTAGGCCATAGCCTAGCCTAGCCATCGTATCGATGCATCGGCAACTGGCTCAGTTATCACAGACAGTGGCTGTGCGAAGTGTGCGTAGAGTAGATCTACTGAGTACAGAGTAGTGATAGTATCATGCTGTAGAATCATGTACAGAGAAACCTGTCTAAGACGACCGCTCTAGTCTAGGCCTAGGCGCCTATAGTGTAGGGACCTCGACCTCCAAAATGTGGTCTCTGTTACCATGGTTACCAGGTGGTCTCCTTATCCAGGGTCAGTTGACTGCACCATGGGCATCCCTTGGTCCTGGTTCCAGTGGTCTTCTAGGACAGGTGGTCGCCTTGACAGGTTTTACTGTAAGTGGCGTGTGTGCAGTTCAGTGAAGACTGTATACATGTACTAGCCTCGCCTCACGAAAGCGCGCCTCCTGTTCCACAGATCTCTTGACTGAGTCACTGAGAATCAGATCTACCTGCACACTCGAGCCATAGGCCCGCATAGAGTCATACTCAGTTACAGTCAGTAGACAGTACACTGATACAGTGTTGCCTTGGTGTAGGCGAGTGTGATGTGCATGCACAGGCACAGGTCCTTGGATTTGGAACATTTTCGTAAAGGTTGCTCTGCTTGCTCCTAGATCCTGACGGTTTTGGTATTCCTTGCCAAATATCGGTAACTACCTCGCAGGAGTCAGTCACAGTAAGTGTCAGTGGTGCTGCAACTTACTTCGATGGTGTTCGCTTTGGAACAAGTGATGCCACTTGTTTTTTTCTCTCCCCCTTCCTTCCCGATCGTGTACAGCATGCGTTGCTTCAGTGCACGTTACTGCGTTGTTCGTGTGCTTGCGTTTAGCGACTGCAGTGCAGGGTGTAACTCTGTTGGTCACGGATGCCTTCATACTCGGTAGTTTATCGGGGAGGATAGGCTTTAGCCCTGCACTGCAAGCGTAGATCTACGTTTCCTATGCTGCGATTGCTAGTGTTGTGCTTATGTGTGCGTGCGCGCAGTTTGTACTGTTGATCGCGCGTCCCAATCTACATTGTAGCTTCTGTACGCTGGCCTTGCCGGTGCTACTCTTCCTTTGCTCTCAGGACAGAGAATTTGAAGACGTGTGGCCTCGCTGCGCTGTCAGATCAACTGCACTTTCCAACCGCTAATCGAAGCTAGCTGTCTTGCAGGCGAGAGCAAGGATGAATCCGCGATGTGCACGATGCTCCAAGACCGTCTATCCGGTCGAAAAATTAAATTGCCTTGACAAGGTGGGTACTGTGTCGTGTTATTGTTAGCGAAGGGAAAAATAGTTGATCTCCGACTTTTTGCTGTGGAGTAAGTATTAAAACAGGAGTTACATTACCTTGGACGTGGGTTTGTCGTTTGTTTGAAATGAAAGTGCAACATACCATACCAGCGCTAGACGCGTTTCAGTGACGGCTGTGTGATCAAGTGTCCTTGAGTACTATAGTACGATCTCGAGCGCTGTACAGTCATGTATGTCCACGACATGTGCGTTTCTGGTGGCGCTACTGCATGCTGATCAACACAAAACTGCGTTTTGCGCTTGTCTTCTCGCATGGCGTGTTGCGTGTTGGTCCTTACGCGGCCCGTCGTTGTCGTTGAATTTTCTTGTTCTTTCAAGGTTTGGTTTCCTACCACTAGGCAGTGGTTGTGCGTCGTGCAAATAGGTGCGACCGGAGACTCAATAAACGTTTGAACGCTCTCCTCTTCAAAGGATCTTGTTGAGTGCTTGGACAACACCTACCGTTTTACGTTGGTCTCTGTGGACGCTCCCCTGTACTGTACTGTACTGTACTGTACTGTTGTGCTATGTTGATCAATGTTGGTCAGCGGTCTGGCGTGCGCTCCACCTCGGCGTATCACGGTATGCCATGGGTGGCTCAGTAAAGTGCCACTTCGTTTCCGCTAGCCAAAAACGGTGTGCGATGATGTCGAAAGCAGCAGCAGCTACACGTAACGCTTGTCACAAGCATGTGGGTAGTCTGCGCGATGCTGTGTACAACGACAGGATCGATAGGAGCAGCGCCAGCAGTTGCTAGCACATGCTCTTACTAGTCTTAGTCTTAGTCTTAGTAGAGGATCGTAACGATGAAATGAAAGTCCCTGAGTCCCTTGGAGTTGGAGCGGTATTTTACTGGATTTTATCAGCCTTGCGGCTTGCCCCATGGCCCAATGCCCCATGGTCCAGGCCAGTACTATTACTGTACCATTACTGGATGTAATGTGCGAGCATGAAGACAAAACAAGTAGTTTCTGTGTTGTCTTGGCACAAATGTGTTTTGTGAATAGCAACGGTGATGTTATGGCCATCTTGTGTCATGTAGATATTGACTGGAGTGTTATACAAATGAGTAGGCTACTGTAATTGATGGATTGCTCTTGAAAGCGACCACAAACAAGTGTTTGTCACCTCCAGTAATACCAGTACGCAGTAGCACAGTCATTGCATCATGTACAGCATTTTGCAGTTGCAGCAGCAGTCCATATGTATTCCAGTCCATACCGCTCTGGATACACAGTCAGACTCAGTGGAAAGATCACTGGCCAATAACGACATCACTGCTTGCGTCTCCTTTTCATCACTGCATTCGTCTCCTTTTCATCACTGCGTTCGTCTCCTTTTCATCACTGCGTTCGTCTCCTTTTTTTTTGTCCATGTATCATAATCCTAGCTGGACATGAGATCACATGACATAATCCTAGCTGGACATGAGATCACATGACATAATCCTAGCTGGACATGAGATCCCATGGCGACCATATAGGTGTAAGCTAGTGATACAACAAACTGCAGTTTCCGGCACGAAATTTAATAAAAATTATTCACTCGAATACCAATTCAACAAAGAACGAATAATCGACTATTCCCCATGTACACTGAAGTGACTTCGATAACTATTATTTGCTCCTTGCAAAGCCGTCCTTTTTCTCCGAAATATCGCTTTTCTCGGCGCCGTAACCAAGACACTGTTGATACATGTACTACAGGTGGTGGGATTACTGTCGCAGCAGCTCTAAAACGTATCATCTGTGCCATCTGAGTATGTTTTAGCATGCCCATGACGCACCAGGTCTAGTGACATTTGCGTCTTTGAATTTGAAAGTTGCCGATCGAATATTCTTGGAGCACTGTTTATAATAGATCGAATGAGTTTGAATACTGATCACATGTTGTTACATGATGATTCAACTTACATCCCTAGTTGTCCCTGCTATACGCACAATGTAACATATTCCACACAGCCTCTGTGTGTGTGTGTGTGTGTGTGTGTGTGTGTGTGTGTGTGTGTGTGTGTGTGTGTGTGTGTGTGTGTGTGTACTCGGTATTGAGTGACTATTGACCCTATTGGAACATGACGTGGTGATGGTGGTGGTTGTGATGGAGGTCGGATGTTCGAATATTGATTTATCCAACTGGATCAAAAGGCACGTGTACGACGGAGTATTGTAGTATTTCGCGCACCGTACAAGTGGTTTGAAGCCTCTGGTTGAGGGTAGATCATTTACGATGCATCACTTTCTCTTGGGATTGGCCTATAAGTCAGCTGTGTGAGCACGTTTGCTTGGGATTTTACAGCGTAAGTTTGAAATTTGTGTAATTGTTTGTGTGGTGTTGCTAATTGCAGACCTGGCACAAAGGTTGTTTCAACTGTGAAGTATGTCAGCTGAAACTGACCATGAAGACCTACAAAGGATACAACAAGCTGCCCTACTGCAACACGTAAGTCCACTCTTCGATACCGGCACTGCACTGAAGCCCCGGCACTGCACTGAAGCCCCAGTATAAAATACCCTCGGCCGGAGCCAGGTCCTGAGGGGTGGTACGGCCCCCGGTCGGCCGCAGGGCCGCTCACTATCCTGTGCCCAATTTCAGCATCACAAGAAGATGCATGTCTATGCATCATGCCTTTGTTGCCGGTACACACTCCACTTGTGCCATGCATCTAGCTAGCACAGTACCGTAAAAGTCCGTAAATAAGGACCTGCCCGAAAGAAATACCCCCTTCATCCTTTTGGCTCTGTCTGTTGAAGTCAAGTCAAGCCCGATAAACATACTGCCCGAAATAAGTACCGGTACGGTGCGCACATGCAGCATGTAGCATGTACATCTACATGAATTCATGAAAATGACCTCTCCACTACACACAAGTCAGGTCCGAAAGTTAGTTCGTGCCCGAAAGTCAGTACCCGCCCGAAAGTTAGTACGGGTGTGGTCACTAAATTCGAAAGTAAATACGTACTTATTTACGGACTTTCACGGTAGTCCTCACTGAACAAGAAGAGCAGTCTATGAGGGGTAACACACAAGTGGGCAACATATTTCGATAGTCTGTTGGTACTTTCACACATACAATGAAACCTGTGTAAGCTGACCGCTCAAAGGACCTCACAACGTGGTCCCTGTATACAGGTGGTCTCCTTATCCAGGGTTCGTTTGACTGGAAATGGCATCCCTTGGTCCTGGTTGCAGTCGTCCTCTTGGACAGGTGGTCGCCTTATAAGAGTGGTCACCTTGACAGGTTTTTACTGTACATGTAAAGTGTTAAATATGGTATGGCCAGGGCTATGCCAGGGCCATGCCAGGGCTATGCCAGGGCCATGCCAGGGCTATGCCAGGGCCAGGGCCATGCCAGGGCCAGGGCTATGCCAGTGGTGCAAGCTCTGCCCTGGATACAATATACTTTGGAATACAAGAGTGCTATTCTTGGGGACCATGCATTATGATGTACCAGTCATTTGACTTTGGATATCAAGGACAGAGCTTGGAAGCCCATGGACGTACGTAATCTACGTTGCACTGTGCATGTGCTAGCCTAGCCTGGCTGCAAATAACGGGCTCCACTAACTACAAAACCACATGCGCGACACAGCATGCCGGGCTCAGCAGCGCACTATGTGCACACAGTGAACCTGGCTATTTTTCTACCGCCTTTCCAAACTGGGTTTGTCATTGTGCAATGTACAAAGTCAAAGCGGCAGTGGCAGCTTTGTCAAATTTATAACGAAATGTTGCAGTTTGTGTTGAAGATGGAAATGAAATAAATTTGAGGTGAACATGCGATTAGAACTGAGTATGTTGGCAGTGTGAGTGGAGATTTCATTCGTACATTATCAATGTGCTGTCCGTGTTGTTTGACTGCCGGTACATTGGTACACCATAGGCAGTGTGAGGGGAGGATTCATTCGTACAACCAATGTGTTGTCTGTGTTTTTTGACTGCCGGTACATTGGCACACCACAGGCACTACCCAACAACCAAGTTCACAGCGGTAGCCGACACACCAGAGAATCTTCGCCTGAAGGGCCAGACGGACAACCAGAGCCAGGTACGGTAGCGACTTTGCTGCTGCGAGTGGCGGAATGTCTGGCCTGCACGGCTGCTTGCACTCTTCCTGTACATCCGTTTTCAGTCAAGCAAGCATGCGTTGACACCATTTCGCACAGCACAACAGTGTACGGAAAGTCACCGATAGCATGCCGACATACTCAGTATTGTACTATTCGTACTCTAGAAAATGCAACGCACCTCCTGTTCTCTCACCCCACGTATAATTGTGTGTACTGTACATGTATCAACTGCTGTTTGTTGTTTGTCTTCATTCATACTGACAATGCTGTCCAGGTGAAGTACCAGTCTGGTTTCAAAGAGAACCTGAAGCAATTCCACTCGGTGGCAAACGAACCTGAGATGGAGCGAGCACGAATGGTACAGAAGCAAGCCAGTGGTACGGCCTACACGGCTTCACACAGAGGTAGGGTTGAACCCTGGGTGTAGAGACCACCTCCTATTAGAGACCGCCTCCGGGTAGCTGATCACCTCCAATTAAAGACCTCTAATTGGAGACCAATACTCGCTGTGCAGTATGACTACACTAGCCACACACACGCACACATACACACACACACACACACACACACACACGCACAATGTTATCACAGTAACCAATATGGACCATCGGTGCATGTACGGAGTTGGAAAACTCAATCTCCAGACAGCTGGCTGTTTCCACCTTGTTAGATCTCATCAGCAGAGCTCAGAGTTACTGGCTAAACCAATCACAATAAAGTCTAATGAACAACAAAGCATGTTTAAAAACTGGCTCAGAGTAAGATAACTCAAGTTGAGTGTGCAGACTATGCGCTTAATGAGCACGGTGTTAGCTTTCCTGATCATGCCATTTTATTGGCAGGGCAGGCAAGATTCCCATCACAACTGTAGTGTAGTGTAGTATAGTACAATTCCGGTGATCTGTACTCGTGTAGTTCTGTTCTTGTCTGGAGCTGTACCTACACGTACGGATGAATTGTGTTGAGTGTACGAGCATGTACTTGTGGGTAGGGCTGCTACAGGTGCCAACAAGGCATGCTGCAGTGATGGTCTGCCACTATAGAAACTTTTATTAGAAAGACGGCTTTAGTACGTTTGTCGTTTGAGCACTCGGGGGAGTAATGTAGATGTACCATATTATCGCATACTAAAGCCGGGCTTATTTCTGTAGAGACCGTGGCACATCCTATGCACGGCTGTTCCCAAGGGGGCGATCTAACAATATGGCGGCTTTTGTGCCGTTTTTGACAAATCCCAACAATATTTTATAATTTGAAGGGAGTTATTACATTTTCACATCAAAACCATGATGAACCGAATTTTTTGTACTTGCTGACACACGCCGATTGTCGCCCCCTCGCCTCGAAAATATTATGGTGGGGAAAGAGATTTAGAACAAAGGAAAATAATAACATTATTTGACAGGAGAGCTAGAGAAAGAGCTCAAACGAGATGGAAGGCCGAGAATAGTTCGGATAGGCCAGCAAACAAAATGCAGAAGAACACGTATACTTTACTGCAAGGATTTCCTCTTCCTGCTGACTGGACGGAGCAACTCGTGTTGTGGGAGAGTTGCGATCAAATGGATCTGTGCAACAGACTTGAGGCGCTGCAAGGGATTGCGGATGGCCTCGTAGTGTCTCCTCAGTTCGTTGAAGCGGGCGCGAATTCTCTCCGCACTCCCTTGCTCTGCGAGGAGACTAAGACCAACGCCTCGCCACCTGATGGACAGCACAACATTCATCTCCAACATGTGCAATTTCGGCGTGATATGAGCCGAGCTGCTTACTGACGATAATATCTCGGCATGCGGCCATAAATGTCTCGATCAAGCCTTCTAGCTTGGATATGATGGCCTCGTCCGTAGGCCTACAGTGGCTGAAGTGGTAAGCTGTCCATGCTCTTCGTACCAATCAACGTACACCGTGATGATGTCGATGAGGCTTGGGAAGTACACGATGGGTATCATCTCCATTGTGCCACGTTTTGATGCCATGGGTATGCTCTTGTGTATGTATATTGTGGTGTTTGGCTGGCAATAAATGCTCTGGCTTTGCGCTCAGATTCCATGTGCAGCCCAAAGCAGCCAAAGGTTCAGCTTTCTGACTCTGTTCCACGGGAGCTGAAGATCGGCTTTCAGTGCTAGCAGTGAGCCCTCGCCTAGGGCTATTGGTTTCAAGCCAGCCTCTTTCAGAAGCTCCTCTTCTTCTGCCCCATGATTTCTCAGACACTTCGAGCGAGCCACTTCCTGTACCCGAGCAGCCTTCTGGCCACCTGACGCTGTCATCTGGGCTTGCTCCAACACAAGAGATCTGCGCCGCATAGTCCTTGGACTTGCATCGGCAGACGATTTTTCACGCACAGTTGTGCGCGTGAACGTCTGTGGCCTGGCCTGGCTTGGCCTGGCCTGCCCTGGCCTGGCCTGCCCTGGCCTGGCCTGCCCTGGCCTGGCCTGGCCTGGCCTGGCCTGGCCTGGCCTGGCCTGGCCTGGCCTGGCTGCCTATTTTCACTTGCAGTGTACCATCTTGAACTTTGGCTGTCACAAGGCGGCAAGTTGAATTGTCGGCCACAGAGCCTTTCAATTTGCTGGGGAAGCAGTGAGGATGGCAGCAATGACTGTGAAATTGCTGGTAATTCGTATTGGGGTAGATTCATTGGCAGGATTAGATGTACACTTTGACACATGAACTTGCAGGTTTTCTAGCGTAACAACTGCTGGGCATCCACGAAGAGCTGGTTCATGGAAGCCACAGTGGCTGGACCTGTTCCCAAGCAGTTGGCAGAACAGGTCGCTTGGCTTTGCTAGTTCTGAAGCGTGCAGTGTATGTTGGCAGGCTGGACACTGTGCACCATTGGTGAACGCCTGGCATATGCATTTTTGCACAAAATACTCTAGAGCAGCATGGTGACTGAACACCGTTGCTCGGCATGCTGCCGCAGATCATGCATTGTACTGTGGCTGCTGCACTGCTGTCGGCAAATCTTGTCATCGTCAACTCGCACTCTGCTTGATAATCAGGTGCAGATTTGGCATGCTCCTCACTTTCAGGTATATCCATGCCATTGCTAGATGCACATGCACTGTTACGGCTTTATGTCATTTTTGCTGCTTCGCTTGCTGTTTTTGTCTGTTTGCTTGGTCGACCACCCTTCGATTTTTGTTCAAACTTGGTGCAGACTGTGCACTTCACAGGTTCCTGTGTCTCCCAACTAAATGTTTGCCCCTTGTCCACAACCACCACCACAGGGATTGAAATTTTCTGTGCTCTCTGATCTCTTCAACTTCAAGACTCTTTGACATAGGGCACAGATGTGTGGTGGGTGAAAGGTTGGGTCTTCACTGCTAACATCAACACAGAACACGTTTTCGAGGGCTTTATTGTAGTCAGACACTGGATATCTGGTCTGTTGGGAACACACAGTAAATTGTGCACCTCCAACACGGCACACATGCTGCAATTATGCTGCATGGTCCTCCATGTCGTACAATGCGTTGCAGATGTGTATATCTCTCACTGGAAACAGAGAAAAGAAAAGGCCCATCGTATTCGAAAGGACTTGAGAAAATTTGTTTAGGATCCAGATCTTTTTACAGGCAACTTGTTTGCTCAGCTGAAGCAGCTGCTTTTATCTTGGTTGCTCGACTAATGGGTCTATTTTGTGTGCTTGTTTGCTTAGCTGAAGCAGCTGCAGTTGATGAGCAGCGAAGCCAGCCGTCCTACCAGCCCCAGCACCAACAGCACCACCAGCAACCACAACCTGTGGTGCCGATGCCCAGCCAGGCTCCAGTACCAGCTGCTGCAGCACCACCTCCAGTAGCTAAGAGCAATGTCAAGGTCAGTTGAACACTGAACACTTCATGTACAGCGAAACCTGTCTAGGACGACCGCTCAAGGGACCTTCAAAATGTGGTCTCTGTTACCAGGTGGTCTCCTTATCCAGGGTCATTTGACTGGAAATAGCATCCCTTGATCCTGGTTTCAGTGGTCTTCTAGGACAGGTGGTTGCCTTGACAGGTTTTACTGTACTCTGACTCTACTCTATTCTAGTCCACTCTGTACGGTACTGTCACCATCAACTTGCTGTACCTATGGCATTAGCCAGCATCCACTGAAAACAGCAGTAGTGCCCCCCCCCCCCCCCCCCCCCCCGAAGATAGGCTGGTTTTGATGAAGTGCCAGAGACATACCTAATGGTAGTCGCGTGGAGAACAGGAAGAGTAACGTGACAGCGGGGGTGAAGGGAGCGTGGACAGAAGCAACGGCAACGGAGTCACTGCTTGCGTGTTGAAAACTCTGAATTTTGAAAGCCAGGAAAAGTGGACACACTCATACTTCATTTATCCATGCGATCCGGGACAGGGCACTGTCCAGAACTTTGAATTGTCCGTAACTCCGAATCACATACCTTTTGATTGGGAAAGGCTATCGATATGGCATGTTGCGTCACTCTTTCCACCAAAAATGCCAAAAGAGTAGTAATATTTCCACTAAAACTTGCCCAAAGGATGCCCGGTAGATCGAAGTGCCCGTAACTTGTCCGGATAACTGAGGTGCGAATGTAGGTAACTATAGAAATACATTCTTCTTGCTACGACGTGAGATGCACTTTCAAGTGTATCATGTACTGTACCGGTGGTGACAGTGCACGGGGTCATGGGGTAGGGGGTGCGTACATGCTGTTTGTCTTGCACAGCACGGAGGGTGGGTGGTTACAGCGGACTTTACGCAACATATTGTTACCTTGGGCGTTGATGAGAATACTTCCTTGTTGTGATGTATTTGCTGTTGCAGCGCTGGAGAGCCCTGTACGACTACAGTGCGGCAGATGAAGACGAGGCTGGCTTCAACGAAGGTGATTTCATCCTTAACGTTGATGTGATTGACGAGGGTTGGATTAGTGGAACCGTGGAGCGCACCGGACAGAGTGGTATGATGCCGCGTAACTATTTTGAGGAGGTCTAAATGTTGGCAGTTACATAGAGTACAAGAGCAAAGGAAGTAGTAACTGTTTGCATATATTGCCAGCAGCCCCTCCCCTGAGTCAGCAAGTCGCTATGCTTCTGCGTATTGGTTTCGTTTCTCCCTCGCATTCCACCACATCGCATCCCCATCATTTTTCTTGTAGGATTTTTTTCTGACTGTGAAATCGTGCCCGACATACTAGCAATCCTATTTCCATGCCATCTCTCGCGTCGTCATGTGTAGCAGCATTGTGAGCTGTCGGTCAGCAACAGATGTGCCGTGTCATTTCTATGCCAGTTCGATTTCTTATGTTAGCCACATTTCGGCCAATCCCCGGCTGGCACTTTCCTGGTTTTGAACGTGCCGAGGTGTGTACACTTTCCAATCGGTTCTTTTTTCCCTTTTCATACCATATTATGTAGTGGAAGTATAACACTGCGATTCCAAGGGGATACATGATGAGATTTACTGAGCGACTGGCTGTGACCAGGTAATCCCGGTGCATGTACTACTGAACTGTGGCCAGTGACACGCATATAGCAACATGCACTCAAAGGTCTTGTAAGTTAGCATGGATCATGTCGTTCTGCCTTGGATGTCGGTCTGCCTTGGATGCCGTTCTGCTTTCGATGCCAACCACTCTCTGACTACTGCACTGGCCGTCATCACGCTGGTTGCATAATGAGTGCTGCGTGCCGGTATCACCCCTTCTGGCACGGTTTTGATTCTTCACTGCTGTGCATTCCCCAAGCTCAGTGTAATTGCTTTGCTATGTCACGGCGGTGGACATGCTGTCACGATCGTCCTCGCAGTCTCGGCGGCAGTTTCCACGTGTATCGTTCTATTCGAAACTGTCTCATTTTCTTGTTCACTTTGACTTTCGATCTGATTGCTGGCGGCTGACTGAGTCTGTGCGTGTGAGTGTACGTGCGTACATACATGCGCGTGTGTGTGAATGTGCGTATGCATCATCAGTGCATGTCTGGTCTTGTTGATAATGTAGTACAGATGTTGTTGACGGTTTGTGAAGGGGAGTGCGCTGCAGTGGACATAACATTTACATGATTGTACTGTAGTTGATAAGGCCATTAATGATAGCTTGCATACCGTCCTACCGGTAGGACCACGGGTCCTACCGGTAGGACCCAAGAAATCGAGCTGCAAAAGTGCTTTTGGTTGAGAATTTTTTTGAAACAATTGTTGAGATGAGGTCTTTGTCAGGCAAAGTAATGGCGCAAAATGCAAGGCTATGTCCAGTGCATTGCATATGCGCAATTTTATCGATTGTCAAAATGGCCGCACATAATCCTGTCGGTGCGCTAGCAACTTTGTCCAAAGTGAATTTGGACCATGGCACATCAATTGTGGTGAGGTCCTAATGTTTTTATTAGCTTGCCAAGGCCGTGGAATGCATAATTCTATACTCCGTTTCCATGGTTACCATGGGTTGTTACCATGGAATTTCGTAGTATGCCTTGTGCGATCACGTCTAAAATTCGTGAACTCCTTCATTAGCCCCTTAGCAACAGTTTAGGGTCAAGTTTTAGGTCAATGTTAGAACAGAGGCCATGCAGCATGTCTGTGTATGATGGTCCTACCGGTAGGTCCTACCGGTAGGACCGAGGTCTATGCAAGCTATCATTAAGGGCGCCAATCCTATACTAGTACATGTACTGTAGCCTGGCAAAACTCTGTGCCCAGCTAGCCTGATTCCGCCTACATTAATTTATGCACGGAATGATACGGGGGAAGTCTGATCATGTCAAGCAACAACTAGCGCCACCGATAATTCTCTCTCTCTCTCTCTCTCTCTCTCTCTCTCTCTCTCTCTCTCTCTCTCTCTCTCTCTCTCTCTCTCTCTCTCTCTCTCTCTCTCTCTCTCTCTCTCTCTCTCTCTCTCTCTCTCTCTCTCTCTCAGGGACCTACGTAATCTGAAGCATGATCAATCTATATTATTTGCATTTGTGTAATTTCTGATCTTCTCTTTCTCATTTCTGTTGCATTCTCAGATGCTCCCATAAGTCTATCATTCATAGTATGCCCCCTTGGCCCGCACAGTCCATGTCGATTCCGAGACCGAAATGGTCGGAGGAGTGCACTGCGCCTGACCAGCACAGCTCTTGTAGCACCTACTACTCCTTTGTTGTCTTTGTCTCTTTTATTACCCCTATTACTTTGTAGGGATGTGCACATAGTATATATAAAAAAATAAATAAAAAAAAAGAAGCTGGAAAAAGTCATGTCCAAGTCGCCAACCTCCTGTAGCTCAGCTGTGACATGATACATCTCCTGTCAAGACAAGAGTTCCTGGCTCCTGTTCATACTGCATGTATAGCCTCACCAAGGCAACCAAGACTCCAAGGCGTTTCGGAATAAAAACGTCGCACACTGAAACGAGACCTTTTCGCTTTCAGAGTCGTAGATCTACCATACCATTATACACGATGCACCACACAACACGCATGTGACAGTCCAGAAGAGGGGAACCCCCTCAAACGATTCAAACGAGATCCAGCCAGTTTTCCTGTTCTTTTTCGCCCCAGCATGCTTTTCCTCGCATGTCACGTTGTGCATTTCATGTCGAACTTGTACTGTAGTGCAGGGCAAGAGTCCCGTTGCCAGGCTTTGGCTTTATCTTCTATTCCTGGTTATCCCGTTTGCCCAGGCGGTGAACAGCGGATAGTACACAAGGAGTCCTAGAAAGCTGCTGATATTAATTCGTGCGTAAATCTACGCTGGGCCAGGATCTAGGAACAGTACTCGTGTACTGTTGACGTTTGCCATCATGGACGTGGTGAATACGATTACAGCGTTGCTGTCACCATTTGGGTACGAATGCTCTCCATTCTTGGTAAGCGACGCTGGCTACGTTGTGGAAAACTCGCCCACTATCCAGCAGAACTGTTTCATGTGCACCATATTGTGCTGGGCATTGTGTGAGTTTTCATTTGCTAGAATTTCGACATATTAATTTCGACATATTAAAGGTCTCAGCTCAGCGTCTCAGCTTCCTCGGACCAAGACCATTCGAATCAGCACCGAGAAGACTACAACTGGTGAAAATTTGATTTTAGGGTATACTTCCCCTTTAAGGCAAAAATTAAAATTTCACCAGTTGTAGTCTTCGGGGTGCTGAGTCGAATGGTCGTGGTCCGAGGAAGCTGAGACGCTCCCTTCCTACTTGAATCCCAATCGAACTCGCGCACTTCCACCGAAACTGGGTGACTGCGCCCTACGAGATGGGGATTTGTATGCAAAATGTCACTAAAAGCGCCATTTCGTTCTTATAAAAGCACTGATGACCGCGATTGGCCCATATGTTGTAGTCTTTTGGACGCTGAGTCGACTGGTTTTGGTCCGAAAAGGCTGCGATGCAGCGTTCCTCCTTTATTCCCAATCGAACATGGTTGAACAAGTGGTCACGTGCTCCTGGGTGCCCAAATCACCTGGTCACCACGCCAGCAAGTGACAACTTTCACACCAAGGTTCAACTCGAGTTCAACTCGAGTGACAGGACTGCACCCAAAAAAGGTCAAACAGGCTAGTAAGTTGTACCCTGCAGGCACGGTGACCAGGTGACTGGCGTACGCAGGAGCACGTGACCGCTTGTTCAACCATGTTCGATTGGGAATAAAGGAGGAACGCTGCATCGCAGCCTTTTCGGACCAAAACCAGTCGACTCAGCGTCCAAAAGACTACAACATATGGGCCAATCGCGGTCATCCGTGCTTTTATAAGAATGAAATGGCGCTTTTAGTGACATTTTGCATACAAATCCCCATCTCGTAGGGCGCAGTCACCCAGTTTCGGTGGAAGTGTGCGAGTTCGATTGGGATTCAAGTAGGAAGGGAGCGTCTCAGCTTCCTCGGACCACGACCATTCGACTCAGCACCCCGAAGACTACAACTGGTGAAATTTTAATTTTTGCCTTAACTTCCCCTTTAAACGTACCTCCAAGGGACGTAGGGACGTAAAATTGCACTTACAAATGTATATACTTAGCCGAATTACTTTTATCCGAGGTCAAATGACTAATAAAATAGTTCACATGTACAGGGTTTTTTTCTTCAAATTTCAACATGTTCACGGTAAAAGAAAAAAAGAAAAAGGCCCAACCCTGCCTTGCCAGTTACGTGGACTTATGGGGGTCGCCATAGCAAATGATAAAACTTAAAAATGCGTATGTTCGGGCTCTCCACCTTCTCCGTGAAATAATAATACCGTAAAAGAAAACTAGAGAGAAAAAGAAACAAAAATGAGGAATAGGAACTGGTTTGGGAACCACTTGCAGTCAGTTATACAGGACAGCGGGTCTTGGCAACGGCCAAGGTAGCAGATGCATCCGCCACATGCACATCACTGACGCGCATGGGGCGTCGCCGAGCACCACGCAAACAAACCATGCTGGAGCGAACCAGAGCAAAGCCAAGTCGGCAGCGAATCCACGCGATTACTCTGTTGTACGGCTCCTTCGTCTTGTCGGACAGGAGCCCGGCAATCCTCTTATAGCAGGCTGTTGCCAACTTGCCCATGCCGCCTGTTGAGGAGAGAACGAGAGGTGAAAAAGTTGCATGTTCGATCTCTCGAACACGCTCCTCATAGCAGCGGCGTTTCTCCCGTTCGTGGCGCTGGTAGCAGGAGGGTACTGAGGTGGAGCGATTTGAAGCCGCGGAAGGGTTAAATACCCGTACGTCGAAGAAAGTGCGGTCAAAACGCCCACCCCAGACACCACTCGCTGCTATATCCAGCCTAGCCTGGGGGTCCGTTATGGCAGAGCGGTAGCGGAATGCTTCCCCAGTTACCGGCTGGGGGTAGGGTTCAGTGGTGACGTTGTTGGCGACCGGTTTGAGGAGACCAGCCGTTACGTCCCGTACCCCGTGCCTCAGTGAGGGAAACCCGCCCAAAGAGCACGACAAGGCGTGGGCGGCGGTGAACAATGCACCACACGGGCAGCTCGACGGAAGGTGGACTGGCTGTCAGCCATAGCGGAGCGCAAGGCCATCCCGGAACTCACCCTTCGAAAGGGCAAAGCCATGGGCCTTCAGGGGTCGACATGTCAGCCAAGCCGACGCACCCTTCTCCGCCACCAGACCGACACAGAACTGGATGTCAGCGTTCTTTGTCAGGATGAACTCTTTGGCTGTTTGGGCCGTTGATCTGCGGGTACGGCTTGTCGCCTCCCTCTTAGTGAACCATACCAGGTCCAGCACATTGCCTATCTGGGTGTCCTGGTCCAGAATCTTGCGGACGAGTGCCGAGGTGATCTCTGCCGATGCCTGGCACTGGTCGCCCAAGGTGGTGGGGTCGACTAAGCCGAGGCCTCCTTGACGGCATGGGAAAGCAAGGACCCTTCGCTCAGGTGGGTTTACCGGCTTACCGCACAGGGCAGGAATGAGGACATTAGTGATGGTGTCTTCCAGCAGGGCAAGATTTACAGCAGCACACTCCACGACTCGGCAAAGGAAGGACCAGCGATGCTTTAGGCCTTGTGTGAATGCTGCATAGGCAGCCTGTGGGTAGGATTCGGCAATCTTGGCCAAGGACAGGACTCATCTTTCCACTCGCTTGCCTTCTGGGATACATAGTTCTGGACGAACTCCGTTGATCCAAGTGCGGCACCTAGAAATCGGTGGCCGTCGGTGGTAATGTGCACACCAATCCCTGCAAAGGCGTCCTCAGCTTCCCTCAGGTGACCGGCCTTGACAGCCAGGACTGATTTATCAGCATTTGCGACGTACCCATACACCGGTCCTTTCTGTCGCAGAATATTCCACCAAGCGCGTAGTCGTTGGACTCTGCCGCCCGCGGAGGAGTCATCTGCAAACCACATCTGGATCGTTCCCTCAGCCGAGAGAGCACGGATGAGAGGTAGAATGCTCAGCGCATACATCGGCATCGCGATGGGATCACCTTGGGTGGTGCCCTCTGCCGACATGATGACGCTGCCCCCAACAAACAGCTTTGCAGGTTGTCGGAAGCTGTTAATAACGACTGTCGCCAGAGATGAGCATAGGTGACGCATGTTGCGCAGGCATGCTTTCCTGTTCAGCATGTTAAATGCATTCGTGGCATCCGCCATTAAGACCGCTTCAGTATCCTCCTGGTTGAACGCTTGCTGCATTTCATGTATCGCCACCTCAATCCCGCAGTCCTGGCCTGCACACAGTTGAAGGGTGCCTGCTGCCTCTTGAATATCCTCACCAATTACGTACAGGATGGCCTTGCCCACCACTCTCCTCATCACCTCGCCAATCCCAATGGGTCTGACCCCCGGGTTCTTGTTGAGGGGGATGATTCGGGATGCCAGATATGCTACTAGTTACCATGGTTACAGGTCCTCTCAAAACAGTCTACTGTATGCCATGTCAAGGGTACTGTATCGGAGTTTCGCAGCTTGTAGTGAAAGGCACTGGTTCCAATGGCGAACTGAGTCTCGGGTTAATAGAAGCTGAGCCGCCGTCTGGAAGTTCAGGCTACGGTGCTGGCATAATGACGTCATACTTTGAAGTAGTTTGAACATCATAGAAAAGCGTCCGACTAGTGACAGTGGAGAGCTGCTAGTTGCCAATTCCCTACCGGCTCCCACACTAAAGTGGCAGTTCCTCGTGCTCCCCCCCCCCCCTCCCCTTCACCCTCCCGCACACCAGTTCCATCTACATTTTGTCGTTTGCGGTTCAATTAGTAATTTGTCTGAAGTATAGAATGAGTTCAAACTCCAGCACATGCGCTCTCTGGCCGACCTCATACACATCAGCAACACGACTGCAAGTAGTTGTAGATATTGTTGCCTGATGATTGTGTAACAGCATGAAACTTTGAGTAGCGACTAACTAGCCTTGATTTCCCTTGTTCTGTGTATTACGCTCTGCCTCCGCCATGGTGTTGAGCACTGACAGCACACTGGGTGCATCCTCCGGTAAATATTAGCAAATAAATGTTTCCCTTCGTACAACTGTTTCAACCAGTCAGCCAAGGTGAACGCATGTGGTGGAGTTGGAACTAGTTCTTTGATCAGCAGGCCGAAAGTTGCCGCTTACCATCCTATTGTTTGAAGTATGGATGATCCATTCTATTTCACATTCTCCATGGTTTTTTCTTGTACTTCTGTAGATCAAGTGGTATAATGAGATAGTCAACCAGCGTTTCCAGTTGTCATTTGAAGCCAATACGCTGGCAGTGAGTGTGATTAGTGCACCAGATATGTTTGAAAAAGCATTTCTACCGTTTGTGCAGTCATCGCGGGACATACTGGCTGCTAGCGGCCAGGACCCGCTGGATGAGTGCACACGGCATTGCTTTCAGCGGATTGTCCAGGTGAGTACATGTGTGTGTGTATGTGTGTGTGGGTGTGGGTCACTTCAAACAGCTGTGTGGTGGATACCAGGCTAAAAATAGTGGCGGTCAATTCATCAGCCTTGCAAGCTGTTGAATGGTGTAATCCCAGCACAAGTTGCTATGTCTAACATAGCTGTTCGCTATCATCGCTTCCGCGATGGGCATGTCTGAGGTCTGAGGTGGGTGTGGGTGTGTGCGTGTGCGTTGTGTGTGCTGCATGTTGTACTGATTTATAGCGGGCTTGCACTGTGAACACGGCACTCTATCTTATTATCTTTAAAAGTAAGTACCCAGCACTCAGCACTCAGCATGTGTAATCATGTGTAATCATGTGTAATCATGGGTCTAACAGGGCATGCGTGATTTCCGTGCAATGAATGAGCTCTGCTTGACCGTCAAGTTTCACATGCAGCCTGGAAGCCCAGCTGGGGGGGGGGGGGGGGGGGGGCTTAAAATGTGTAAGTGGAGCTGACATTGCAGACCGTCACATGCTAGTGTATGGCAGTATTGTTACATATAGAATGTCGCCATACGCACCTGTACCCAGAAATCCATGTACATACAGTGCTGTTCACAGTGTGTGCAAACTTCTGAAAAATGCTTGGCATGTGTACAACTTTCAAGTGCCCTGGAGATTTCTCGACGTAGGAATTTCTAGAGCCACCGAAACGGAAAACTTACGTAGGGTAGGAAGACAAGCGTACGTAGGGTGTACGTAGGAGCACGTAGGGTGTACGTAGGGTGTAGGGTAGGAAGACAAGCAGCATGGAGAAATACTGTATTATGGATTTTGAAGATGACTTGTGCTCAGAGGCAGGGCAGGTTTGGTCCCATGGCTGTTTGCTGAAACTAGGTTTTACGCTCTGTGCTATTGCTTTTAAAATGAAATCTCTCTATGTGTCTGTTTCTGTGTGTGTGTGGGGGGGGGGGGGGTCTTTCTCTCTCAGTCTCTCTCTCTCTCTCTCTCTCTCTCTCTCTCTCTCTCTCTCTCTCTCACTCACTCTCCCTCTCTCTCTCTCCCCCCCCCTCTCTCCGTCTCTTTCTCACACACTCTCTCTCTTTTGATATTGTCACTATTATGTTACCTTTCCTTTGTTGCTCAGGCAGATCTACACTGTCCAGGTGTGGAGTGTGAAGTGATCTTCGACTTCGATACGCTGCCTAGCGGTCAACCCCGTTGTCTTGTTCAATCCGCTGGTCACGTTAGCGGACAGGCACGCTACTACCAGCGTGCCGACGTCACTGAAGATGAGGCTGGGCAGATTGGATGGGCCAAGGAGAAGCGTATCTACGGTGCATGCGCGCATTCCAAGTACGGTGGCTGGTTTGCATTCCGAGGTGTGATAGTGCTGAAAGGTAGGGAGCTTGGTGAATCGGAGTGTGGGGATTTTTCAATTTGAATTTGCTCAATGTGTGAATATGTTGGCTGGCAGTCAAGGAAGTCAGTCAACTGATGTACGAGCGGCTCGTACTGTGGCTGACTCTATCATTCTAGAAGCCGCAGCGGCGATGTATGAGGACAGCTGTGCTTTGAAACCGCTCTGTTCCTGTATACTGACCCGAAGAGTGTTCAAATTTAGAGTACATGTACTGTGAAGCTTGGATATACGTACACACCAGCCGTCAAGCAGAACTGCCCTCAGAACTGCCCTCATATTATACCTTATACAGTCAGACCTCGCTTAACCGCACACATCCGTTTTCCGCAATAAAATATCCGGATAGGCGAGGGAACCGGATAATCGAACACACGTACTGTATGTATGCATGACATGTGCTGTAAATCGGTGACCAACGATTTTCTTCCGGATGGCGAGGGTTCCCGATAAAGGAGGACCGGATAAGCGAGGTCTGACTGCACGCCACTCTAGCTGACCACGGCGTATTGGACACAAAGTGTTTGTTGCGGTCATTTTCTGTCGTTCACTGATGGTGCTGTGGTCATTGCCGAGGTGGCTATAACTTATATCAGTTATATGCATATGCAAACCTGGGTGTAAAGACGATTATGGTGGAACCTTATTTTCAAGAGTATATGCCGCACTTTGAACACTCAAAATGTGCCCAAGAAAGAGGGGGGGGGGGGAGGGGGTGCGGCGTATACTCCCATGATCAAATTATCGGTGATAAATAGGGTAGATGTCTGTATTTCGTGGCAAAAAAAATGGGGATGCGGCTTATACTCCGGAAAATATGGTATGTAGGTTGCTACATGAAGTCTCCAGTTCATGCTAGTGCTATTCATTGTGAAGGGTGGTGTTGACGGACTTTGGTTGCGACTAAGGTTGCTGTATGTCGCTAAGTTGTGTCCTCTGTGTTTCTCACTCAGGCTTGCAAGTTCCCCACCTGCCGCGCGTTCCACCGGCCGATGTCCTGCAGACGGCCGATGAGCGTTTCCGCTTCCTAGACTTGTTCAACCATCACTGGCAGGATGGACGGTTCCGTGACGTCCCGCCCACCGTCATAGCACGCTACTCACAACAGCAGATTGACTACTTCAAGACGGCGCCGAGAGAACGTCACCAGCTGCTTGGCCTGCCCGCTCCCCGCTCAAAGTATGACCTCTCGGACAGCAGTAGCAGTGATAATGATGATGAGAAGGAGGATGACGGGTCAGCGGATGGAAGCACCGCAGCACCGCGTGCCAGTAAGCAAGGCGGAGTGACTGCGGCTCACGGCTGAGCAGCTAGCTCGTCACTGCAACACTACCACACTGTCATGTAGTAAGTGTGTGTGTTTGTGTTTGGGTGTGCACATATGCTCTCAGCCTAACCAGTGTGACAGCAACCTAGCAGTAACAGCAGCAGCCTATGAGAAATCAGCTTGCAGGTAATTGCCAAACGGAACTCGTAGCAATGATCTGCAACTCGTCAGCTATTTCATTCAGAGAATGCTTTAGCCACATGTGACTACGTTCAAGTCGGGCAAGAATACTGTCATCAGTCAGGATCAGCGAGGTATCACTGATGGGGTCATGCCATGGTGCCCCAGCTCTGCGCTTTGAATTGAGCCATGCAGTATCACAACCTGCACCAGTCGGCAGTCGGCATGCACTGTACGTGGTGTCTTACGCGTTTGCACACTGCCTGGTTGCATGCACTGATGTACTCTGTACACAACTACACATGTACTGTGCTCAGGATTTCCAGTGCCAGCGGTGCTTGGGAGAATCGCTCCCAGTGCGCGGCAAGTATTCAAGCTGTGCGGGGTACCTGTACAGGGGGGCCCTGTGCAGCGGGTGCAATGCTGCCAGCCCTGCCAACCCTGGCTGTACGCCGCATGGTATAACCTGCTGGTGAGAGAATACATGTAGGCATGGTATAACCTGCTGCAGTGCTGGTGAGAGAATATATGATACGGTACAACTAGTCTACATGTACATGGAAATCACTGGACTGGTCAAGTGCTAGTGTTTTATTTGTACAGCATAGAGCTGTGGGGCTGTAGCATTAGCATGGCGCCCGCCATGTTGCCAAGCAAATGAAAGCTGCAATGCCTAGTCTGCCTGACTGTCCTGCATTAATTTTGTTCTCAGTCTGCCCACTCACTGTCATCAGTTTGACATTTTTGACCCAATCACTGGGTTACTCTGGGTAGCAGTGTCTTTGTGTGACCATGACATCATCACAGGTGACCATGACATCATCACATGTGACCATGACATCATCACATGTGACCATAGCAACATTTGGGTCACCGACTCACCGGTACAGTACAGTGACTCCTATCTGATTTGTATACACCTTTGGCCCTCTGTCAGTCTCGTGTCCCCACAGGCTGTCCATGCTTTGCTCAAGTAATAAGTGAAACAGGAGAAAGACGAAATGTTACGAGTTATGACTAACTGTCCACCAACGTAACCAGATCTTGTACAGCTAGCGAGTGCGACAAAATGGCACAAAACTGACAAGGAGTACTAAGACATTCGGCGACCTGACACCTAGCTCCAACACTTCTCCAAGGCGCAAACCAACAACCTTCCAACTTGGAAGGCTCAGGTTCGGAGAGGTCCAAGAGGGGAAGGAAAGCGCAACGAAGAGAAGCACGAGCTATGCATCACGGCAACAATGAATGCCGAAAGTTACTGGATGATGACGAAACTAGAAAGACTATTGGATTTACCGGCCTTACTACAACTCGACGCAAAGCAACAGACCACCCAACTTGGGAGGCTCAAGTCTATGTAATAAACGTAGAAAGCACCTATACGGCGAAACGTACGTCGTGTGGAACGACTTGTTATTGTACACAACTAGTCCATCATACTAGTACATGATAGTGGAGTTCAGTAGGATGTTGACGTTTCGGTTTGTCACAATTCGTCTTCGCTTAGCTTCCCCTTTCTACGTTTATTACATAAACTTGAGCCTCCCAAGTTAGTTGGGTGGTCTGTTGCTTTGCGTCGTTGAGTTGTAACAAGGCCGGTATGTCCAATAGTCTTACTAGTTTCGTCATCATCCAGTAACTTTCGGCATTCTTTGTTGCCGTGATGCGTAGCTCGTGCTCTTCTTCGTTGCGCTTTCCTTCCCCTCTTGGGCCTCTCCGAACCTGAGCCTTCCAAGTTGGAAGGTTGTTGGAACTTTGCGCCTTGGAGAAGTGTTGGAGCTAGGTGTCAGGTCGCCGAATGTCTCAGTACTCCTTGTCAGTTTTGTGCCATTTTGTCGCACTCGCTGACTGTATATAAGATCTGGTTACGTTGGTGGACAGTTAGTCTTAACTCGTAACAGTTTTGTCCTTCTCCTTTTTCACCATAATTTAATTGGCTCACCATCCAAGTAATAAGTAATAATATTATGCTTAGGGCTGAAACGATATGATCGACTAACCGTTTGCTAATCGCTAAGGAAATTATCGATTATCGTTAGCTGTCACTAATGATATAACGATACTACTGAACTATGTAGATGCACGTGTGTGAGGTGCCAGAACGCGAGTAACAGCGCTGTGAGTGCTGCGTGCACTGTGTTACTGTGTGTACGGGGTCCAAACCGCGCTGTGCACTGGCATGGCACATGTCCACTATATACTACTACATTGTACACTGATGGTAGACAGTTACTGTTGAGTTAGTGCGTACACTGATCCAGCCAGCGCGAATATCGTTATATCGTTATATCGATTGTTAAGCTATAAGTGTTATCGTTAAGCAGTTTTTGCATATCGTTTCAGCCCTAATTTATGCTCTCTCTCTGTCCTTGTTGTGTACAGTACTAAAGAAACACGAATGACCACCCTTACTAGCCTGCTGGTAACAATAGTAACAATTGTAGTGTACACCCCCCCCCCCCCCCCCCCACACACACACACACACACACTACAGTCTACAAGCAATAGGTCACTGACTTTTGCATTACGGACAACAAGTACGTTTGCATGCGGTGTATACAGTATACCAACATTAACCGGAGGTGAACTACTTTTCAGCTGTGATTTGAAGTTTCATGCATTTGCCCAATCATCAGATGGCGGCCGCGGATGTAATGTTAATGCCGCTGTCTGATGATTGCTTTAATGCGTGAAACTTCCAGTGACAGGTGACAAGCTGGTGTTTGCACTCATTGCTCTGCACATTTGTGTATTGAGTACTGAAGTAGTAGTAGTCTATTCGAGCTGGCTCGACCCACCCTGTTTCTATACATGTATGATGTAAGCAAGAAAACATAACCCCTTGGTTATGTGAGGTAGTGCCGTTTCTGTTTGCGTTGTGCAGAGCTCACTGACGTGTCAGTTTGAGCACTCTAGCAAGGTATGTTCGGGCCTGGTTTAAATCTGGCTTCGGAAAATTTATTTTTCATTGCTATCAGGTTCGGCCTCATTTTCTCTGTGCTGCGCTGCTGAGTTCACAAAGGACGAAAGAGTTCTGTCCGAAGATTGAGTAACCTCTTGGTTATGTACTCTTGATGTAAGTGACAAAGTGCATTTCTAGGGTTCGTACCCGGGAGGAGTAGAAAATGGGGTTTTACTACTCCCTGGCCCGGCTCCGATTGCCCGGCTCGGTGCCTGGCTCAGTGCCTGGTTCAGAAGTTCTGATCTTCTTACTGTAACAGTGTAAGTGTAAGCAATGCTCTCTAGTCTGTACTACATGTACACCTGGCCAGTAGCCAGGCCTCAGGCCTAGGCTGGCAGACTGTGTGTACCACAAAGACAAAGCAACACAATTCTAGAGAATCAACGGAAGTTGAAGACACCACTGTAGCTGTACTCATGGTTGCTTATGGCCTATGTGCAGCCATGCACTACCTGATGTACCAGCCTGCTATGTCGGATACCGCCAAGCGCGAACTGATGGTGGTGGTGATGAGAAGTTCTCACCACCACCATCGGTTCGTGCTCAGAAGGAGAGCTCTGTGGCAGAACGTTGCAGCCTAGAGAGCGTGTGTGGGCAGGCGTCTATTTTACCGCCATATTGCCAGGTGTGTAATTATCACCATATTAATCAACACAACTCTAGTCCAAAGTTTCTTCTCTACAGTGCGTTTTTTTATAACAGACCATTGTCGATTTTGATTTTTTAGTTTGTTCTCATTCCAAATTTGAAATTTTTTCTTCACAGCTGCGTTTGTGTGGGTCTTGGATCGAAGAAAATTAAGTTTGGGAGTGGGAATAATAATAATTGTCAAAGTTAGATATTCGGCCGGGTTTCGGCTAGAAATCCGGTTTTAAATGGTTTTCAGTGGATTTTGATTTTTAAAACGGAAGTTTTAGCCAGGAAAGCTCATCACTTGCATGGTGCCCAGCATGAGTTCGAATCCAGTACAGTTCATCTTGATTCTTTTTCTTTCTTTTCTTTTTCGGTATACTGTAGTACAGCGCATGCATGTACATGTACATGCACATGGCTGTGCAGTTGTGCACTGCTGTCTGCAGTTCTCCTAACCTTTGTAGGAAACCAGTGAGTCGTGGCTTTTCACGACTTATTGTGGCAAACTGTACTGAATAATTCAAATCCTGTATTGCAATTAGCTCAATAAATCAAAACATTCCAGCATGCATGTAGGAAACTTCCCTCGATCCCTGAAAGAATGCAGTGAAAATTCAAACACCACAACAAATCACAAAGGCAATTCACACAGCTCCCATAAAGAGACTAACAAAAAGGAAGCATGAGCAGTTTTACAAACACACACACACAATGCAAATAAGTCACAGTTGTGTCTGGTTCAACATCTGCGAATAGTAGAAGACCAGCGAGGAACGAAACGGCCCCAATAATTCCGTGTTTTGTGTTGCACTTGTGACGACAGTATTACACAGTGAACAGATGTGCTCGGACAGCCGACAACGTATATCATCGTTGGCGCCGGCCTCCAGTCACGAACACATCGGCGCAGTTTTTCACGAATCTGTCCCGTCCACCAGTATGCAGAACAATAACGCGCTTGCCTTTACCTGATGGTGCTTCATTTGGTTGCTTGCCTATACACTCCTGTCACCATTGTCGTACCACCTCCTAGTAACTGTGTGACGCGCATTGACAAACGTCTCATCCAGGTATGTCTCACAGGTAGCGATGCCGCCATGACACAATCCTGTGCTGTTCCATCATTATTTGTGTGATACCTCTGGTCTTGCCACACTGGAATCCCATGGAACGCAACATTTTCCCAAGAGCTAGTTTTGCTCATGTCTGGAAAATCGTCGATGGTTTCTCTGCAGCGAGCAGGAACTTTGTCCAGTGTTGGGTCCTCCTTCGAAGCATAGAATCCGTAAATTACTTCTTATACAGTCCAAAGCAAATCCGTAAGGGTTGAGTGGTTTCATGGCACGAGTCTCACTTCGGGGATTGTCACTCTCGTTGCCTTCATCACTGGAGACAGACAAGGCCAACGCAGCACGCTGATTTTCGCCGTCAGCATCCCTGGTACATCTGTTCATGGTGGAAATGCTGACGCCACACGCAACAGCAGCATGACGAATGGAATACTTGGGACCAATTCGATGCCCAGCCATTGTTCTCCTCGTCTTCGCAAAAAATTGTAAAACAGACACCACCATGTACCATGGCCCGGTCGCGTTTTGTTATAATTATGTGGCATGTCGAGAGAACAAGTTGCCACGAACGAAAAGACACTCGAGAAAAAGCAAAATAGGGCCACAGAGCAGTCAGCAACAAAATGATTCCTCCGGCCACGAGGCAAGGAGCTCGAAGGACACTCTGAACAAGATGGCGAAATGCCACGAGTCGCACCTGGTTTTTCGAATTTCGCGCGCAGATTTTCGTGACGCAACTCGCATGACATTTTCTCAAAAGTGTCCTTGAGTACGTTCTCAAGGTTTTCAGAGTCTATTATAAAAAAACGCACTGTAGCTCCGAGTTCCATGTTCACAACCACTCATCAGAGAGAGACAGAGACACACACACAAACACACACACACACACATACACACACACAGACACAGAGAGAGAGAGACACACACACACACACACGCGCGTGCGCACGTGCACACACACACACACACACACACACACACAGAAAGAGACAGACAGACAGTGAGAGACAGTTGGATGTACAATGCATAATTATGCTTTCGGTTTACTACTACTAGTGCTAAGTACTGCTAACGTAAACATAACGGTTTCATTAGAAGGTTGGGGCAGAGAAACCGACCCTGGTTGTCTGATAACCAATATTCACCTACAAAGGCTAAGGGTTAAAATTGCCTAAACTAAAGCATACTCGTGACTGGACTGTTTCCACATGGTGTAGTCCGATTCGTGCTTGACGTCTGCGGAATTGCGGATGCGTGGTCGCGGCGTGGACTGCAGACAAGTCATGTGGGTACTAGGTCTACACGTCACCATGGTCACACACTAATCATAGTGTCTGTCTGGCATAGATCTACAAGCTGCAGAACGTCATTCACCGCCCATTGACATCATGCCTCATGCATGGCGTTGGCTGTTTTCTTTCCGCTTTTTTGGGGGGGGGCGGGGGCATGGTCCATTGATGTGTGAAAAACAGTTACATACCTAGTTTTGACCACCCAGGCACCCCACCCATCAACCAGATCGACTGACTCAGTGCAATAACCATGCTAACCATGATGAAACCCGGGCCTGGTATGGCCTGGGCGGGTACGGATGGCAAGTCATGTACGTGTATGATGTAGCCGGTATACATGTACCGGGAATTACCACTATCAGCCAATGGCAATGATGATGCAAGGAAAAACCCATCCAACCATTCCATTTCAAAAATGCGCTTTATGGATTGCTGTAGGTTCGTCTTCCCCGTGCTTCCTGGTGTTTCAGTAACTAATACTTCTGGCTAAGTCCGCCAGCCTTGGACGTGAGATAGTCTGCAGAACCGCAGTAAGCGGGTGGTTGCGTGGCTTCGCTCCCCTCCAGCTTCACTCACATTACCGTTGCAGGTACCAGGTGCTTACTGCAGCCTTTGCAGGTTTGTGCACGCTAGTGGGACTCCACGTGGTGATTCTCAGCTAGCGTTAGGGTGTGGTGGTGTTAGTGTGCATGTGAGAGAGATAGAGATCATGAGCAGCTCGTACGAACCGTTTGACCGCCAAGGTGGTGCAATGGAGCAGCAGCAGCGTCCAGACCTCACGACCAGTACGGGCGAGACCCTAACGGCGCAGAAAGGTGCAGTTGGTAGTGCAGCTCCGGCTATGGTCTACCAGGGGCCTGGAGCGACCGGTCAGCAGCCAGTAGGAGCAGCCGCCGCCGCCATGCCCCCGCCACATTACCAACAGCAGCAGCCGCAGCAATACCAACAGCAGCAGCCGCAGCAATACCAGCAGCAGCAGCCGCAGGAGACAATGCCAGGCGTGGTGTCAATGCAGCCCATGCCATCATCCAGCGCGCGAGTGTTTGATCCCACGGACATGGACCCCGGATCTCAGCTAAACTACGCAGCAATTCGCCTGTATCACCGGAGCGGGCAGACGGCAATGGATGCCATACACGGAGCCGGCTCAACGCTACTGGGCATGGTCGACAGCACTGTAGCACAACTCAAGGTAAGATCTATCTTCAGGAAAGATGAACTCAATTGGTTATTGAACCGCCAACGGCCCTGCATCCCCCACCCGCGTGAAATCCCCCAACTCTGGGTGGACTTGGAAATTATCCCACTTATGGGCTCACCACACCTCAGTCGTTGAAGTGGGGTTTTTTGGGGTGAGGACAAGGCGCACATACACACACACACACACACACACACACACACACACACACACACACACACACACACACACACACACACACACACATAGACACATGTAAACATCATGTACCATGTATCGTCCGTCGCAAGAGAAGCACGCAAATCTGCAAGTGCACTGGATGCATGTGCACCCACAGATGTTCTCATAGCAACGATAGTGGATCTGATTCTGAATGAAACAGATCAAGACAAGCGCCAGATAAATGTCTAATCCACACAACTGGCGAAGCCATGTGAATCACCCCCCCCCCCCCCCCCCTGCACATCTGGTCTACACAACACCACATATGGAGCACATTGGAAAAGGACGGTCAAGACAGTTAGTTACCTATGCACATCCTACACTTGCTGGGGTATCCATTATAGACAGCACGCTGCTTTGATAGAAGTAGACATGTGATGCACTGCTACCTTGAAGTGAAATTGGAGTTACTGTAAATATACAAATTTTCGGCAGCTATTTAATTTCGGCTATATTCGGCACCGACCCAAAACGTCTAAATTAAAACGCCGATAAAAATTTTCACAGCATCTGTCGCACTATACTATGCCCTCTACCCCACGCCGAAAATAAATCGCCGCCGAAATGTCAAAAATCGTGAAGTGCCGAAATTTTGTATATTTACAGTACTTTACCAACCAGCAGAGCTTGGCAACTGAGTACTGGGAACCCAGGGCCCACATGCACAGACGTACCAGTAACCTCAGCCATGAAAACTATAATTATAGTAACGACACACTGGATTGTGGAGCCGAAACTAGTCCTACTTCGAAATGCTTTGGCAAGAAGGTAGCCTTCCGACAGGTTGGACACACACACACACACACACACACACAATACAATATGCCCATCCGGAGATGATAGCAGGTCCCAAAGGGACCAACAGTGTTCAAGTCACGAGCAGAATCGGGCGTGGCGAGTCAAGTCCTGGCGACGGCGATAGCGCTTTCCACAAGTGCAAACGAAGTCTAAGGTGACGGGCTCGGCTGCATGCTGATCTCCATTCTCTGCGGTCCTGGGCGAGGTCGTACCAGTCCGCTATCTGGCGGTCCTTCATGTCGGACACAACATTGTCCCGCCACCGCTTCCGGGGCCCATAACGTGGCCGGGTCTTGTCCAGTTCGCCGAAGAGGATACACTTTGGCATACGGGAGTCATCCATTCGAGCAACATGGCCTAACCAGCGGAGTCTTCAGTGCCTCCTCGATCGGCTGTACCTTGGCTCGTTCAAGGAGAGTGTTGTTGGAGATGTGCTCCTGCCATTGGGTTACTCTGCGAATATCCAGCAGGAAACGAACACATCGGTGATGAAAGGCTGCAAGCCGACGAACATCCACGGCCTTAATTGCCCAGGTCTCACAACCATACAGCAGCGTCGACAAGACAACGGCCGGATATACGTGCACCTTCGTCTTGACGGAGAGATCACGACTGGAAAAGACAGATGAGCGCAATGTGCCAAATGCTCGGGAAGCTTTCGCCAAGTGAGCCGAGATCTCAGCAGTCATCTGGCCATCCGAAGAAATACAACTGCCGAGATACGTAAAATCAGGCACCAGCTCAATGCTACCCTCAGGCAACTCTAAAAGGCCGGATGGTGGCGACGGGGCATTCACTACCATAGCTTTGGTCTTGGTGAAGCTTACAGTGAGGCCAAACCTGCTTGCAGTGGCGACGAAGGAACTGCCAGCAGCTCCCATGTCCTCGACTGACTGTGTGTATATGGCGGCATCATCAGCTAATTGCGATTCCGTAACAGAACAGCGTGACAGGCGAGACTTAGCTGTGCGGTCACCGACAAGCTTCCGACCAAGACGATATTCCCCTGGTATCCCGGCAGAGACACAACCAGAATGCCACTCGTGCACGACAGCAGAAAAGTAAAGGTTAAACAACACCAGTGCAAGCGTACATCCTTGACGGAGTCCGTTGTGTACGGAGAAGCGATCCGTTGTTGTTCCTGAAACTCGCACTGCTGCCGACATACCATCATGCAGAGATCGAATTACCCGAAGCATCTGTGGAGGTACACCTAGCTTCTCAAGGACTGACCAAAGAGCAAGCCTGGGGATCGAGTCATAGGCTTTACGGATATCTACGAACAGTACACATAGCTCATCATCATGCTCGATGGTCTTCTCGATGAGCTGGCGGGCCACGAATATCATGTCATTGCAACCTCGACAACAACGAAAACCACACTGCGAGTCCGGAAGGACTTCCTCTGCTATAGATTGCATCCGGGTCTGAATGATGCTGGCGAACAACTTCCCGGCAACGTCTAACAAGCTTATACCTCGCCAGTTGTCGCACAGGCGCAGATTACCCTTCTTCGGGATGGGAACGATCTCTGCATCTCGCCAGTCACTGACAACATCACCACTCTGCCAAACAGAAACCATTACGTCCAGTAGATACCGGTGCAGGTCTTCACCACCACAGATTATCATTTCTGGCAACACACCTGTTGATCCTCCAGCCTTGCCGCACTTCATACGCTTTAAGGCAGTCTGAAGCTCACTGAGAGTAGGTGGAGTGTCTAGGTCATCACGGACCTCAGCTTGTGGCACTCTACCAATAACCTCAGCATCAAAAGTAGTTGCAACGTTAAACACAGTGTCAAAGTGGCGCTGCCATCGAGCTGCAATTTGTGTCTGCGAGGTAAGAGCATTGCCATTTTCATCCAGAATTGATGTTGTCGGTGCTGACTGACGACCTGCGAAGGTTGAGGCAAGGGTTTTTATGCACCCCCACCGGACTCGACCATTACGTACAGCGTCTTCAGCCTTGGTTGCCAGGTCACAGACCCACTTCTCCTTGGCGAGTCAAACAGCATCAGAAACACAGCGCTGAGAAGCTCGGTACTCTTTCCGGTGTTTCTCCATTGGTGATTGTGTGAAGACTACCTGGGCAGCGTTTTTCTGGTCGATGAGTGGCTGGACGGTGTCAATAGCGTCAAGAAACCAGTCTTGCTGACGTCTCCTGCCCCGCACACACACACACACACACACACACACACACACACACACACACACACACACACACACACACCTTGACCTTTGACGCCCATCGCCGGAGGCGATGATAGCAATGCTACGGCAGAAGCCATAGCAACTTGTGCTGGGATTACACCATTCAACAGCTTGCAAGGCTGAAGAATTGACCGTCACTATTCAGCCTGGTCTACACCATACAGCTATTTGGAGTGACATTTTCTGGCCAGTGAATCCCTTTTTTGGTCTTTTTCATTTTTTTCTCTTTTTTCTTTTTTTTTCCCGCACACACATCACACCACATACTCCGGCATGCACTGGCTGTTGGTAACCACCCAGGAGAATGAAAGAAAAGTCAGGAAGAGTCTGAGAAAGAGAAGAAAGACGTGCGTGACCATAATCGTCGGGAATCGAACCCGCAATCTATCGATTGGAAATCGCTGCACATACCACTGCACCATATGGGACACACACACACACACACACACACACACACACACACACACACACACACACACACACAAGCTACTGCCGACATCCCTTGACTGGAGTACTATTTCCCGCATACAACTCGTACAGCTATTGGTAGCTGTAGCAACACAGAAATCACACCATCCTCCATGCACAATCCAGACATTCCCGCCATCCCGCACTGCGGCTCGACAGCCCTGCTTTCCACCAAGATTCTTCTTATACAGTCACATTGTAAATGTGTTTGGACGACAGCCCGTTACCGTCTTGGTCTACATCATGTAGGTGATGAGACCCTGCTCTGGCCTGGTGACCATATCGGACGGCTTTTATTGTTTGTTTATGTATTTAGACAACATCTCCTGGCGCGTCAAAAGGCAGCCAATTAATCAGTTGAGATGAAGGGCGAGAGCCAAGCTTTTTCAAATTTGGACTTCACGGAGAATTTCAAAGTATTAGGGAATCAGAGGCCACCCGCCTCATACTGCTCTTTTCTCTCCGAAACTCGACACTGGCAAGCCAGCTACGAAAGAAAGATAAACAGGCAAATGTTGCTCTCGCACTATTCTGCATGCACAGGACAACATAACGTATGAAGATTTACTGCAGACGTTGATACATGAAAATGAACGCATCCTGACCAAGGACTGGCGCTTGGGGTACAGGCAGGCTACTTTCTACGACTGTGAGGAGACACCAACGACTGTTGTGGATAACCTGCCCAGTGGAGCAGCCATTTTGACCAACAAGCGCCTCCTGCTCCTGTCTGCTCAAGTCCACAAAGGTATGGTGTATATGTACCCTGTATAACCTGTATAACTATATGTATGCCATATGTACATGGTGTGGATTTATTTATTTTTTATTCCCGTAGCTATGCAGAAGACGTTACTTCAGTAACGTCTGGCGCTAGCCAGGGTCCACACAGCTTTAATTTGGTGTTTGTGTGTTTGTGTGTTTGTGTCACGCCTGGCGCTATCCCGTATCTGTCCCGTACCGTACCGTACCATCAAACACAGCTGGTCACATACAGCTGGCCGCAATATTCAAATAGGGCTTTCAAACGCAAGATCATAACGTGAAGCAACTTGGTAGAATGAGTATGAATGCGAAGTGTATGGGGGAATGTATGTAGGGCGATAGTGCGGGTTCGAATCCCAGGTTATGCCTAAAAAATAGGAGAATTGAAAAATTTATAACATCCCTATGCTTTTTTGCCTTGGTCATCAAGGCGGTAGACGGTGTCGTATTACCCTCGACCGTACATGTCCCGTACCTGTCCCGTACCATACCGTGCCATCAAAGACGGCTGGCCACAATGCATATTCAAATAGGGCTTTCAAATGCAAGATCATAACGTGTAGCAACTTGGAAGAATTAGTATGTATGCGAAGTGTATCGGGGGATGCATGCAGGGCGATAGAGCGGATTCAAATCTGAGGTTATGTCTTTAAAAAAAAAAGGAAAAATTTGTATGAATTTATAACATCCGTATGCTCTTTTTGTCTAGGTCATCAAGGCAAAAAAGCATAGCGTAGGGCCCTGAGCTTCCAAGCTCTCTCGTTTATGTATTTATTTATGGATTCCCCGAAGGCCGAGGCCTAAGTCGAGGGGGTCTCCGTTCATGGCTTACTGGGAATATCTTCAAAATTGGATTGACTGCACAACATGTATACATGTACATGTAGTATAATATACATTGCAGCGTATGCACCTAGCACATTGAGTTGTTGATTCTAGCACATCAGAGCCTACTGCCTCTGGGAGGCAGGCCCGTCGCACCGACTTTGGAGGTGGGGCGGGCATGGCAGGGGGGTCCGGGGGTCTTCCCCCGTGAAAAAATTTCAAAAATTGAAGCCAATTGCAAGCATTTCCGGGTATTTGGTGCCATTTCAGTGTACGGTAACTACAATCGACGAGGAGACAATAGTCGTAAAATGGCAATAAATAAGATAAATTGTGGACTCATAACAACAGCAAAAATGAAGAAAGTCAAGTTCCATAACGTTTTCTTGTGACTGTCATCAGTGGAACGCCGTCACATAAAAATGTAATAACTAAAACACACACTTATATACATGTAGCTAATATGGTTTCAGGTAGAATTACAGCAGCTAACAATAACTTTCTCACATACACTATATTCACACATTGCAAAGGCCTTAAGGTGCAAACTTCGCTTTTTGTACTTGTTAGCTGCTTGTTAGCTGCTGTAATTCTACCTGAAACCATATTAGCTACATGTATATAAGTGTGTGTTTTAGTTATTACATTTTTATGTGACGGCATTCCACTGATGACAGTCACAAGAAAACGTTATGGAACTTGACTTTCTTCATTTTTGCTGTTGTTATGAGTGCACAATTTATCTTATTTATTGCCATTTGGTAACTACAATGAAAGTCTTTTTGATTCTGCAACAAACGAAGATGACGCTACGATCGGGGACAAACATTACCCTCCCCCGGGAAAAAAATTCAAAAATTGAAGCCAATTGCAAGCATTTCCAGGCATTTGGTGCCATTTCAGTGTAACTGCAATGAAAGACTTTTTTCTGCAGCAAACCACGATCGGGGACAAGGATTTGTCACGTTTGCGCTAAGCTGCGACCATTGTGCTTTGTTAATGTTGTAATGTGCTCCAAAAAAAAAAAAAAAAAAAACGGTCGAAAAAGTGGGGCGGCCTCAGCCGCCCCGGCTGTGACGGCCTTGGGAGGTGTTGATTGTCATATTGTCTGCACTTGATCACCCTATCTCCTCTGCTTGCCCTTGCTTACCACGTGTGTGTGTGTGTGTGTGTTTGTGTGTGTGTGTGTGTGGTGTGTATGGGTATGTGTGTATGTGTGTGTGTGTGTGTGTGTGTGTGTGTGTGTGTGTGTGTGTGTCCCATATGGTGCAGTGGTATGTGCAGTCGATTTCCAATCGAGAGGTTGCGGGTTCAATTCCCGACGATTATGGTCGCACACGTCTTTCTTCTCTTTCTCGGACTCTTCCTGACTTTTCTTTCATTCTCCTGGGTGGTTACCAACAGCCAGTGTATGCCGGAGTATGTGGTGTGGTATGTGTGTAAAAAAATGGAAAAAATTGAAATGAAAAATAGGGATTCACTGGCCAGAAAAAGTCACTTCAAACAGCTGTGTGGTGGATACCAGGCTAAAAATAGTGGCGGTCAATTCATCAGCCTTGCAAGCTGTTGAATGGTGTAATCCCAGCACAAGTTGCTGTGTGTTAAACATAGCTGTTCGCTATCATCGCTTCCGCGATGGGCATATCTGAGGTCTGAGGTCTGAGGTGTGTGTATGTGTGTGTATGTGTGTGTGTATGTGTGTGTGTATGTGTATGTGTATGTGTATGTGTATGTATGTGTGTATGTGTGTATGTGTATGTGTATGTATGTGTAATGGGTGGCCGAGTGGTAGGCGCGGTGAAATCAACAAGAATTACTTTTATTCTACTTTCAGGTACACACCTGAGATATAATTATTAGTGAAAGAAGAAGCGGCAAAATAAATAACTTTCTCTCCGGTGCTCACCTAGAGGTTGAATCCTTCTTCTTCGAGTTAGCTTTCATTGCTATCTAATCTAATCTAATCTAATCTAATCTAATCTTCATCAAAAGAGAAATGCGCAGCCGCTTTTATGCAGCAGACGCCGTACGCTTACATACGGAGATACACTAAATATACATCAGGCAAAGCTCCGTAATAGTTCCGTACTGCTTCCGTATTGGTCGGGTAGGGATACTACATATGAATGTATGTGTGTGTGTGTTTGCATGTGATTGATTGATTTTTATTTAAGGATTGTCCAAAGGCCGCAGAGGCCTGTCGAGGAGCTACGTGTGTGAATACCCTTAGTTTCCTGAGTCTATTGCGTAATTGTATGACTATTGCGTAACTGTATGACTGGTTACTCGCAGGCCTTGGTCTGGAGAGCATCGGTCAGAAGAAGACGTCGCGACGCTATGTCCTCAAGGCAACCAATAGTGACAATGTCCACTACAAGCCGCTGCCACTCAGCAACTTTGCTTCCATTGAAATGAGCGCATCGGCTGGTGCCTCGGTCACTGCTGACGTCAATCCAGTATTCCCTTGCTGCGGTGGCTGCTGTCCTTGCTTCTCGGTAAGTAGGACCACGCTGAACGGCGTAGTTCCTCTACACTCAAGAAATATTGAAGAGGACTAAATTTCGCAGAAACACCCACCTGATATACTAGTATCCATTTTTGAACTCCAAGTATGGCATGGCATGTTAAATAAATAATTGTCTTGCTGGTCTGGATTTCCGATTTGGATTGGTTCATGAATTCCAAGCGGTTGACCTTGCCCGTGGGGATAAGTAGGATAACTGAGTATAGTCCTAGATGGCTGGGCGCTGGAAGCAGGATTGCTGAACACAGACAGTGGTATTTGCAAGCATCCGCACCACCATGCACGCTTCAACATTGAATGACATGTTTGCTATACTGATGTGCCTTTGCCACTGTGTGTGCATGTGTGTGTGTGTGTGTGTGTGTGTGTGTGTGTGTGTGTGTGTGCGCGTGCGTGCGTGTGTGTGTGTGTGTGTGTGTGTGTGTGTGTGTGTGACTGCAGTGTTGCTGTGCCAGTGCCCGCAAGAGATGGACCTCGGTGGTGTCCGCCACCAACAACCACAACACACGCGTGCTGAAGATTGGTCTGCTCTTGCCGCCGTGGGGACGTAAGTGTATGCTACACCTGGAGCTGGAACCCACTATGCCGCTCTCACATGCCCGCGACTTCATCGCTATGCTACAACAACATCCGAAGCTTGCTGCCTGAAGTCAACGCATGCTCCGTTTGCTGCCTGAAGCCGACTCATGCTCAGCTTGCTGCCTGAAGCCAACTCATGCTCAGCTTGCTGCCTGAAGCCGCAACACATGCTCAGGTTGGTTAGTTTGGGCTGATGTCCAGTGTCACGGCAAGTGTCCATGTTCTATGGCAGGGGCGTCGGAACCGGTGCGGCAGGTGCGGCCAAAGCCGCACCAATAATTTTCGAAGTTTTTTTTTGGCATTTCAACCTTGTTGATGGCTTGTCGACTCTTGTACCATGTTGTACAGGTACCATGTTTTACATCGACAATGCGGTGTATCATCAGCATGCATATTCATATCCTTTTAGGCCCAATTTTCAAAAAACATTCACGGGGGAGGACCCCCGGACCCCCTCTCACACTTTCGCCGCACCAATGTTAAATTGCATCCGACGCCCCTGTATGGTGTGCTGTATACATTGTAAAGGAACTCCGCCAGGCTAGGCCTGGGTTAGTGTAACCGAATCCTGTGTGACTAGTTGCACCTGAACCTGTTTTGTGTTGTGTGTGTGTGTGTGTGTGTGTGTGTGTGTGTGTGTGTGTGTGTGTGTGTGTGTGTGTGTGTGTGTGTGTGTGTGTGTGTGTGCGTTGTTGTGTACGTGTGCGTGTGACGGTTTGCAATCATTATCATTATTGCTATTCAATTGGCAGCCAGCCTCTTGCTTACTAAGCTTTTCCGAGGGCTGTACATTTCTGATCATTGCTTTTGTTTGTATGCAGAACTGCTGTACACATACAATATCCCAGGTTTTGAATGCGTGTTTATGTTACTCAATCTGCAATCTGCGTGTTTATGTTATGAAGGGTGTTAAAGAGAGTAGAGTCCTCATGATAGAGTCATAGAGTGCTGAATGCTCCCAGGAGCAGAGCTTTGCCACACCGGAGTCACAGAGCACCACATGTCGAGTTATAAAGTTGTAGCTAATAGTCTGGTGCCAGGTCCGTGTCCGCTTCATTAGAGGAGACTGGGTGGAGGCCGGTGTAAGGGGGGGGGGGGGAGGGGCATGAAAGTGGCACACGGTATGATGATTGTCGCAGTCGCTTTTTAGCACAACTCTAGTCTGGACTGGGTAGAGCGGCAGCATAAGCCTGTAGGAGGCATGTTGTCTGCCATTGCTGGTTAAAAATCCAAGCGAAAATGGTGTCGCTGCACACGCTCAGCAGAGCTCACTAGCTATTAACCTGTGTATGCGTGCCGACAAATCTGGCACATGCAAACGAAGGTAGACATTTCCGTCCAGCGCATCCGAATATTTCCTTTCATAAGTTTTGGTGATCCATCCAGATCATGATGTACTGACCATGTTCACAAAGGCTCATGATCCGCTCTACTCGAGGCTGAACTTGAAGGATGTGGATCAAATCTAGAATACTCTGAACTCTGCAGAGTACTGTATTTCCCGGAGTATAGGCCGCACTTTAAGCACCAGTAATTCATCCAAAAAAGTTGGTGGGCATATATTATTACGATGGTCAAATTAATGGAGATAAACAGGATACATGTTGATGTCTGTATTTAAATGTTAATATACGCGAAGAGTTTCCTCGGAGACAAGAATGCGATAATACTGAGAAGAAGCACACACTTCAGTCTTCAGGCTTTTGAAGAACTTCTTGAAAGTGTTCACGTATATACTTCGAAGGACTTACAAGCCTTCTCGTCAGGGGAAATCCTCCTTCTTAGTATTATCTGAAATGAGAACGGAATCATAAACTTCAAATTCACTTATGATCTGTATTTCGTCACTATTTTCGTGACAAAAATCTGGGTGCGGCTTATACTCCGGAAAAGACGGTAGGTCCACATATCATACATGTATGATGATAAGGCCAACCTTTGTTAATTCATTGTTTAACGTCCTTTTTTTCGCGAAAAGGTACGCGGGAGGGCTGACAAAAAACAAAAGCCCATTCCAAAAACTGGAAACCCCAATCAAACATTTTAACCAGTAAAGCATGTGATATATACAATATTTCTGTGTCTAACGGCACTTGCAGGCATAGAACAACACTCTTTGATGGTACATTGGAGCACATGCCTGATGAATCCAACAAAACAGGTACATACCATGGAGTTAACATGTCATGAATTCATTACATCTGGATTTTTACTAGGACACAAACCGTACGATATTTAAAAGCCAACAAAAAAAGAAAAAGAACACAAGACAAAGGCATGCCCGGGAGGCAAGATTATAAGTTTAAGGTCATGATCGGCACACTGTGAAACTACACAATCATGTATTTACAACTTCGCATATTATTGGTACTACTACTTTCTTGTTTTTTTTTCCGGTCGGAGGCAAAAAGGTACGCGGGCGCGGACGTTAAACAACGAAAAAAGAAAGGGTGGCCTAATCGCATATCCCAAGATGCGCTCTCGCTGCTCATATCAGTGTTGAGCACTCGTGCATTGTCGGCCCTGTTGCTGCAGTCGACTACTTGTAGACTTGGTGATGATAATACGCCGACAATGCACGAGTGCTCAACACTGATATGAGCAGCGAGAGCGCGCACACATCCCAGCCGACATGCCGTGTACTGTAAACTGCCTATTAATGCTCACCACATATTAATGTTTGCTAAATTTCGCAAGAAGAGCATAACGCGAATATTTTAACCACCATGAAATCAAACTTCAACAGATCATGACTGCTAGACAGTAATTGTGAAACAGAATGACTAGTATTACTGACTACCTGATGATGGTGGTGATGGTGGTGATGGTGGTGATGGTGGTGAACGTGAAACTCTGATTTGCGACATAGCTTCCTTTCTCTTTGCAGCCGTTTCTAGAATTGTGAAACGTAATACGTTCAATAGAAAACTTCATAATAAGACTCTTGCAGAAAGGGAATTCTCGCTTAACACGAGAAAGTGACGCCAACCTGCTATAAAGGCTCTGTTTTGGTATTCAATAAGAAAACAATGTCCTCTATACTAAGTGAGCAATTCATTGTACATGTACATGTACATATATATGATGTATACCACGAGCAATTTGGGTTGAGCGGCTAGCTCGATAACAGCAGTAGTATTCATGAAGTAGGTTTGGGCCAGCAGACCTATCATATTTGCATTCAGACTTTGAAACTGTGGCCATGGGAACCACTGAGTCGATCTATAGGGTTGTTCTCTTCTGAGGATGATGCCCATGTATATCCGCACTTGCACGTACACACATGCACACACATGCACACACATGCACACACACACACACACACACACACACACACACACACGTACACACATACACACACATACACACACACACTTGTGCTTATCCATAGCATTAGCTTGTTTGAACTTAGCACGGCATTAGCTTGTTGGGAAGTCCAGCAGATCCATCATCTGATCATCTGTAGAACTTGAACTTGCTATAGACACCGTAGAGAACACGCAGAGTGGACTTGAGGTCTTTGTGCACAATGTCATCTGGTTTGATTGGCGGCAGTGTGACCCCGGAATCGGCCATCAACTGCATGGCCAGCTTGACGTTGCGCAGCTTCTGGTCCAGGTTTTTCGGCCGCACGTTGTAGCTACAGAATGGCAGACAGTAGCGCTCTAACAGGCACATCAGATGGATAAGGTTGACACCGTCGTGGAACTGTGTGCCCACGTCCACGACTTCCACCTTGATCTTGGCTAAGTGTTTGTTTACGAACGTCAGCAACGAGTTTTCTACGGCTTGAAGCTTATCTGGTGCTTGCTCGAACAGGCGATCGAACACATCCTTATCCGGAATGCGATTTCCAAAGCCGTCCTCACTGCCCGTAATTTCCTCCACGATTTCCTCATGAATAACTTTGTCGTCCACCTCCTCCATACGCAGTGCTCGTATGCGCACGTTACGCGGCAGGTCGATGGGCGCCTCGAACAAGCGAGACAGTGCCACCAGCAGGTGTAGCGTTGCCAGCGGATCTTTGAGGTAGATCGCCTCCACTGACCATTTGGCCTCTTCGTCGAAGATTCTCAATTGTCTGTTGACATACTCGATCACACGGCTAAGCTTGACTCTCTGGTCGCCTTCTGATAGTGCCAGTGCCGACTCCCTCGTCTCGTTCGAGCCTGTCAGCTCTTCCAACAACTCCGTCAAGATTTGCCCGTCACAGAAGTCTTCAAAGAAGTCGCGCAGTAGAATTCTCCGCTCGGCCAGCACTTCATTGAGCCAGTCCAGTATGAGATCGATGAGTTTCTTGACATTGGGCGAGTCCAGTGTGCCAGGCTGGAGAACCACTTTGTTCTTGTACGTCTTGTATTGGTCGGAGACTTGAGGTTTGGTAGCTAATTTGATGGCTTTGCGTCCTTCCTCCTCTAATCGCGACACTTCCTCATCCCCGACCAGTAATCTCTTTTTCAACGTGGCCATTGTCGTCGCTTGCTTTCTCCTCCCGGACGCTCCCGAGGGCAGTGGTGTGCCAGGTGTCGATGCTGCCCCACCGTCGGGCATCCCAGTGCCCGACATTGCCCCTGTCTCGGGAGGCTGGGCTGCTTCGAATGCCATCTCTTCTCCGCGTTACGCTGTCGTGTGGACTATTGCCAACCTGCAGTGCAGACGTGCCGCGGTACGGCAGATCGAAGTGCTGCTGGTGAAGCTGGTCCGCTGAGCGTGGCGAAGTCACGATTCGAGCCTTCCACTCACCTGGGCTCCGCCAGTGACAGACAGTCAGTGTTTCGCTTTCACTTGCGAGACGCGGTACGATACCGTCCAGTCGGTTTGTTGTTTTGCACCTCCAGTCTCTAATCACTGCTCTAAGGCTAAGCGCTAACGCACAGGTCAGGTATCATCACTTGATGGCAGGTAGCGTAGACTTATCTATCTGCTGACCAGAACTAGCAGAAGTGTAAATCCGTGCTCAAAGCAGAAGTGCGGCCTGATGCTCTGAGCTAAGGTTGTAAAATGCGCAGTAATTAGCGCTGGCAGCCACGTTTGAAGAAAGTAAGTTGTTGGCGTGTTTCACAGTTCCCTTCGCGGCTGCTGCTCTCTGCTATGTGATACTGACTGACCAAAGGGGAGACACAGGAGAGTGGAGTAGGTTAGGTCGAGTACATTGTATGCCTCGACAGCTGGCACCAACTTGATGAAGTCTCCAGCAGGCCTTCCTCGACAGCGTGGCGCATTGCACTGCTGAGTCTAGCCGCTATGGACCTATATGTATGGTATGGTGCTGCTGGTGTGGGGCGAGCGGGCGTTGCACGGTGCTTCTTGGCGTGTCAGAGAGTGGTTGAAACTGTGACTGTGTCAGTACTTTGAGGAAGAGCTGTGAGTGCCCGTTGAACGTTGAGAGCCGCCCCTCTAGTACTACGCTCTGTTCCGCGGAAAGGCCGGCCGCTCGTGTTCTTAGTGAAGTACAATGCTACGGTGAAGGTGATCCCTCACATTATCGATCAGCACCCATCCGCAGTGATGCACAAGCGCACTCCTACCTGCGACCTACGGCCTCCAGTAACAGCGGAACATTGGCAAATCTACGCTGTGCTACAGTAGTCGGTAACACTCACAGTGACTCGTGTGTATTGTGTGGGATACTCAGGCATGGAACATAGCATGCACTTAGTGAATAGCCGAGCATCCTCTGTCTCCCAGGATACAGTTCGCAGGCAGCAAAGTGCGCGTGGAGACCCGTTGTGTGACGAAGTAACGCGGTCATTATTCCCGGATGCCTGCATGCATGGTATGTACTTCGAAGTACAGTCACCGTCACGTGTGTACCATGGTGTACAGCATGGACAGTTACTGAGTATGCATAGGTACTAGGTAAGTGGACCTGGGACTGTCATGCGTGTATTATGGAACGCCACGACACATACAGATACACGCACACACACACACACGCAGACCACACACACACACACCACCACCATACACACACACCTCACACACACACACACACACACACACACACACACACACACACACACACACACACACACACACACACACACACACACACACACACGTGACACACACACACCAAACCACCCTGATGCCAGATATAATATTATCACTGTGGCAGGTGCGCTGGAGTTCCACTCAGTATTATAATCTCAGCCAGCAGCACACTGAGCACACCACAGTACAGCCTCTCAGGAGGACTCGGCTAGTCTGATCATGAGACAGTGACACTGTGACAACAACACACTGCCTCAGTTACCAGTACACTCATACCAAGAGTAGATCAACAAGAGTGTGCAACTCCTGGATGGGTTGGCCCGAGGCGGAATTTTTTGTTGACGTAATCTTTTCGACGATGCATGCGCTGCGAGTCTTTTGGAAAGTTTTGCCTCGTGCACTTGGCCAGGCTTTACTTTACAAAGTCGGTGCCCAGCACGTGCTCTCACACTGCTCTGGGGCAAAATGCGCGTTTTTCTGAAAAAAGGTGACGTCAACAAAAAATTTCGCCACGGGCGGGGGTATCTGCAGATTGTGCAGAAGAGATCCGGAGTTGCACACTCTTGTTTATCTACTCTTGCTCATACCTATCTCTCCTAGCTAGGCAGTCCGGAACTGGTCACTGCCCATAACCTGGAAATGTCCGTAACTAGGAATCACACACGTTTGCATAGGGAAGGACATAGCATCTGGCATATGACGTAACTCTTTCCGAAAGGCAATCGAGCACAGTCAGTATTGCCTATAGCGGTGGTCTCTGATTTTGAGCAATTTATCACTACAAGCGATATAACTATTACTACGACCGATACTGCCTGCACTGTATGCGAGTGGGGTATCAAAAGACTCCGCGCATTACACATACACACTGTATAGTTGGTTGCAGTATACTCCTACTTGGAGAAATGCACCCTATCATGCCTATGCAGCCAAGGCTCCTGACACACATTGTCAGCATACATGTATCCTCACGAGGGAGGTATTTTGGAAGACTAATACTACAAGTAGAACTCAAGAAACAACACCGGGCAAATTTTTCACAAAGAAGTAACTTCCTGTTCGCCTCTGACACCACTTGATTTCACATCAATTACTTTAACCGATGCAAAAATAATGTAGTAGAGGTATTTTGAAAATTGAATTTGATCACTATAGCCAATGCATGTATAATATTATTACTGTACACGGTAACTGTATGTACTTAGCTATAGCAAATGAAAATGAATTTGAGAAGTTGATCGCTATAGCCGCTATATTACTATAGCCGCCAACCTTATAGGAGATGCGTACTGTAGTAGTATTTCCACTAAAACCTGCCCGCAGGCCGCAGGGTGCAGGGTGCAGGGTGCAGGGTGCCTAGTAGACCGAGGTGACCGTAACTTGGAGGTCCGGATACGAGAGATGAAATTATTAGTATAGTAACTAGTATATGTTCCAGCAACTGATGTACTCCTATACTGACAAGAATGCTAGACAAGTCATTGGCATTTGCAGTACATGTACAGTTGAACATCGATTATCCGACCACCTCTGGGCAGGCAACTGTCAGGCGGTGTTCAGATAAGGCAAATGTTCCGGATAAGAAAAAACTGTCTCTCACACACTTTCAGTGGTTATTACTAGCCGCACGACCTTTTTACTTTTTACTTTTCAAAATTTTCGTATTTTTTGAATGGCTCACTACATGCACAGTGCGTACTCTACGGCACGTGCGCCCAAAAAAACTGTTACGGATAATCGAATGGTCGGATAGTCGATGTGCGGATAATCGATGTTCAACTGTACATGTGTCGGGTTGTACCCGCAGTACATGTATGCTCTGGGTTGTGACTGGGGTCACTGGGCCCAGCGAGAGAGATCATGACGGGCTGGGCCATGGGATGACGTCTATAGCTATAAGACGGATACATGCACAGTAATTACCACAGCAATCAGCACACGTAATGTTTTTTTTTTTAAGTACATGTATGCGGCCTGTTTACACGATGGAAGGGCTGCATGCCACGTACCGGGAAGTGAGGCACGTGATCTCGAGAGCGTGCCCGTGGAGTGGAGACATGAAAATTGAATCACAAGGCGAGCAGAAAACGGGCACATCCCGTCTAGCACAAACATGTTTTGAATTGGTGCGTTCAATGCCGACAAGTTTCCCGTTCTCCATCGAAAAGAAACTGTCCATACATGTCTAGGCATGCCATTCCACCCCAGCCACCCCGGCATGCATTATGCATGGCATAGTTCTGGTCTCTAGGCATACACTCTGGACAAAATCTGATCTCATGTGACTGTGTGGCCATGGCAGCATCAGCCACATGGCGTCGTACTAGTATTATTATCAACCCTAACTGCTTTTTGCCAACAGTGTACTGTATACATCGATGTATGCACAGATGCAGATTGCATGTTCACATTTCTTCGTGTTGGAGATCCCATTACAAGCTGCTACACTACTCAACCCCCGACCGGAGGGGTATGATTCTCTTGACGTTACCATTCAATGTTAGACAAAGGTCCAACCTAAGACTAGATCGGGGTCTCAACATTCGTTTTCAAGTGAGAAAACTACAAAAAAAACTAGATGAAAATGCACCGGCGGCTTACGCTAGGCGAGTTCAAAAGCTACATAAATAAATATCGAGGTGAATGAAACAAAAATGCACGTACCTCCGCTGGCTGCATTGTAATGGTAGCATTGGTAACACTTACTGAGATGGGCTAACAATGATGAGCAAGGTGAGGAGTTTTGAAAGAATGGAATCTTGGAATAAAAATATATGGCGAGATATGAGTAAGAAAGCAAGGTAAGTATCAATATATGGGATGTGGATATGAAAACATATTGTATCATATACAAACTTTGAAATAGGGTTCAAGAAAGTCTCAACAATTTATTTACGGCATTACTAGAGGGCTTGGAGGTATAGTCAGCATACAACCGGTGGTGTGTTTGTGAACCTGATGAAGGCGGCCATGGCATAGCAAGTACATGACTAGTAAACACAAGCACGGATTATGCTCAACAGTCTATAGACAAACTGGCTCAGGCAAGCAAACACAGTCAGCACAGTCAGGAGTTAGGATGCGCTGTAGCCGTTAAAGCGATTCATGGTCTTGTCGTAGCAGCGCTTGCCGTGGATGTAGCGCATGGCGTCCGAATACGTCTTCGGCAGCACTCGGCGCGGCTTCTTCTCCTGGCTGGCAAAGGTGAACTGGAAGATGTTGGTGGTCTGACGCGCTCCATCGCCGCATGCAATCTTCTCTGCGTGCACGGACACGTGAAGGTACGGTCCTTCGGTGAAGACAATCTGCGATTTGAACTCCAACATGTCTCCAATCTCCACGGGCACTCTGAAGAATATGTCGTCCATTGCAATGAACTGTGGAAGGGTCTGCGTGTACACGCTCACCGACGCCCAGGCAAGTTCAAACGCCTGCCGCATCAGATATCCACCAAAGATCTTGTTGTGCATGTTGCGATGCTGCGGATGACAGAGTCGTACAGAGGACATGCGTGTGTCGGACATCCACACCGAACCCTCCGGTAGCCGCGGATCATCCTGCAGAGCGGCGGAGGAAGAATCAACAGTTTCCAGAAACAATTCGTGTACTGCCCTTCGTTCATCCTCGCTCGGTGGCCGTCTAGTAAGCGATGCCTTGGCCATCATCTGACGCCCAGCTTTTCTTCTTTCGCCCTGCTGAAACATTTCTATTTCCTCCTGAGTACGCAGCTGCAGGAAGTTGATTTGTGCCGCTTTGCCTGTCTGTGGGTTACGGCCGACCATCACAAGTGTGGCCTCCGCCAAACGCTTCCACTGCCGGTTGTCATTGCTCGAATCCCCATCTTGTGATGCCGCAGTGTTTTCTTTTGCTGCAGTCTCCTCGGGGCCTTTCTCTTCTTGATCAATGAACACAGCTACCTCCATTGAGCTCTTGCCCACCCAAGTCACCATTCCAGTGAGGCGAATGTCTCGCTCCAACGATATGTTCTCACGGATATCCAATCGGTCAACCAACGCTGTAACTATTGATAAATTCTTGGCTTTGTCTAGATTCCCGTGTTGTGAGCAGTGCATGTACGCCGAGTAGGCAGCGATAATGTCCATGTCTTCTAGCAGCAGCCCTGCACGCACACCACCCATAATGTTCATGTAGGCTATGCGACGTTCTGCACTCGTCCCCAGTGGAATGTATCCAACAACTTTGCTGTCCTCTACACTATGCGGTGCAATGTCAGGCTCAAATGGTGCGCCGCATGCAGTTGCTTCACGCTTCTCTGCAGTTACTGCAGTCCAACGCTCCTTTCTCCAGGGCAGCTGGTGGTCCACACCCAGGAACGAATTCCACATGTGCTCGCGAATTTCCTTGATATCTGAGCCACCAGCCATCCGAGTCCACGTTTGTGCCTGCTGAGAACATGCTGATGGTGAAGTGCTGCTACAGGTCCGCACCATCGCACACAGGGACAATCTACTCGTGGAGCGACACCACATTTCGGAGTTGAACAACACCAACTCAGGTGTGGCCTAAAGAAATGGTTGAAATGATTATACCACAAGTGCGTTCGAGTTTCATGGAACCCTGAGTCTGGACGGGATACCGATGTTCAGTTAGTAAAACAACTAAAGTACAGCCACTAATCCACTGCTATTTCCGCCTGGCACTAGCTCAAGTAGCTGTTCAACCAAGAGTGTACTCTTGGTTCAACTAATATTAATAAAATTTTACTTGAATAGCAACAGCGAGTAAACGTACATCTCTAACTGACTCTATCTACAAGCTATGAACAAACAAGTGATGTTTGTGTGTTTTCGAAATAATTGCTGAGATTTTTTAAAATTTAGTTTCGTGCGCCATGCATGGCCTTATGAATGATGACGTCATAGTTCAACTTTTGTAATTGTCACAAACCATGATAACGTACAATGCAGTGTCATGCAAAAAGAAGAACCAACATTGGCAACAACATGACTGTATCATGTACACTCGAGAAGGAAGTTTCCCTCCTTGTAGAGAAGACTGATGGGCCCGTCATCATCTGTAACAAACGTACTCCTATTGATTTCATGAGGTTGACTAGCAACACCTTTCACACGCCGCATATCCTGAACTGGCGATTAGGGTCACATGAAGAGTACATAAACGTACTCTTGCCAGTCCTGGTCACATTGATAGACGACAAGCCTCAGTCTGGGTCATCCTAATAAAGATATTATTATTGGCCTTCTGCTAGCAAGTTTGGGCCCTCCGATACGAATAAAAACTTTTCCCGAGGAAAGAGTAAAAGCCAACTGCACTCCGACCAGCAGGTGCCCGTAGTGACGCGCATGTGCCTTTGCCCGGGCATAAGCGCACCCTCACAAATAAGCGCATGGGCTTATAAGTGATCCTAAATGCAATTCCATCCGCGACACACAGACACCACAAAAAGACCATGTTCACATAGTTTAATGTCACATTCTGTGCAGTGCGGTATCACACTATTTGCATAATTATGCAAGGCACCGGTACATTAGCAACTCAAGCGCATGCGCCTACGTGTGAGACAAAATGACCCACAACATATAGCAAATAACGCAAAACTCACTCATAAGCGTATGGGCCTTTATGTGCGTCACTACGGTAGGCTCACTTTCGAGCTTCTACTCAAACATCACTGGCCAGCACTAACTCTGCCGTCATCACCATGCATCAACGAAGTCAAAAGGCTTCCAGAATCGATTTTCATGTCACTTTCATCTATGTACTCCAAAATGTGATACAACTTACGAAAAACGTACTTCAGTCACGATATTTTACGGGCGACAGTGACATGAAATCGATTCTGGAAAACCTTTGACTTCATTGATGCATGGCGATCACGGCAGACTTAGTTCTTTACCGGAGGATGCACCCAGTGTGTTGACAGTGCTCAACAACGTGGAGGCAGAGCGTAATACACCGAACAACAAGGGCAATCAAGGCCTATTAGTCACTACTCTGAAATGCTGGCTGATGTCTGATGATTGCGTAACAGCATGAAACTCAGAGTAGCGACTAACTAGCCTTGATTGCGCAATTGCCCTTGTTGTTCTGTGTATTTATTGCTTTATAAAAATTAAAATTAAAAACAGACATTTGCTGAGGCTTGCGTAACCTACGGCAAGTCGCTTGCCGTCCAGCTGGCTGGGCGCATACACAAACCAGCGTGAACGCTGGTCAGCATTCCTGCTAGATACAAGTATACTTGTGAACGCACACATGAAATAAAGGCCCCTCATCATCAGTAACGAACTGCTATTGATTTCACGAGGTTGATTAACAACACATTTCACATGCATATCTGAATAGAATGCAACAGTAGATACTATGTACAGTATGTTATAATACAGGTTTTCCACCACATCATACGAAGTATTTACATTGTGAATTATATACAGCACTGGCTATGTACAGCATGTCTCCTGTCAGTAAAATTAGGTGTATCAATGACAAAGGAGAACGTACGAAGATTAAAATATTACAGTATTATAATAAATCTAGTAGTATTATACATGCTTTCCTCACAAATCACAAGTCCTCGTCAGATTCCTCGTCCATGTGAGATTGAGCTTCAGCAGCAGCAGGCACTTCACTGCCATCCAGCGCAACGTTATGTGCAATCTCTGCGTGCTTACCCTTTGTGTGTCGTATATGATACGAGCCCATGCCCGAAGCACGATCAGCTTCTTCCTGCGTGTAAGGAATATTCTTGAGCTCCTTGAGCCTGCGCTTGTGCAGCTTCGACTTGATATGTTCTTCTTTGGACGTACCATCAGTGAAGTATCTCGCACATTCTACACAATAGTACTGTCCAGCACCAGGAAGATCATAGTCAATCGGTTGAGTGGTGAGCTTTTTGACCTCCTTCAAGTCATCATGGATCTGATCCATGTCTTTGGTGCGCCGCTTAGTCCTGAACTTCCTTTTCGTGTCTCGAATGTTCTTGTGCATCCTCTTCCGTCTCAATCTCCCCATGACGACTTCTACTGAATACTAACTACCTCTGCTGCGCTTCAACAACTTTTGATACACACACCGAGGAAATTGCCAAACAGGTCAGAGAGGCTACGTTGCCAATGTACTGTCTTTGAGTGTGAATTTGCGAAAATGTGAAACACAGTTTGTGCATGTGGGAAATGTGCAAAATGATTATTATAATAATATTTTCAGCCTTTCAGGTAAAAAAGGTTTGGCATGTAGACGCGCCATATTTACCATGGCAACAACACAAGTGAAGGTACCGGTTCGCTACGCGAAGGACCAGGGAGTCGTATCTTACGACTCCCTGCGAAGGACTAAAGGGAACGTCACTTAATTTTTGCCGACTACCCGCCAAAAAAATCTTTTCGTGTCACGTGCCAGACACGTCCGCGAGCGCGTACGACTCGCGCTCGCCGGCCGCGCTACCTTTCACGTCAAGCAATCTGTTCACGCCACATGGCTGGATTGGATAGCGCGTACATCATTACATGCAGACATGATGGGGCTGTTAAGTGATGACGTCACAGTTCCTTCGATACGCATAACAACGATCCCACTGGGGACAAACAAAAGTAGCGTCGTCTCCACCGACCCAGTTGTCAGTGGCAACATATAGGAATCGTGTACATTTCTTCGTTTCTTCTTTGCTGTTTTCAGTGAGTGTTTTGTTTTCTCTTTGTCCTTGATCTCGACGATGTTGTCGTGCTCATTACCTTACTGAGACGTCTCTTGTGACTGTAGCCAGTGTCACGGAGGATTTTATTGGCGTGACAAGGTAGATCGCCGAGATCGAGCGTGAAAAACGCTCTGCATTAGTAGCTCCTGTAGAATGTTTTCTGGGTTGGCGTATCCATGGTCAACAAAACCAAGGTGCAAGACAGCATGAGAGATCGTGTAAACGATGTGAACTCCAAAAGGTAAGCTCCTGAACAAGTGGAAAGATATGGGTATTTACAAACTCTCTCTTCATCCATCGATTGGCGCTATGCATTGCATTTCGTCTTCACAGATAATCTGGCCAAATTTATTGTAACTAGAGAGTGCAATCGTGCACTGCTTGGGGCCCATCCCAATGTCATCACATGGCTGTGGTGACTAGTGTATATCTGGGAGAATTTTTCCTCAACTGATACGGAGTGCAGGTGGATCGATTATGAGAAATGCGAACATGTGAAGTAAGTAATTAGTTGTGTCGAAGAAATGTGCAATAAAATAAAATTTACTTTACACTCAAACATACACTGTAGACGTACATGTAACATCATGATAATGATTCCATCTTCATTGTCCCGCAACTGGTACACCATACGCACCGAATACATGGTGTGTGTGTGTGTGCGCGCGCGCGCATGTACATGCACACACTCTCATGCGTGGCCGAGTCGGCCAGATGAACAGACCATGCATTTACACGAGGTGTCCGTTATGTCATTGGAACGCTGTACTTTATGACTTTATTCCAAAAGAGTATGTCTTGCCCCTGACGAATGGAGTTGTGTCTGTGCTCAGCGGGTATCGGGCTATGACGCAACACTGCAATCAGCGCTGCAATTAAAAGAGCACTACATGGATTATTTTGACTAACTTCCTTTGCGTTTACTTGGTTGAGCCCGTGGTTTCATTTCTGTGTTCTGTCATGATTGGCCTCTGGAAATAATCAGAGTGGATGTCATTTTGCCATATATGTGTGCCTTGTGCGACAGGTTCAAGGCTAGACGAACTTCACATTCGGCGTGCGATCTCAGCGTCTGGGACCTGATGAAGTCTTGGTTGGATGATTATTCAAGCCTGATACTACTCGACACACCAATGTTCATGTCAATGTAATTTTTTCAGAGCTGCACTATTTACGTGTTGATGCTTACTTCGGTGTTAGCGTGTTTCCCCCGGATTGTTTCTATCATCATGATCGTGTGTTCTTGGGCTGAGCGAGCACATGCACAAGTGTGCAGCTATAACCCTGTGTATCTTTGGTTACACTTTGTTCTGCAATGCATGTACCTTGTAACATTATGTGCTTGCACTGCTTTGTCTGGCCTGCGTATTTCAGGACTATTCAGTGCATTAGACCCAGGTTTGTTTGGTTGCCGGATGACCTCTTGTTGCGTTGCTCAGTATTTGTATTCATCAATTTTTGGGCTTGAGAATTGAGCTGTTGTGTGGTTCCCAATATGAAAACATCATGCTGGTGCTCTGTGTTTCGATTATCGACTGTCGGAGCAGTCATGCATTTATTAGCAGAACGGTCAATACTGTAGTCTTTTCACGTGTTTGTCTTTTTTGTGTTTTCGCCGGGGGTATTAGCGGTAACGTTGCACACAGAACGGCAGTGTTGCATCACTGGACGACCCTGCCTCTGCATCTGACTTAATTTCCCCAGGATCTGGTGCAGTTACACCAGACAGCCACTTCCTGTAAACACGCAAACAGCAAAAGAAGAGATCCCGCAAATCAGGAAAAGCCATTATGGAAAATATAGAGTAGATCATACAACATTCAATAATCTGGAGTAATTACAGTGAGACAAACGCTTCAAACAGTGCTCTCTCTCTCTCTCTCTGTCTCCATCCTTCGAAAAATACCCTATGACAATTCCCTAGAATTATTTTATTTTATATTCTTAGGACATCATTCTGAACATAATAAATTCTTCCATGGGTCTTCAATCACCACGGAGGGCGAAAATATATCTAAGTCATGCAGTTTACGGGAGGTACGAGCTGTCATGGATATAGAGGCTGATATTGTGCCAGCGTGAGGGCAGAGACAGAAAGAAGACACTGATTTCTTGAACAACTCACCTATATATAATCGAATCCACAAGGAGCGCTCATACTTTGATCCATCAGGACGCGAAACATCTTCAAAGCACTCTCAAACACGGAGTTTTACTGTGGGCAGCCAATTTCACAGCCATCATGAAGGCACTCGACGACTACAGGAGTTTTGCAGAGGAAAAAACAAGGAGTAAAGAGCGACAACAATCGCTTGAAGAAAAAGCAAAGAAAAACAACTGTCTCTCCAGTCATTTAGATGCTGTTGCCCTTGACATCTGGTTCCATCCAGAGGACGCGACTTTTGTTTGTCCCCAGTGCTCTCCGTTGCTATGCGTATCGAAGGAGCCGTGACGTCACACTTAACAGCCCCATTGAAGACTTGCAAAATCAATTTTTTTACAAGTCCAGGCGCTAGGCGCTAGGCTAGGCAGTACTAATGCCAAAGGCTAATGCCCAGGCAGCTGACTTTATTTTCGGAGAAACACTACTCGGGTGGACACACCCATTCCCATAGCGCTGCATATCACATCCGAACCAGTTCCGTTATTTTACAACGTTTCGGCACTTGGCCATCATCAGGTAATAACAATGAATACCGTGGAAGCCACACAAGAGCAGTATATACGCAGAGTGTAGCGCCAAAAAAGATGCGAATTATGTCACCTAGTATGACAGAGAGAGAGAAAAAGGCGCAACTAGCACATCACGGAGGAGAAGCAGCAAAAGGTAGCGCGCATTATGCTCTGTGAATGGCGTTGCACAGAGTGTAGCGCCAAAAAATAAAATGATGCGAGTTATGTCACCTCTATACAGAGGGGGGGGGGGGGGAGAGAGAAGGTGCAACTGTGCACATCACGGAGAAGAAGAGCGCGCCGTTGTGCTCTACGAAGTGAGGGCACATGCCAAATAATTATGGTGTTAATTCTAGCGCAGGATCTAGGAGGACGGAGCCCCATGAGTCAATGCACTATGAGGTTAAAACTTCCATGCCAAACTGTTACCACCAGGGACGCGACGAGGCATCAGGAATAGAATGGTTTTGAGTGACCCGCCTCATATTATAATTATTCAGTGATATTGAAGTAGCAGCAGGGGAAGCCGAGAAAATTCACAACAAATCCCATCCGGTGCTTATGTTCACACGGGGTTTGGCATCACGAATCCCAATCGCCGCGAGCATACCTATTCGGGAGGGCGTTCAGGCAGTGGTGGATATGCTGCAGCAGTATTCCCAGCGGATCGACATGTTTGGGCTGAGTGTGAGCGGGGTACGGAATCTGCTGCTGTTTGTTCTCAGCCACAACTATTTCAGATTCGGCCATCAGATCTATCACCAAGTGGACGGGGTTGCAATGGGTAACAATCTTGCACCCCCATTTGCGATTCTATTCATGCATACGGTTGAGGCCAGGCTTCTGCAGGATTCTCCGTTAGTACCGCTCCTCTACAAACGCTACATCGACGATATCCTGCTGCTATGGACCCACGGCAGAGAGAGCTTGATGCGGTTTGTGCAGCATTTCAACTCTGCACACCCAAGTATCAACTTCACATATGAGCTCAGCGAGGTGAGTGGCTCCATAAATTATATGGATATCACAATTATGATCCAGGAAGGCAAGCTGGCATACAAGCTGTACCAGAAGGCATGTGCTAGTGGTCTACTCATTGATTATACTTCGGCAGTTCCCCACCATATCAAAATGGCAGTTGCTTCGTCACAATTCCTAAGAGCTCAGAGGCTCTCATCGAATACCAGAATGCGTGCAGAAAGTGAAGCGATGGTTCATGAGCAATTAAGATTGAACAATTACCCAGAGAAAATCATTGAAGAGGCACGCACTGCCTCCATAAGGCCAAAGCGTCGTCGCCATGCCAACCCATGCTGCGCATTTCTAAAGCTTCCATATAAGTCAGATAAAGTACATCAAGCAGTGAATAAAGCAATCAGAAAGTATAAAATTCCGGTTAGAGTCGTATATGAGCACACTGGTAGCCTGAGGCGCACATTGTGTCGCTCCGCCCTCGTTCCTCCTCTATGTGTCAAGGCTGCAAATCCGCTACAACCGAAAAAGAGAGGTCGCCCAAAGGGGCCATGTATCTCGTGTATATCCGGGGGACAGGATGTATGTATGCAGAAGAATGTTGTATATCAGCTGAAGTGCAAAGAATGTCCGGAACAATATGTTGGTGAGACTGGCCGCTTTCTGGAAACTCGCCTGGAAGAACATAATGGTGAGGCAAGACGCCAGGAATTCGACAAGCCATGGGGCCAACATTTTCGCACCACTCACCCTGGATGTAAGCTTAACTATGGGCAAAGTGCATTCTCTGCAGTTGAAGTAATAGGAAGAGAGCCTGATCGAGCCCGTCGAAAACTGCGCGAGGCGATTGGGATTCGTGATGCCAAACCCCGTGTGAACATAAGCACCGGATGGGATTTGTTGTGAATTTTCTCGGCTTCCCCTGCTGCTACTTCAATATCACTGAATAATTATAATATGAGGCGGGTCACTCAAAACCATTCTATTCCTGATGCCTCGTCGCGTCCCTGGTGGTAACAGTTTGGCATGGAAGTTTTAACCTCATAGTGCATTGACTCATGGGGCTCCGTCCTCCTAGATCCTGCGCTAGAATTAACACCATAATTATTTGGCATGTGCCCTCACTTCGTAGAGCACAACGGCGCGCTCTTCTTCTCCGTGATGTGCACAGTTGCACCTTCTCTCTCCCCCCCCCCCCCCCTCTGTATAGAGGTGACATAACTCGCATCATTTTATTTTTTGGCGCTACACTCTGTGCAACGCCATTCACAGAGCATAATGCGCGCTACCTTTTGCTGCTTCTCCTCCGTGATGTGCTAGTTGCGCCTTTTTCTCTCTCTCTGTCATACTAGGTGACATAATTCGCATCTTTTTTGGCGCTACACTCTGCGTATATACTGCTCTTGTGTGGCTTCCACGGTATTCATTGTTATTACCTGATGATGGCCAAGTGCCGAAACGTTGTAAAATAACGGAACTGGTTCGGATGTGATATGCAGCGCTATGGGAATGGGTGTGTCCACCCGAATTCTTTTCACAGATGAAGCTGCAGGAAGCCTCAGCCCTTCTTGAAACACTACTCATTGTAGTAAAAAGTAACAATGAATAGCGACATCATCTAGGAAGGATCGCTACCCTAACGCAAAGGAAAGGCCTTGCGCGGCTGCTCTACGAAGTGTTGAAGAAAGACTCATCAAAGTTAGTTGGTGGACGAACAACTCGCTGGCGCCGGAAAACTTGGCCCCCAACGATGGTGTTTGGTGAATCATCAAGCATAATGTCTTGTAGCAGTGTTCACCGAGGAAGGAGAACGCTCTAGCCGCTGCTGTTGTCCGTTTCATCCACGTTGGGCGTTAGCTGCACCGCGCGTATTGTGTTTTAGTATTCCATGGACACAATTAGCATTCAGAGCGATTGTGGAGCCACAATTTACTTCACACAGCGTTGTATTGTCCACGAGCGCAAACTTCATTACGGAGGATTAGCAAGACGAAATTCGCGTTCGCGTTCGCACTCCAAGGAAAGTCGAACTCGGTGACGGAATTCGCGTTATGAGAAGGATTAGCAAACAGAATTCGCACATGCATGACGTTGACACGATGTACAGGTACAGCGTGGTAAATTTATGACTGCTCTGACACGAATCCGCGATTCGTGTTCCGACTACTTTTCCGAACGAAAACTGCGAAAGTTCGCAATCCAGTTCGCGACCTGAAAAATGTTTGCGAACGCGAACACGAATTTCGTCTTGCTAATCCTCCGTATTATCAGCAGTAACTGTTACTCTTCATCCTACATGTAGATTTGGAGTATACACGGCCTTGTCACGACAGCGACAGCTCTACAGAGTGTTCAAGTGAGAAACATTAATTTCAATTGTTGGTGGACGAATAAATGGCTGGTTCCGAAAAACGCGGCCTGCACCGATGGTGTTTGGTGGATCATCAAACAGGGTGACCAGCAGTGTTCACCGAGGAAGGAGAATGCACTCGCCACCACTCCGATTCATCCAAGTGGGCGTTAACTGCGCCGCGCCTATTGTGTTTTAGTATTCCATGGACGCACACTAGCGTTCTCAGCGATTGTGGAGCCACAACATATCTTCATGCGGCGTTGCACTGTCCAAGAGCAGAAACGTCAGCAGTGACCCATCATCATACATGTAAATTTGGAGTATACACACCATGCGCCAATGGGCCTTGGCACAACAGCGGCAGCTCTACAGAGTGTTCAAGTGAGAAACATTTGTTTCGACTTTTAGTGGACGAACAAATCGTCGGTGCCGAAAAACGTGGCCTGCGCCGGTGGTGCTTGAAACATCAAGCATGGTATGTGGTGACTGCGCGAAATACACAACAGTAGCACAGCGGAAAGAATAACTGATTGAACAGAAGCGCTGCTTTGTGTGTTTGCGCACAGGGCACCGGTCAACTCAGTGCAAGGCCACACGAATGTGTGTTCTCGCATGGGTCACCAATCAGAGTCACCATCATGTCACGATCTGCCCTGAATCGGTCCCTTTGGTCCTTCGCGTTCGCTACCGGTACTGCGGTAGAACCAGGGAGTCGTAAAATACCTTGCAACCATTACTAAACGAATACAAACATCACTTGCGATATTGGCTCCAGCCGGCTTGCAACCATTACTTAACGAATACAAACATCACTAACGCCGCCTCCTGCGGCTGGGGTACGTTGCCCGGGAAGGACCCGACGCGGCCTCTTACAAGGCACTGCAGCTAGCCCTCAATACTTCGGACATCAAGCGCCCCCGTGGATGACCCCACAAGAGATGAGTCCACAACATCAAAGAAGACCTCAAGCCTCTGAATGTGCCGATTCAGGGATGCTTCAACCTCGCCACCAACAAGCAACTCTGGTTAACGATCATTGACAGATGCATGACCCCCGTATGATTTGTTTATGCAGGCAATATGCGACCACTTCGTACTGTTGTGCCCAGCGCGGGCTTGCGACTGGTTGGTTTGGAGGTGACAGCGTTGCGAATGACCGAGGGTCCTCGACGTCTGTCTCACCGTCCAGGAGCGACACTGACTCACGCTGCTATCTTTTGTTCACGAGGTGTTTGTCGCGCTGGAAACGGAGCGTCTCTGTAAGTTTGTATCCCTGGTGATGGTTGTGCCTGGAGAGCACTATAATTATAAGTGGTGCTCTTCAGGCACTCAAGCTCAACTGATGAGGGGTGAATTCCCCGAAACACTGTGTACTATTGAGCAGGGAGTGGTGCTTTCTTGCAGGTTTGCCGAGTCGAAGGTTGAATGGACTTCTCGTGTGCTCTGGATGTCAGTCGTGAGTCAGTCAAGTGTCAAGTAACGTCGGCGGAATAGCGCGAGCTCCGGTGTGGGGAGCAAACCCTTTCTTACAAATCATCGCCGAAGTCGCAACCACTACTTCGTACTAATATGCGACCTGTTCATATTATTATTGTGTGAAGTAATTGGAGCTGGCCTGAATGCGCCAGGAATCACAAGGTGTAGACCTTGTGATTCCTGCTGAAATCCAAGGCTGTGAACTAATTACTTTCCGCGGGCTTGCCCTTGAGAGTGAGGTGTGTGTATGAGCTAGGACTCGGAGCAAGAAGGTACAACGGGCTGCCAAGTGGAAGAGCGCGACAAGGAAAAAGAGGTGACAGGTGCAAGTGGCTGCCTGCAACTGCCATAGCAACAGCTTTTCATCATGTTCATGTACAATTATACAGACTAGACAGTGCTAATCCAGTCAGAACTATTATTACTTGTGCAAGAACATGATTGTACACTCGTAATCACTGTACATGAAGAAAGTGAAGGCGGTAAACTTTGTTTTGTTGTTACTCCGAATTATAGACTTACAGTCTTCTCTAAACAATGAGTCTGTCATGATGACACAGAAGAAAATGTCACTACCGGCATTTTATGTCAGTCATCAATCATTAATGAAATTTTCATTTCCAGGGGATCAGACAAGACTGACTAGACTGTCTATGTACACCGTCACCATGGCATGGGCATGGGGATTGGTGGTACATGTGTTGTCTATTCAGGTAATGTTACGGTTCACACCAGACCACCAGAGATACCAGTTTATTAATATTAGAGTCGGTAAAGCATATATCTCACGGGACGAGGACAGAATTATTAGACATCAACATTAGGGAATGTATTCGACTTCTCATTAGGGCAAGGGTTCGACTACTGACTAGATTACCGAAGTTTGGTTATCTTAGAGTGAACTAGAATAGAATGTACGGTGCAATGCATGAGCGCGCCCATTTAGACCAGGATCTAGAGACTGAGACTAGAGAGTCTGTACGACTCTGTACGACTCCCTACCCGTAGTCGTAGATTCTACTGCCAGTACTCAGTAGATCTACTGCGTACTGGGCCGTAGATCTACCCCTGGCCCGGGCACTTGGCAGCCTGGCCTAGACGGCCTGGTCTAAATCTACGGATAACACCGCGCCGCACCCGGCTCCGAAATCTTCAAGCGTCGACGCGCGTGCACCACCGGCGCCGACACGGTGCACACACACCATCCACCGCACAACCAACCATGCATGAAGCATCCGTAGATCTACGTAGCGAGCACTGAACTCTGAGTCTGATATGAAGTCTGATGCGCAGGCTAGCTGGCATGCGGCAGTGCATCCGATCATTCCGGGCCGTTTGTCTTCGCGATTCGCTCTGCTCACGTAAAAAACGCGTTGCAGACTGCGCTAGCGGCGCTGTACTGACTGTGCATGTATGTGTTCTTGGGCGATACATGGATATGCATTTGCAGACCGATTTCTGAGAATGAGAGATTGCTAGGATTATTTTAGAGATCCAGAGAGAAGCGAAGGAACGAACGACAAAGAAAAAATGGTTAGACTCCTAGATCCTGCTGGCCTCTGACTTGCCAGCAATGCGAGCTCTTGGTTCACACTAGGAATATGGAGTTAATCTGGTCTGTGTTGTGTTTCCTGGGTTCCCATGATCTCTATCTCAATATCTGTGCGGCGTCCTCCAAAAGTCTATGCTCTCGGACGATCAGCTGTCAGGTAAAGGCAAGCGCGCAAGCGAATGCGCAAGCAAACACGACTGCAATATCGCTAGTGCCACTAGGTCTCGCTGCAACGTGCGCAATTGCGTGGTGTATTGACTGTTGTGTTGTGTTGTTACTGCTGCGCGCTTGCAGAGCACCGGGACGCATTCGGGCTCTTCGACAGAAAAGGAGATGGCAAGATCGATGTGAGCCAACTGGGTGATGTGTTGCGAGCTCTTGGTCAGAATCCAACCAATGCAGAGGTGAAGAAGCTGGCAGGTGATATAAAATCAGGTACGACCAGGAACCTTCATAGCGACACTAGTGATGAATGTTTGTTCAACGCCTGCGCCTTGGGAGCTATTGTGTTGCCCGGACATGCACCACAGTGTGTGCGTGCGCGCACACGTGTGTGTGTGCGTGCGCGCACACGTGTGTGTGTGTGTGTGTGTGTCTAACATAGCTGTTCGCTATCATCGCTTCCGCGATGGCCAGGTCTGCTGTCTGAGGTGTGTGTGTGTGTGTGTGTGTGTGTGTGTGTGTGTATGTGTGTATGTATGTGTGTGTGAGTATGTGTGTGGGTGGCTGTGTGTGTGTGTGTGTGTGTGTGTGTGTGTCTGGTTTGTCGGGACAACCTTGATCGGGGAGTCTTGATAGGGGCTAGGAATCACTGTGTGTGTTAAAGTGGTCGCCATTATAAATTATAATTATAGCACCGAATGGTAACCCCGTGTATTTGTGGCTTCTGCGCCACGAGGATTCGTACACGACTACATGCACACGCTGTGTGGATAGAGATCCGGCATAGAGATCCGGCATAGAGATCCGGCATAGAGATGCGGCACTGTACCTGCAAGAGCTGGCGATCGCGGACCACATCAGTCTGAGGGGTATCCACAATTTCACGTCAAATCTGGTCACTTTGCCCGTGGGTAATGCTGTCGTTTCCCCTCTATGCTCAACACTGTGCCGCTACAGCTGGCCACTTTGCACATGTCATGATTTCTGCTGACACTCACTTCCCTCTGTGTTCACCGCTGTATTACGTCTGATGTACTACATTTGATCACTTTGCACATATTATTATGGTTATTCCTGACCAGTTATCCCTCTGTGTTTTCCACTGTACTGCAGCTGATCACCGCCTAAGCTTTGAAGACTTCCTGCCCATTTTCAACTCAGTACGCTCCAAGAAAGAAGCAGGATCTCAGGAGGCGTTTATCGAAGGTCTGCGCGTCTTCGACAAGGATGGAAACGGCACTATAAACTCTGTCGAGCTCAGACATGTACTGACGAGTTTAGGTGAGCCTTTGAACCGGCGACATCGTGCCAAGGTTTCGACGTATCTTGTGTGCTTCGTGCTGTGATCTAAGTACACGTACTTGAATTGCGTCACGAGTTGACCATTGCTGCGTGGAATGCCCATAGGCTCCTGTTTGTACCATGCCTGTTTATCAACTTCAATACAGTAAAACTTGGTGTAAGCAACCTATGGGCTTAGCGACCACCTGCTCTTAACGACCGTCTTTCCATGCACCGACAGTTCTACTTGTACACAGACACTGTGGGACCTGGTTCTAAAGACCACCTGGCTTTAACGACTGCTTTTCCTTGGACCGTGGTACCGTGGTACCGTGGTCGCTTAAACCAGGTTTTACTGTATTGTGATAGGTACGGGCAGGGGGTAATTTTTTAGTGTACATACATGTGTTTTTGTCTCTTTTGCTGCTGTCTATGGACACATCCGGCGCCCTTACAATGTAAGAGAGAGAGAGAGAGAGAGAGAGAGAGAGAGAGAGAGAGAGAGAGAGAGAGAGAGAGAGAGAGAGAGAGAGAGAGAGAGAGGGAGAGAGGGAAGGAGAGAGGGAGAAGGAGAGAGAGAGGGAGGGTATGGTAAATGCACATCAGACATAGCAGATGTACATGTGTACATATGTAGTTGGCAGACTTGAAGGCTGATGACCGGTATGCCTTGGTTTGCTATATATGTGTATTCCGCTCACACAGGTGAGAAGTTGAATGAAGAGGAGGTTGACCAGCTGCTGACTGGAATGGAGGACTCGAATGGACAAGTGCAATACGAAGGTAATGGCACTGTGGTGTGTCAAGAACATGTGTCATGTGTTTCACTGCTCTGCCTCGTGAGTCATGACTGCACTACCGCGTCACTGCACTGCCACGTCACTGTGCTGTTCTGGAACATGTTGTGATCGGCACTACCAAATATGGGGTCTGCGGCGGCAAAACTTCACATCATGTGATGAACCCGTACGCATGTTTGCACGCTGTGCAGGATAGATGCGGGGTTGTATGCAACCCAGCTTTGGCTACAACTCTCTTGTGGTCACTTTGCACTGTTTGCCAGCGTAACCATTTGAACCATGTCACATGATGCGAAGTTCTGCCGTTACGGCACTGTATGGAGGTTGAGCAGGCAGTTTCACACTCTTGGGAGTTATACACTCTTGCCATCATGCTAGCTCCTATAACCATGGTGCAATTCATCTTTCTGAAATGAATAGCTATGGGCAGCAGTACCGTGACCATACTACTGCTGCTCAGTGATACGCGGACAGTTTGCAGCCTGCACCAGTGCATGATTCTTACTACCTTCAAGTTTGGTGGGGCTGCACAGCGCCCGCTAACCGACAATGCCTGGCGGGCATTTTAAGCAGCTAGCACTGTTCCTGGAAGCTTTGCTTTGGGGTTTGAATGACATCGCCTCAAATTACTACAGTCCGACCTCGCTTAACCGCACACATCCGTTTCCCACAAAAATATCCGGATGGGTGAGGGAACCGGATAATCAAACACCGGCTATGTTGGATGCATCACGTATGCTGTAAATCTGTAACCAGCTATTTTCTTCGGATCGAGGGGGATCCGGATAAAAGAAAACCGGATCAGTAAGCGAGGTCTGACTGTATAGGTTTAAACCAGGGAGTAGTACATGCGATTGCCTTGTGTTCTGTGTCCGCTGTTGCTCTCACATTCTGCCCATTTTAATAAAACAACTTTGTGATCTTCAAGATGGTCAGAGCGGTGACCGAAACGTTGAGAAAGCGCCAAAAGAGCTGAGAGTAGCAGTGCATCCGAGTGTTGGCCAGTGTTGCCATAATACAAGTTTGATTCTAATGAAGCTGCGTGAAGCGTCGTTCCGAATAAAAACTGTGTTGAGTAAAAAAAGCATGATATTTTACTACTCCCTGGTTAAAACCTTTTGCATGGATAGACTAAGTCTTGGCCCTATGACTGATGATCTGTGCTTGTTTGCATGCGGGTGTTTGTGTGTGTGTGTGTGTGTGTGTGTGTGTGTGTGTGTGTGTTTGTGTGTGTGTGTGTTTGTCCATGTGCTCATTCCACGCAGAATTTATCAAGACCATCATGTCTGGTTAGAGAGGCAAGAATTCACTGCAAACCCGCACCACCACCACCGCCACCAGCAGTGTACCAGTGCAGTGACGGATACTTACTGATCGTCTGCACATCCAATGTGCCCTGGTTCGTTGTAACCTGGTTCATCATGCAACCACACACAGTCAACGAAACATGAGCGGCCCAACTTGCTCGAGTTTTATGCTAGATTCACTTTTCCTTTTCTGCATCTGCCCAAACAGATCTTAGCCCTTCTTTTGTGCCTCCCACATACGATAGTTCTTTTCATATTTTGCTTCTGAATTTCAAATTACAGAACTGTCACTAAGATATATGCCCCTTGTTAGTATGTTACCATGGTTATGAGCACCTCCGAAGCAAACGTGTACAGTGAGTGTAATGTAAGTCTCGTAGTGTAGGCTTGGATGTGTTGCAAGTGGGTTGACATACACTGCGTGCATTGTGTACATGAGGTGTCGTAATGAGTGGTAGCATCTAGGGAGATGACGCGAGGCAACAGTGCTACATGTACCCAAAACGATGTGCATTTCATCCTGGATTTGTAAGTTCTGCGTGACCCATGGTGGTCTGTACTGTAGTTATGAAGCTCACCTCCTTGGCTTGCTGCCCCCCCCCCCCCCCCACGTGGCCATCATTATGTGAGCATGTTAAAAATCAGCCCTACTCGGACAGCACGAGAGTGAAACTGTGACTCACATTGTTTAGCGCCCCAGTTGCCATCTCTACATGTGTGTGCTATGACTCGCAGATGTACCACCGTATTTCCCCGTAAGTTAGTTCTCCCCAATGACTTAGTACCCCCCCCCCCCCCCTATAAAAAATACACTTTCCACTGCCGAGGTTATCACCCCGAAAGACAGTTCCCCCGGAAAGATAGTAAGTTCGTACCCGTCCTACATGTACAGACACCTTACAGTACATACATCATATGCACGGACACTAGAGTTGCGCAGGCTTCCCACTGCGTGTCATTTACCCCCGATAAAAAAGTACTCCCCGAAAGATAGTACCACCCCCGAAAGTTAGTACTCATGTGGCTGCTAAGTTCGAAAGTTAGTACGTACTAACTTACGGGGAAATACGGTAGTATTCCATGCTCGGGCATCAATTCCAACTTCCACCATGATACCATGGGACTACACAACATGGACAAACAACTTACTTGTACCAATCGTACGAAGTACAGTCGAAGCTACGGGACAAACTCCATGCTTTTTTTCTGGGCGGTGAAGTGACTTCGTTGGCCCTGGGGGGGGGGGGGGGGGGGTATCATGCAACCCTGTCAGTCTGTAACTAGCATCAAGGTCATTACATACCATCAAGTGCTAGCCACTGAGCTACAACCTAGTAAACTTCCGTGAATTCAATAACATTCATGATTGCGAAGGACAACCTGGCAAAGCAACTGGGACGGAGAACATTAGTGAAGCACCAAGGCAGGTTTCAAGAAGTGCACTAAAATCTGCGATGAATCAACAATTTCAGGGCATTCTAAAAGTATACAATTTGATTAGATTCATTCTGTGATACCATAAGTATAGGCTATGATTGTGCCGCATAAAATATCTTTCACCGTGCTTGTACTTGGTGAATGCTACATGCTAGCTAATGTTACCCTAGGCTGAAAGAAATAACGTTATAAATAATATTAAGTTTGACTCATTCTCTTAGCTAATGGGTCCCCTCTAAGGACCGTGGAAGAGCAGCACTGTCCATAGATAGTTGAAATAATATTATAATAATGATAAAATGTATACGGCTTCCGTCTGTTGAGTTTTCCTCTAATCGTCTTTCCCGGTCTCTTTCTGTCGCTGCAAGAATTGTTTGTATTCTCCGTCTGTACCAAAGTACCAGTCCCACCAGATGAACGTAGAGCCATAGTTTCCGGTGAAGTTCTTGTGATGGAAGTCGTGATATCGGGCACCTGTGGGCATACCAGGGGCGGGGGACACGCGTGCAACACAATGTACAAATAATAGCACACACACACACACACACACACACACACACACACACACACACACACACACACGCACACACACACACATATGCATTGATTAGTACACATGTATCCAACACCACTTTATCACACACTCGCGCGTGCACACACACACACACACACACGAGAACAATGCTAATGCGCACATCGAAACCCTTGATGACATACATGTACACCCCAGCTCCATTTTCTAACCGTCCCCAGCTCAATGAAGGGAGAGAGAGCACAAATATAATGATGCTCCCTGCACAAAGGCAATCAAAGTAGAATTTTACTTCAAGCAGGGGCAGGAGCTGTGACAGGAGCAGGGCATGGGGAGGAGCAGGGGTGAGGGCCGGGACAGGGCAGGGGCACGGGCAGGGGTGAGTGCGGGAACACAGGCAAGTGTACCATGGGCAGGATCAGGGGTGAACTAAACATGACTCACCAGCGTATCCGGGTATGAGATGCAGCGGATTGAGCGGAAAGTCGTAACCGCTGTGCACGTCGATTGTCTCCAGCAACCTCACCGACATCCAGCACCACAGGAACACAATGTGGGTGCAGAAGAAGAGTGCGCCGATGAAGAAACCGGTGCCCAGAACTGCAAGACATGACCAAGGCAAGCACATTGACATTGTACCAGTCACATTGATAGAGGAATTGTGTGCCGCCTATGACTACTCTCTTGGCTTTGCCAGTAAGTACAAAAAAAGACAGCTTAGGATCCACGGTAGCAACTAAACATCGTGTTCCTAAGCCGAGACAGCGGGGTCAGCTTTTTAGGGATCCGCAATCACTTTTATTTGTTTGCTGCTCCAGTACTACTGAAATAGCGGCCCAACACACACACACACACACACACACACACACACACACACACACACACACACACACATGGCAGCACCACGCGTATACACCGGCGCACGCAGCACTTACTCATTGTTTCCAGTGGATGTGCATACTCGGCCACCATTCCAAATGGTGCCTGGAAGTGGTGATGCACTTTGTGTATGTGCTTGTAGATACGACGATCATGCAGTCCACGATGCAGGAAATAATGCCACGTATCCTCTATCACCAAGCAGCAGAAGCAACGCCCAAGAGTGGTGTACCTGCATGCCATGGTAAGTAAAACAATTCCCATGACAGGGAAACAAGAACACGTAAAATCACACACAACAATTAGCACTGTGCATGCGCACACACATGATCGCGCCAAGGCCTGAGATATTCAAGAGGGGGTTCCCCTCCGCTTGTTTTTCACCATAAAGAGTCAGCTAGTCTGGTGTTCAAGCACCATCCCACGTCCAGCACAGTATGCACCACTACAGGTGGAATCCTGATAATTCGAACCTCAAAATGCCAGGAAAAAAACTTCTAATTATCCGGACATTCTAAATATCCAAACATGAACCAACAACACAATATGTATGTCAAAGTGCTCTCATGGTCATGCAGAGTTGCGCTATGGACCTTAGACACAGATTTCACGGATACTGAACTGACCGGCACAGCCTGCTCATGCAAACTGAACTGACCAGTACAATGTACAGCGAACTTTGTTACATCGAATTACACTTTGCTAACTTCGAATTATCAGCACATATCCCACACATTTTCTATGTAAGTGGAATCTGTAGGACTTCTAATTAACCGGACATATCCAGTTCGAGGTTCGAATTATCAGAATTTCTTATGTGGGAATCGTATTGATAGAATCAGTCCTGGGAAAACTTCTAATCAAGCGGTATGTTCGAATTATGCCATATTCGAATTATCAGGATTCCACCCGTACAACACAGGCATTCTGTGAAGTTAAAGTGATATGTACTACGTGTAGTGGTTCTAGTGCACAGTACACCGCACGTGACAATGTTCTACTCGGCTTGAGCAATGGTTTTCAGAAAGCTCAACTGCAAACAAATTGATTTTCATAGTTCGTGGCATTGCTACCATGTGTGTGTGTAGGGGGGGGGGGGCATGTGGGTACGCCGGCAGCAATGGCTCAAGAACGAGCAGATAACAAACGGATACGTACCACGCTGGCATGGATTCGTAATCATACGGAATACCCATATACTCCGTGAACATGAATGTTCCCAGGATTAGGGGCAGCTGCACAGAAACAACAATGACAACAGCAACAAAGACGACAATGGTGACCGAATGGTGCGGACAAGCATGCTTTAGCAGTACAGTCAATGGCAGATGGTGTTGTATATGACAGCAGTACCGGCACAGCCGGTGACCCTGTTTTACCACCACAACAACCGGGACCGGGACAGCTGGCTCTAATTACAAAAAGCACAGTTTCAAGGTGCCATACAGCGCAGTACGGGGAATGTATTGCATTCCTTCGTGCTGACCGCTTTTAAATACACTTCAATCTATCCCTCCGTATCTTCCCGTACTTCCCGTATCCCTCCGCAATATTGATGCCCCAAACTCCTCATCACTGAGTTTGTAATGAACTCACTGCATACCTTAGGCACCCTGTAAGAAGACCTCAGGGTCTGATGGTAATGCACAAGTATATACAAAAATAGTTCAAATGCAGTTCAATACCTGGATGCAGAAATGGTTGAACATGAGGACCTTGAAGCATTGCCATTGCTTGTCAAACGATTCCTTTTTCTCCTGGCAAATAGGGAAAGAGAGAGTGAGAGAGTGAGAGAGTGAGAGAGAGAGAGAGAGAGAGAGAGAGAGAGAGAGAGAGAGAGAGAGAGAGCGAGAGAGAGGGAGAGAGAGAGAGAGAGAGGGGGGGGGGGGGGAGGGAGGGAGGGAGAGAGAGAAGGAAAAGACGGGTAAGAAATGGAACAGCTAGTGGGCTATAGTCTAATCAAACAGGGTAAGTGTCAGGAGCCAAAAGTTATTGTGACAATCTACAAAGTCAATGTGTGTTAAATACTTCTCATCAATTCAAAATATCCATCGTCAACCTGAAATGTTATCAATACCGGTAACTATTTCTTCTCTCCCCCGTAATAGAGAAATAAAAAGATGATAATCTGCAGCTGGCCGGACCATCTATGGTTGGCCAGACCACCTACAGTTGGCTGGACAATCTACAGTCAATTGGATCACCTAGAGTCGACTGGACCACCTACAGTCGATTGGACCATCTACAGTCGACTGGACCACCTACAGTCGATTGGACCATCTACAGTTGATTGGACCATCTACAGTTGGCCGGACCATCTACAGTTGGCGGAACCACTTACAGTTGGCCGGAGCATTTACAGTTGGTCGGATAATCTACGGTTGACTGGAAAACCTACAGCTGGCCAGATCAGTTCTACAGGGAGTACATCTGCTAGGAACTTGTAATACCTGCCCTGCCGTGCATTCATGTTCATGCACACTGTACACGTTTGCATGATGCATGGATATGTAATATACTCGGCTAGAACATACTACCGTACAGTACTTCAAGTCTTGCTGACCCGAGTCCTCCCTGGTCAAGTTACAAGATCATAACACCTTTGAAAGCTATTGTGCGAAATTCCCCAGGTGGCATAGTAGTAAATACTATCCGTGGCAGGTCTTACCGACTGAATCTTGTACTTCTGAACAAATGGTACGAACTGACAAAGGAATCCGGGTAAACACAGGCCAAAGTAGACTATCTGTATGGTGAGAGCAACAGCAACAGCAACACCAGATCAACCAATGCACACAGGGGCAGCAACAGCAACACCAGATCAACCAATGCACACAGGGGTCACTACGCGGAACAGCAGGCAACGCAAGGAATGCCAGACACAATGCATTCGTGGGTAAGATGGTCATAAACATGTTAACATGTTAGGTGTGCACTGGAGCAAAACCTGTCTAAGGCGGCCGCTCAAGGGACTTTCAAAGCATGGTCCCTGTGTACAGCTGGCCTCCTTATCCAGGGTCATTTGACTGGAAATAATATTCCTTGGTCCCAGTTGTAGTGGTGCATGCGTACACCAGCCACCTGGTCACCGTGCCTGCAGGCTACAACTTTTACAGTGTTCCTGTCACGCGAGTTGAACCTTTGAACCTTTGAGTTGAACCTGTGAGTTGAACCTGTGAGTTGAACCTTGGTGTGAAAGTTGTAGCCTGCAGGCACAGTGTCAGTGACCAGGCGACTGGTGTACGCACGAGCACGTGACCGCTTACTAACCCGTGTTCGATTGGGAATAAGAGCCGAACGTTGCATTGCAGCCTTTTCGGACCAAAACCAGTCGACTCAGCGTCCAAAAGACTACAACATATGGACTAATCGCGGTCATCCGTGCTTTTATAAGAATGCAACCGCGTTTTTTGATAGTGACACCTCCCACCGCTTAGGAGCTGCATCTGCGCCTTGATCCAAGAGGGTGGTGGCGTTCCTGCGGATGCGGAAAACTGGGCCTTTGGCCGAGTCTCACGCGAACCGTGAATTTTTTTTTTTTTGCATACAAATCCCCATCTAGTAGGGCGCAGTCACCCAGTTTCGGTGGAAGTGCGCGAGTTCGATTGGGAATAAATTGGGAATAAAGGACCAGCTTCCTCGGACCAAGACCATTCGACTCAGCACCCCGAAGACTACAACTGGTAAAAATTTGACTTTAGGGTATACTTCCCCTTTAATTGTGCGATCGCATTTCATTACGTAGCTCTGTAGCAACGACCTAACTACCCTGTTCCAAATCATTTAGTTTCTATGAGCCTCTTTTTCGAAACAAAATTTATGTGGTAAAGTGCAGCATTCCATAATTCCATGCACTGCCTGCATCAGTGCATGCACAATCACCATGATCACCATGCAAGTCGGTTCTCACTTCTCAGACACAAACTGACAAAGATTACTAGCATCTCATTTTCAACCCATTGAATCGGGGCTGGCTGCTGAAGCCGTGTAGTACAATGACGATTGTGCAACCCTGAAACTCTGCAAGAGCAACATTGTCGGTTTCTTGTGATTGGCCGCTAGACCCTTACCTCGTGTACTAATACCGAACCCCACGTTGCTATCTGCCACTTGGTGTAGTTGTTTAGAACATACGACCAAGTTTCCTCCAGAACGCCTGCTGATTGCAGGCCAGTGGCCACTGTTTCGGTGATGTTCGCAGCCATGCCTAAACGAACGCACTGACCACTAGGAAAACTACCAACCTCACCCTGGCTTCTGTCTGAGTCTCCTCGAGACACAGTCTGCTAGTACATGATCGATATTAGGAGCAGAATTTCTATCAACTCCAACTGTAACTTCCACGTCGCCACTTGCGCTCAGCTCCAGCACTTCAAGCAAGCCAACGCTAGCATACTGTGGGACAGGTGATGCCCAGCTCAAGCTCTACTGCTCTCACGATGGTCATCCCAGTGACAGAGTCCGAGTCGACATGGTGGAATAAGAAAACGGGAACCACCGAGCAACTAACGACAACACGCCATTTCTCGAATCGAACCATTTCCAGTTTTTTTCTTGACCGCGCTAGCTATCACGCCGATGGATTCGATGGCAAGAATTCTGACCATGCGTCTCGACGCGGTGCACGCGATCTAGGTACACCCGCGCGTGTGTGTTCATCCGTGTGCGCGCGTGAGTCTGATGCATCGATATGTCGACATGTCATGTCTATGTAATAATAATGAGGTGAGCTGAGGTGATGAGATTGAGCAAACGCACGTGTCCTCCGCAAGGGACCTGCCGCGCATATGCCGGTGCACCAGCTAGGTACATCATGGTAGAGTCATGCAAACACCACTGAAACAGTAAAACTACATCCTAGACCTAGATCTACATGATTGTACTTGCAAAGACGTTAGCACAGTCAGTTCTGACAGTAACATGTCAGTTCGTACCCAATCCTCCTCATTCCAGCACCTGTCCCGGTCCTGGACATTATTATTATTATTATTATTATTATTTGAAACTCGGATGTTGAGCCATAAATAAATGTAAAAGAGAAAAGGACATATGAATACGAGTTAAGAGTAACTCTCCATCACTGTAACATGATACTATATACAGTCAGAAAGTGCAATAACTAGGCACAAAACTGACAGAGTACTGAGACATTCGACGTCCTGACACCTAACTTCAACACATCTCCGTAGCGCTAACCGACAGCCTTCCAACTTGGAAGGTTCAAGGTTATGGAAAGACCAAAGAGGGGAAGGCAAGCGCAACGAACACGAGCAAAAGCTACAGTCCCAACGGAACAAAGAATGTCGATTGTTACTGGACGATGACGAGACCAGTACGATATTTGACAAAGCGGTCTAACTACAATTCGAAGCAGCAAAGCAGCACACCACCCAACTTGGGTGGGTCATAAATATCAAAGATAAGTAAAGAAAGGGAAGCTTTGCGAAAACGAATTGTACAAGCCGAAAGCCAAACTCCTACAGTACTCCTCATGCATGACATTGTGATGGACTAGTTGACTACAAAACAAGTTGTTTCACACGACGTACGTTTCGCCGTATGGTTCGTGACGGCTCATCAGGTGTGCAATTTGAAACTCGGATGTTGAGCCATAAATAAAATGTAAAAGAGTATCTTTGATATTTATGACCCACCCAAGTTGGGTGGTGTGCTGCTTTGCTGCTTCGAATTGTAGTTAGACCGCTTTGTCAAATATCGTACTGGTCTCGTCATCGTCCAGTAACAATCGACATTCTTTGTTCCGTTGGGACTGTAGCTTTTGCTCGTGTTCGTTGCGCTTGCCTTCCCCTCTTTGGTCTTTCCATAACCTTGAACCTTCCAAGTTGGAAGGCTGTCGGTTAGCGCTACGGAGATGTGTTGAAGTTAGGTGTCAGGACGTCGAATGTCTCAGTACTCTGTCAGTTTTGTGCCTAGTTATTGCACTTTCTGACTGTATATAGTATCATGTTACAGTGATGGAGAGTTACTCTTAACTCGTATTCATATGTCCTTTTCTCTTTTACATTATTATTATTATTATTCTTTATTTCCACGATGGCCCATATGGCCAATAAGGAAGATGATATGATTCAAATCAGTCCAGAATCATAATAAATTATAAAATCATACAGTCATGTTACTTGTTAGCTCTCTATTTGTACTGGCCTGGAACTTACAACTAGTAATTGTACTTGTAGCTGCTCCTCAACCTCCTCAAATTAATTGTTGTAGTAGTTGTAGCTGTTGGCTCTGGGGCTGTTGGGAAGGGTAAAATTACTAGGTTTCTCCACGGCTGAGTTCATTCGACTTTAGCTAGCCGCACCCGCAGCTATTGCAAGCAACGCTCCCGGCAGTACTGTAGAGTGTAGGCATGGTAGTACTAGTACTACCGGTAGTAGTACGTTGCGGATGAACCGGGATCCGTTGTTCATCAAGTAACAGAGCTGGCAGAAGGACGTTTGAGGTGAGGAAAGTAATAGTTCGTCAAGGTCACGGTCTCCGCATGCGCTCGGATATACAACGACGTAGCTGCCCAACGGACGGTACAGTAGCTAGCTTCGTCGCGATCGCAGAAACGCCTTCACCTCACTTCAGGCTCTCACCTGTCGAAAGAATGGAGCAGCACTGACAAGTGACAGACATGTCATCCCAGTCTACGTCTGCAAGTATGGCATGACCGGTACTTCTGAAGCCTGTGTGGGTCACTGCCACTCACTGGCTCCATGCAAGCAGCTCACTCAGCTCAGACAAGCTTTCCCTGCAGATCTCGAGGTGTTGACGGGATAACAAAGCCTCTGTTTCTGCAGTGTCGCAGTGCTGACTACAATGTAGTGTTGGTCATTGGGAGTGTCAGCAACCGCAATGACATGTCTTTTGTCAGCCATGTCGGGTTATTGTCAGTCTTCTAACAAGATCTACAAAGTACAAATTACAATGGCTTGCCACACTACCAGTACCATTGTTATCGGGCATGTGTAGCCTCAGGACTCTGCGCTTTGCTTCTCCGGCATCGTGCGGCCCTCCGCTGTTCAGCACTCGCTAGCGAGATTGCACCCGTACAGTCATGGCGATGTGGATTGCAGCGGATATCAACGGTTGAACCAGTACGTGTACCTGCCATTATCTTTGGAGTTTTTTTTTAACGAGAACCCACAAAACTCATGAACAGGTACTGCACACATGGTAGAGATGGCTAGCTAGCTGCAGTCACACTCACAGCTCTGGTGGCGAAATATACACTTGAGTATCAGAATCTCCGCCGACCTGAGGTTTCTTGGCTACAACAACACTCCAGTACACCAGGGAGTGAGGAGGAGCAGTAGACGAAGGGCATTGGGGGGGGGGGGGGGGGGGCAGGGTAGAGAAACATAACCATACCTGCAAAACCGTCCCAATCTGATCCGGATGGTCCCCGATATCAAGGTGCTAACCCGACGACCAACAATGTCCTGTTTTGTCCCGATATCGTCCTGAACGTTGTTGACGTTCGCACCTGATGAAAATTGAAAATCTAAAAACTTAAAAAGCTGGAATTGCAGCACCGTGACACACACACACAGCACTCTCCTGTGCTTTATAATTTAGGCTACATGTACAGTCATGCACAAGTCTCCATGCACCTGGTACATGTAGTGCTGTGGAGAGCGTGTGTTCTTTGGTGCATGTGTAATATATTATAATGTATAGGTATATAATAAATGTAGAGCCGAAGGATTTATTGCAATTACATACCAGTATAAAAACCGAGGTCCCCCGAGGTTTTTATAACTGGTATGTAATTGCAATAAATCCTGAGGCTACTACATTTATTATACATATGTTGACCTTCGCTTTCCCTATAAAATACCACTAAGGCCAATAAATACTGTTTATAAAATACTCCTTTTTAGGGAAAAGTGCAGTGCTGCATGGAAAAGTACAGTGGTATTTATTGAGTCAAGCAAGTTTATTTGAATTTGATACTGTTGATCGTGTGGTCACTAATGAGTGTGGGTATTTATCAAAGGTCAATATATGGAATAATAAATGCCGGAAAGTGGATATTGATGAATTGGCTAAAAGTGGGAGCCAAAAGGGTGCCCGGTGGACCAAAAAATAAAAAAAGTACCCGTAACTTTGATGTTCGGATGGGTTTTGATGCCGACCGGGCTACCCGGTAGCAGGAAGTCACAGCCGACCTTAGGGCAGGGCCAATTTATACGTGCTTGAGGTGATTCAGCAGGTCAAGCCTACAATATGCATAGACCCGAATCCGGGCTGGAAACGCATATTGTTTCCCGTATTTTGCACTGTTTTGTATGCGAGAATTTTAAAATTCAAATTTTAATGAGTTGGGCAGGCCAGATGACGAGGATTTTTTTGATTTCGCGCGGGTAGGCAGGTGAAACGTCATAAAAAAGTGGAACACAACCGCGGTATCGCGAATGGCGAGTGTCAGTGGAACCTTGCTGCTCCGCTGCATGCAGCTAAGTGCCGCGGAGCCGCAGTGGAACCCGGCCCTAAAGATTCTGAACTGCATGACACATTTCAACAAGTGCTGGAGTTTGCACATCAGTCCAGTTGTGGTTTGAGAGTATACAAGACCACACGGATGAGAACCACCATGCACACAACCCACGCTTGTCTTCCGCAATGCCTCGCAGCAAGCCGTTACTGCTGCACACATGACAGCGTGGATACCCCTCCGTACACAACAACAAATCGCAGCATAGACAGTACACAGCATAGTACACAAAATACTATGGCACGAATCTCTGTTGGAGCGTTAATTAAATATTTTTTGTTCATTGATGGAGAAATAATTAAAAAAAGGAAACAGATTTCATGCAATGGAAGGTTGACAAGCCGTGGTGCGTCAGAGCCAGCTCTGCAACTGATGACGTCTTGACATAGTTGCTGTACCGGTGGTGTAACTAAACAACAGTCACTACACTACTGGTGGTGGTTTGTTTTTAGACATCCCACGTGACCAAGAGACCATCGTTGCCGGATGTTGAGATCTTCTTCACTCCGCTGGCCTTGTCTCCAGTGTGGATAACAATGGCGCTGTGAGGACAGGAGCAGTCAACAAGAAACACCTCGTAAATAAACTGAAAACACACAAAACGCCCTATTCGTTGTAATTAGTGAAATACCATCCGGAAAGTCAGCGAAGAGGCGGTTACAGCTCTAGCCATGGTATATTGCTATGATGTAGCACATGGTTGACAACGACCAACAGACATGCACACACACACACACAAAGCAAACACAAGATACTCACCTAATGGCGTTCTGGTGAGTGGTAGTGAGAACGGTTCCCTGGGTCTTGCTGTCGGTACCCTTGGCATCCATGTTCCTGAACTTGTCCATAGCACTGTATACACAGACAGACACAAACACATAACTACCTAAGCCAACAACCATATACATAATATGTATGTCGCCTTTAATACTTCATCTCACGACACAAAAGATCCAGCCCATAACCCGAGGAAAGGCAGGATGTCAGCGGCAGCAGGAACCATACACCACATGAATCCCATGCAAGTGAAGCTTTTAGGCGCACTCCATGCACGATCGCAGGTTCTCTGATGAGGAAAGTAGTGCACATAATCTGAATGAAACAGTTCAACACTTGCGACTTGTAACTGCCCAATCCACAGATTGGAGAAATTATTCAACTAACCCCGACACACACACACCTGGTCTATAAATGTAGTAAGTTGAGATATGACGACAAAGACAGTTTCAACTTCGCACACGATACGTATGCCTCTCTAATTTGCAGCCCGTCTTTCACATGCACTTGATGGGAATGTTTCAAGAATCTTCAATTTTTAACTTGTCTGAATACAATCATATCCTGTTCCTTGTGCGTACTATTATACGGATCAGGTCACGGTGTGTGTTCAGATTGACCTTCAGCCAGTACTAGTACACTCACCTGACTCCACCAGCAGCCTTCTTGGGGCCAGCTTCGTCAAGGCGCTTCTTGAACTTGATGTCTGTACCGCTGACATCAAACAGCATTGGTGAACAGTCGTGTCCCTGCAGTAAGTCAGGACAAGACGCACAACAGAAAGAGACAGAGACAGCGAGAGAGAGGTTGGGCACAACGAACTGCCGGGAACATTCAACTGATCAGGCAACGATGGAAAAGGCTACGGAAATCCGTTTCTCGAGAGCTTGTGCAACAGTAGGAAAGGGTCTCGACAGTATGGAGGCGAGTAGCTGTGCAAATATGAGTCGTGGTGGCTTGCCCAAAACACAATGTCATGTAGTTCTGATATGAAGCTGCAGGACGTGGCCAGACGGATACAACCGTCTTACTTATAGTCTGGCTCTACATTTTCTTATCATCAGGGCAGCTTTGGTCTGTGCTGCGTTGTTGTAGCCATCGAAGATAAATCAGTATGGCCTGCAGATCATATTCCGCGTTTTCACGGGAATCGATTCCGTCACATTACCCCTTTCCCAGTGGCAGGGTAAGATGTGAATCCAATAAATGTGCAATTAATTACACGGAGTCGAGCAATTTCTCACCTCCAGTTTAGCCACCAATCATGGTCCAAACATAGACACATATACACACAGCTGCAGAGCAAACTTACGGCAGCGAGGATACTTTTGTCAGAGAGGAAGGTGACACTCAACAAGGGAAGATGGTTGCCCTCCACCACGGTGATCCTAAGCAAAGAAGAAGGCAAATGTCCACAGGTGAGCGACAATCAACAGTAGCACATGTGTGTAGACATACAACAGTCGTGGTGGTGTGAGCTATTCATCTATCTCATAGTCAAGTACAGTGGACTCAACTTGAAACGCACTTTGATAAGACATACTCTTGCTTAGTCACTGTAGTGACGCCCATTAAAGCGAACGTGCCACTATCCGGGCATACGCGCACCCCCAAATATAAGCGCATGGGCATTTAAGTGAACTCAATCCCGCGACACACTGACGCCACCATGATACCATCTTTACAGGATATACTGTGCAATGTCCAAATTCCACACTGGTAACTCAAACAAGCGCATGCGCCTACAAGTATATGTAAGACCAATCGACCTTCAACAAATTTCAAATACGGCAAAATCTCGCTTCTAAGCGCATGGGCTTTAATGTGGGTCACTACGGTACGGGCCTTGGCCAATAATACTGTAATCTCACAAATTTTCGGTACTTTCGGTGCGTCTGTTTCATACCGAAAATTTCAATACACCGAACAAACACTAGCACACATAATCCAATAGGGAACTGCTTCTCTGTACCGAAAATTTCTGTTCACCTAACCTAGCCTGTTGCCCTCATGCCGAAAATATTGAGCACCGAAAATTTCTGAAATTAGAGTATACGTTAGGATAAGAAGTACCTCGGGTGCCAAGTACAATATCCTGCTGCCAATGTGGGTATAGCTTATCAGAGTTGCACTGTGTATGTATGTTTGGCTGTGTGTCCATGAGTGCCACAACAAAATAGCAGAACCATTCAGGGACAAGAGTCGTGCCTAGCTGCCAAGGACAAGAGTTCTCCTTTCTCCGAAAAGTGACTTACTGGTTGTCGCTGGCGGAGTCGGCAACAGTGATGCTGGAGTTGTGTCCCACCCAGCAGACCTTCTCGCCGTTGGGAGAGAAGCTAACACTGTGTACCCAACCGCCACGGCCATTAGCAAACTCAGCCATCAAGTTACCGAAAGGCATCTTCTTGCCCCATGAGGTGGGTGTAGGCTTGTCTTCGATTTCCTTCACGTATCCGGAGTAAACACTGCACAATAAAGAGTACATGAAGCATGAGGAACACATCTTTCTTGGTTTAATACAAGTAAAAGTTGTAATAAAGGTCGCCATCTGCCACGAGTCTGCAGAGCGAAGAACCATTTTACCATTCGAAAGTACATATATTTAAAAATATATGTACTTTGGAATGGTGGTAGCTGCTTAAAAAAAGTAAGATTCAAAAGTGCATATATCGTACCCAACAGATACTCGTACACGACAGAGCCATGTAAATACTGTCCCAGGGAGCACCAATGGACATATTCATAGGTGAAAGATAAGTGTGACCTATGGCAACGTACCGGCATTTGAAGTCAGCCGAACCAGCGACAAGCAGGCAGTTGTTGGGATGCCAGTCCAGACTAAGAAAACACACAAACATCAACATGCAAGCACACACATGGCACAATGTAAATACAAACTCAGCTCAAAAGCAAAGACATGTATGCCTGCAGAAGAATACAAGCTTACATCCCTAGCCCTCAGTAAAACTGGTTCAGCAAACAAGATTGGGGACTGTGAAGTGGACTAAGCTGCTACAACTCTCAGCAAGGTGATCACCATTGCATAGTAGTTTTGAAGAGGGGGGACTAGAGACTTGGATATCGTGTTGATCTGTCATCCTCTTCGATGATCTCTACTTGCACGGGTACATACAGTGCACTATGCAGTCCACCACTTCTCCACAGATAGGGAAGAACATGGAGGACAAACCCCAGAATGCATACAGGACTGTCAGTGTAGAGTGTGCAATGAAAGAAGAGCCAACACTGGCACACAGCAAACCATGCCAAGCCCGTGTGACACAGCATCCTGTCACAGTACGACTGCTTACCTCAGAACAGTGGACTGGATGGGCTTCTTGATATGCTTGCTCACCCACCTATGTCACAGGAGCAGCAACAACAACAATTGTAGAGAATAGTCAGGTGAAAGAATTTTGGCAGGACTGTCAAGCACAGTCAAGAAAAAATACATAGGTGTTGAACGCAAATGTATCATGAGTACTCACCAGTTTTGCTCCTTCTCAAAGTAGCAGACGGAGATGAGCCTGGCACCACAACCGACGGCAAACTTACTCTCTGCAGGGAACAGCAAGTAAAAACTCACTTACTGCTACTGATGTCCAGGCACAAAAAGCATGGAAAGCAGCAGCAGCAGAATTGCCATCATGCTAGGAGCACCACATGCTGATCCACGTGCACAAAAGAAACCAGGCAATGAGGCATGTGGATAAAGACTAGTATCCTGCCCCCCCCCCCCCCCCCCACCATGCTAGGACCACATGCTGATCCACATGCACAAAGAAACCAAGCAATGAGGCCTGTGGGTAAAGACAATGCTGCCCCCCCCCCCCCCCCACCCACCAGGCACCAGTGTTCAAATCATTGTTGCAGTTCAGTTCTATGTGCAAATAATAATAATATACATGAACAGTGGCAATAAAAACGAACCGGAGGAAGTAAGTGTGTGAGAAACGCTCACTACTCATTGTAGCTGTAAGGCCATGGTAAAAAATAAAGTTGATTCTCAGGTCATGAGCCTGTGAAAATCGGTGCGAGCGAGCGATTTTTTATTTTAATTCACACAATTTTTTTATTTCCAAAGATAGGGTCACACATGTGTACGTCACAGGTTCATAATTAATTTATAATTATTTTATTATTCAGGCCAGGGAGTAGAAAAATACCGGTATTTTTCTACTCCCGGATTCATGCCTTTCGCATTGACCGTTTTCATGCACGCATATGCATGCATAGAAATAAAAAAAATCGTCGGTGCGCCACCAAAAATCGATGCGCGCGTACTTGAGAATCAAAGATATTTTTTACCATGGCCTAATTGTAACTAATTATGCACAAGTGACAGATGATGAAGAAGAGACAATGTTGGTAGATTGTGACAAGGAATATCCCTGCACCACATAGCCACATTAGTGGCAAGGAGTATCCATGCAGCAGCCCTCATTAGTGATAGTAACCAGTACACAATCGTGTAAAGCAAAACTCCAGTACAACATATCCCCAATGAATACGCTATAACATAATAATTATGTGTGTACGCTATAGTAGAGGTACCATATATCCAAGGGCATATGAGTGGTACAGTCTGATGAAGGATGCCACAAAACAGTGCAATTTATATCTCAAGGTATGAAGTATCCAGGATACTTCATTGTTTATACTGAAGTTTCACTGTACTTATTACTAGCACCCACCCCCCCCCCCCCCCCCCCCCTCTCCATCCACCAACACAACACATCTCATGAAAATCACTGAATAGCATGGGATATGGTCAACAACATACTAAGTACATGTATGGGTGAGTAATTGAGCTACACAGCTATATACAGGCTGCCACCGACACAAAATCCGTAACCATTGAGCCCTGGTGGAAAACACACACAGAGCAGCATTTCGCAATGGCACGATGGTGCTGCTGCTGCTGAGCTTGACCCCGGGAAGTGTGGCCAGACACACAGGAAGTGAGTTTCTAGCTTTCAGAGAACAGGCAGTGCCAGGCGGGCGACACTCACTCTCCTTTTACAGCCGCTGACAGGCTGTTGGATATTGCCATGCACTTGCTTTGCCTGCTGATTTAGTAAGTACATAACTAACATAAGTAACTACTCAAGCTACTCTAGTGTTCACTCTGCATATCACAGCATCCAAAATACGTTGCATCACTTTGCAACAACTGTGGCTAGCAGTACAAGCATTAGGCTATTTTATCATAATAAGTATACACAGTACCGGTTGAGGGAGTTGAAAAGGGAAGAGACAGTACATGCTGGAAGCATGGTGTCCTGAGCACGCTTTGCTTACCATTTGGTGACCACTTGACACAGGTAGCGGCACGGTTGATACGCAGCAACACCAACATTGGCTTCCAGGTGCCATCGTCCTGCTGGGTCCACACGTAGGCATTACGATCCTGTCGAGGAGGACACAGAGGGAGAAATTGAGGAGTTAGCAAAGAGAGGCTGCCATGCATGTGAAAGAAAGAGAGACCGGCTCCTGTTCATGTCGTATGATGATCATGTACATGTACAAACAGGCTCGTAGTCTTCAATTGAGCACAAATTACCAGGCCGTAACAAGCGGCATTTCCACGGCCACCATCGTCCTTGAGGCCTGGTAAGCTACACCTGCCTGCAACCGAAAATGATTTGCTCACAGTCATACATTTACAGAGGCTTGGGTACTGATATCTTGTAGGCTGCATGCCTCCTGGGTAGTGGGCACATTCTTATGCTCTGTGTGACATCCGTGGGCCAGGAAATCAACTGCTAGTGTGGCCAACACTTGTCTCCGACAAAGCCAGGACACTGAGAGCCCAGTCAGTGACCGCTTCTGCTGCTGGATCAACGAGCGCAGCTCTTCCTGATAAACTGCCACCGGCACGATTGCGGATTGGTAGGTTGAACTTACCACTGAACTCGACTCTCCTAGTACAGCTAACATGTGTCGTTTATGCACTCAGCCATCCATGCTTCCCGACTCGGACGCTGGAAAGTTCGGTTTCACCCCACGCACTTCATGTCTTGAAGTTGAACGGACCGCAACGGCATATTTACAGGTCCGACCAACGAAAGCTCTTCTAAATCTTCTTCACTTCGTCCTCAGTTCGAACGAACTCAGCTCATTGCATACGGCTGCAATAACTGATCAGATAATGAGCTCTCAAATGTACAACTCCCCAGCAACAACTAGTGTTCCACAAACTGTTCAGATTCAGAAGTCGCCACAAAGGGGAATCCTTTCAAATCTAATCAAGCTCTCATACTTACATCTCCACAGGTGACGATCTGGTTTGACTTGGGTGCCCAATCCACACCACGCACACGCTGTCCGTGCTATACACCAAATACACACGCACAACGATCAGTCCACTACTACCTCTATTGCATGATACAAACCCAAGGTGAGAACAAGTCCGACTTACTCCCTTCAAAACATGCTTCAGTTCGAAAGTCTTTCCAACCTTCTGATAGATGTTCACCTCAGTAGAATTGGGTGACAAAGCAATTTGAGTTCTGTCCCCATTCCAGGCGTGGCAGGCGATGGGAACCTGGTCGCAAAGATCCAAAACCTCCGGCATTGTTGCGATTGGAAGTGTCTTGTCGAAAACAACAACACACAAGATCTGATCACTCTGTTCAGCCGATCTGGCAGTCGTCTCTTTTGCGGTGCGGGGCGCGATCGAGAGAGCAACAAAGCTGACTGGACTACAGTGAACCTGTTTCACGTGATTGATACCATAGTTACAACTAATCAGAAGTAAACGCTGATCACCAAATTCGATGTGAGTATTTGAAAAAAACCTGCGCGTTTTTACAACTCCAGGGCAAGAACGCATGCGCCAAAGCCGTGTTCAGTTGCCACGACAACTGTCATTTTTGAAGGGCCGCTTTTACTTCGAAGGTATGGCGCCAACGGCTCACGCGATCACAAAGGACGCTTCGTCCACGTTTTGCTGCCAAGTCAAGAAAACTCAGCGAAAGAATCTCAACCAAGTCAAAGGAATTTGTTGTTCAGAATAGAGTGAGCAGCTTTCATTCGTTTGCTGTCAGGTGTAAATGCACTTGTAACTGACCGAGAAGCTGATGCCGATGTAGTCAGGGCAGAAATGTCGACAATGTCGATTTGCAGCAAAGGATGAGGTTCGATCTCTTGTATGAAATTGGAAAAGGTGGATTTGGTGAAGTATTTGTCGCCCAGGAGGGTCGACGAAAAGTAGTGGTCAAGCGATGCCAGAGAAGCCGTGTTTGCTTCAATGAAGTATCTATTTATCGTTATATTGAGGAGAAAAGAGGACAGAATGCATCACTTGCTGATCGGATCATACAGTTACTGGACGTGCAAGAAGATCGATCCAGTGCTGATGTGAATCATGGATTTGTATATTTATTATTGGAGGAAGCCGAGGGCTGGAGAATAGCGGATCAGATTCACCGTGACTTGTTTAGTTATGTGTCTCATTGTAGTAACGTTCACAACGTAGAGGTTAGACAATGGCTGATACAGGTCGTCGATGCTTTGCTCTTTCTACATGGCATTGAGGTGATCCATCGTGACGTCAAGCCACACAACATGCTGCTATGTGCTGGTGGACAGCTGAAACTGTGTGACATGGGTACGGCTGTACGTCTTGATGACCCTGGTCAGGCACGCAGCGGTGGCGGAACACCGAACTATATGGCACCGGAGATATTTAACTCCGACCAACTACCGATGAAAGCGAGCGACTTGTGGTCACTTGGGGCCACGCTGTTCTTCCTGTTGGAGAAGAAAGCTCCATTCCAGGCGAAGGACATTGCCAGCGTACAGCAGAGAGTGTGTTCATGTGATTATGAGCTTGCAAAGACAGTGCCTGCTTGGGCAAAGTCCCTGATCGCTCAGCTCCTGCAGCCAGACCCTGGTCGGCGACTGCCGCTCTCGGCTGTAAAAGAGCAGCTAGAGTCTTGCCTGTCACTGGACAAGTCTAAATCTGACGCCGGTGGCGGCGGCGGTGTTGCCAATGCCAGCGGCTCTGGCCTGTCTGAACAGGTGAACGGAACGTCCAGCAACAAGCCAGCGCGCCTGTCAGCCGAAGGCCTGCGTACAGAGTCACGCGTTAGCAAGACACATCAGTACGAGCTGCGCTCCGATGGATGGGTAACCCTGGTTGATAAAGTCTACAATCGGCGACTGGAGGTATCCCGCGATGGAGGCCAGGTTGTGGAAGTGAACAAGGATGCTAAGAAGATGTACACCTATGATAGCATGCCGCGACGGCTGTTCCACTTCTACGGCCTCCTCCAGCAGTTTGTTGAGCACCTGCGCGCCTGGACGATCAAGGGTCGCTGCTACACGGCCAACTCCTACTCGTCGCTGGTGGAGAGCGGTCGTTTCCGCTTTTGGCTCTGGACCGGTGCTGATGTCACTAAGCTTGGTTTACAGCCGTCCGGTCGTGTGGAGATCACTCTAGCTAATGGTACACGTTCTCAGTTTTCCAGCATGAACAATGCAATCGCCGCTGGTCACAGGGACATCTGTGAGCAGGCGTGGAAAGGGCTGACGGAGCTACGTGAGGATGTTAGAATTGCGGTGGAGAGAGGCCGGCCACTGCCTGTGGTGCACGGGCTGCGTTCAAGCTGGTAAGCTATGATCAGATACGTGTTGGTTACTGTGTGTGTGTGTGTGTGTGTGTCTAAATAAATGCGAAATGTAAGATAGGGATTCACTGGCCAGAAAAGCCACTTCAACCAGCCGTGTGGTGTAGACCAAGCTAGAATTATTGGCGGTCAATAATTCATCAGCCTTGCAAGCTGTTGAATGGTGTAATCCCAGCGCAAGTTGCTATGTCTAAAGGCCGATTCACAATACAACTTCTTGTGACGTGACATGCGACTTGCGACACCTGCAACGAGCTGCGACAGCGACACACGGTTCACTATCTTTTTCATGTTTGCGACATCCTTGTGCACTACAAGTATAGTAGTACAGTATAGTAGTACTATGCACGTGCACTGCACGTGCACCCAGGATCGAAACTGTACTCCATTTGTGTATGTCGCGTGTCGCATGTAGCAAAAGTTGAACTTTCTTCAACTAATTCTGCGACAGGTGCCTTGCGACAGCTCGCGACAGGCAGTTTCTTGTCGCAAATCACGTGTCGCGTCGCAGAATTGTATTGTGAATCAGCCTTTACGTAGCTTGTTCGCTATCATCACTTCAGCGATGGGCAGGAGTATGAGTGTGTGTGTGTGTGTGTGTGTGTGTGTGTGTGTGTGTGTGTGTGCGTGTGCGTGTGCGTGTGTGCCAAAGCAGTTACCTATGCACGCACCCTACACTTGCTGGGGTAGCCAGTATAGACAGCGCGCTGCTTTGATAGAAGCAGGCACTAGATGCACTAGTACCTTGAGTGAAATTGGAGTTTCTTTACCAACCAGCCTCGGCAACTGAGTGGTGGGAACCCAGAGCGAACAAACATACCAACATCAGCCATGAAGCTACGTGTACCGTATATTCTCTATTATAAACGCCGTGCTTATATTTTTTCAACACCCCTCTACCCCGTGCTTATATTGGAGACCGTGCTTATATTTTTTCAACCAATACATCCATACGGAGCAAGAAGAAATACATGCTGGATATCATGCATGCAGCATTGATTTCCACGAAGACCGTGCTAATAATAGAGACTGTGCTTATAATGTTTCGAAAGGTGCTCACAGTGTGCTAGTATTAGAGACTGTGCTAGTAATGGAGACCTGTGCTTATAATAGAGAATATACGGTATATGGTAGCACACTGGATTGTGCAGCCGAAATTAGTCCAACTAACTGTTTCTTCCGAATGCGTTGGCAAAAAGGTAGCCTTCCAACAGGTTGGCCTATTCCAGTGTGCTCCGTGTGGTGTGTACCAGGTGTGCATTAGGGGGTCAATTCACATGGCTTCGCCAGTTGTATGGAATAGGCAGTTATCTGGCGCTAGTCTTGATCTCTTTCATTCAGATCTTGTCCGTTATCGTTGCGTTGCTATAAGAGAAAGTGTGTTAGTGTACCTCCAGTGCATTTGCATTGATCTGCTTGCTTCTCTTCGGACGAGCGTGCATGGTGCATGACAAAAACAAGCTAAACATCACAGCGAACTAAGAATGGTAGCTTTGACAAGATGGTGACAAAAGACTAAAGGCCAATTCACAATACAACTTTCTGCAACGCGATTTGCGACAGTTGCGACAAGAAACTGCCTGTCACGAGCTGTCGCAAGGCACCTGTGTAAGTTGAAGAAAGTTCAACTTTTGCGACATGCAACACGCGACAGACACAAATGGAGTACAGTTTCGACCCTGGGTGCATGTGCAGTGCACGTGCATAGTACTACTTGTGCATGAGGATGTCGCAAACATGAAAAATATTGTGAACCGTGTGTCGCTGTCGCAGCTCGTCGCATGTGTCGCAAGTCGCATGTCGCGTCTGTTGGTGTTGGACAAACTACGGATATAAACATGTCGGTCCTTTCTTGCAATTTGGATAGATGTTGCTGCATATCCTGAGAGCTCTTCGGTGGAGGTAGATGAATAGCAGATAAAGGAATGAATTCGTTATCTACCTCCACTGAGGAGCTCTCAAAAAGCGAAACAGCAGCTGTATGCAGAATATGCGCAACATCTACCCAAGAACGAATGTCCTCGCTATGGTGTTGAGAATGTGGGCCAAGAGCGCAGCGTGGAGTATTTCAAGTTAGTATTATTCAATGGTCAAGTTCGTCGCAGCTTTTAAGTTTCTATGCTGTTGTTGTTTGTGTTGTTTGTTGTGCTTTGTGGATTGTAGGATGCAAGCTCCGAACACCACAACCAGTATGGCCAGTGGAAGTCTGCTGCACTAACACTTGATCTGTGTCACTCTACTTGCACACCTCCTGTTGTGCCTGCTCCCGTCGCCGATATGTCTTTCTCCATGCTGGGCTGAGCTTGATTGCAACCGGAGCGAGCCTAGTCTCTCGTTGCCGCGGTTCATTTCCCCCATTTTGGTTCAATGTCACGAAATCCGATCCTCTAGTTTGCTTTAGTTCTGCAGTAGAATTATGCTAGGAACTGTTGCTTCTGTACATGCACCCTAGTCCCAGGTCATCACCAGTATCGTTTCGTAACACTTTCCACTCCTGCCACCCATTGCAGTGGGAGCAAGGAGTCTTCTGTAAATCTACTTCGTAAGTTTCGGCCTGTGAAGTACTTCACCTGCTGCTTTCGTCCGTCAGTATCCGCTGCACATTGCCAACGCCTTGATCTCCGCTTCTGGCAACTCTATTTTTATGTTTATTTTTTATCTCGTAGTGTGTACGGGTGAAGCTACTGCACATAGCGCTCTGCTCAGGTACTTTGTTAGCCACTCCAGTGTATAAGCTTTTCAACGGTGAACTTCGTTTCAAGTCCTTTTAGATACTTTGCGTTCGCAATAGTAACTATTTTCAAACTACTCGTATTAAAACCAGCATCAACGTTACTGTTATTACTATTATTCTTGACCTCAGCTTTCTTTCTGATTGATCGTAATTGTCCCATAGCACTATCATGTCTCAGCAATCTAGGATTCGCAGCATCTTGTATGTACTATTAGTTATGTATGCTTTAGTAGACTGTGCCTGCGTGCAAGGCAGCCGCCAGAACCAACTGTTGATCGTGTTGAGTTGTATTGCACTGAAGTTCTGATCCGTCAATGGTCACGATTGCAGCGGCGGCGGTGCTGGCGAAGAGCATCAAGTCGCTGTACATGTCTCCAGTGAGGCCATGTGATCAGCAGCTAAACGTTTTGAGATTGTGAGACACTACACGAGTGCATTGGTACTATTTCGCGTTGCATTTCTCCACCTTCAAGCAGAAGTCGATTTCAGGGAGATTTTCCAGTGCTTCGATTAGGGCCCGGTGTAATATGCCGGAAACTTTGCCGAAAATGCTTTCGGGAAATTCTCGTAAACCTTGCCGAAAATGCTCCCAAACCTTGCCGACAATGCTCGGAAAAGGCTCACTTTCTTGTAATCCTCAGGACACGCCGTCAAAAGACTCAAAACCAGGGAGTCAGAAAATACCGGTATTTTACGACTCCCTGGTCAAAACCATTATTTTCAATTCATAAACTACTCAACAAGAAGCTACTAACCCACGGAATGCGGAAGTGACGTTCTTGTTTGGGAAGTTTTTCTTCTCTCAATTTTGATACACAACGGCCAAGTGCTCCGTTTCCCCCCAAACTGCATCACGAGCCCAAAGTGCTGGGTCGCGGATTGTACCGAACTCAAAAAATGCCGGCATATTACACGGGGGCCTAGCTTCGATCATAACCTTCGTACCAGGGAGTAGTACAATACCAGTATAAGCCTTTTGCGCGTTGTACAGATGTACGAAGTTCAGTGCTAGGGCGTAGGTGTGTACAGAACCGATTGGGTGTTCATTGTGTGCTATGCATGCACATTTGACCAATTTTAGCCTCATAACTAAGGGCAAACAATCCCTATTCCAGCTTCTTCAATTTGGTTAGAACTAATGACTAGCTAGATCTTTGTCAGAAAAGGTTTTCGTTTGAAATGCCTTCAGGGCCCATTTCTTAGTGGAAATAGCAGAAAACACAATAGGGTCCTGCACATTGAACACCCATTAGGTTCTACGGGATTCTACGGGATTTCGTGCATCTGTACAACGCGCAAAAGGCTTATTGCTACTGGCATGGCAGTGCAAATACCAGATTGGTAGGGCAGAATTTTTTAACATTAGGGAGGTTCTGCTCTACGTTTTGGGAACGCGACGCAAAGAATCACGCGAACTATTACTTTCTTCGCGTTCCCGTAACGTAAAGAAATGCTGTTCTGCTCTACGTTTCACCTAGAGAAGTCACGTGGAATGTGTACTGGGAATTTCCCCTTCCATATTTGGCAGTTTTCTGCATGCAGTTGATCGATACCCAGCAAATCCGTACGCATTTTCTCTGCGTGTGCCACAACGTAGAGAACCCCAGCTCCGCGTAGAAATCTGGAGCCAAAACACGCGAAGCCGTAGACTCTAACCCAGACACCTGCTCTCTACGTGATTTCTCTACGTTTCACGTATAGCAGAACCTCCCTAATAATTGCCTCGGGTAGTCATGCTTTAGGCACGTAGCACCGCTGTTGGAGGTGGTCCGGTTGGAGGGGGAGTCTGGGGGTGTCCCCCGGGAAAATTGTGAAATTAGGGTGCAAAATCCTGCATTCTGGGCACTTCTGGACGAAAAAGCGGTCCGGACCGGCTGCTACGCCCCTGAATAACCACTGCTGTACACGGAGTGGTATCAACCCGGGAGAGGACACAATATGCACAAGAGGTCAGCCAATGTGCCCTTGGCTCGGGTAGAAGTCGCAAGAGCTTCAGTATCATGTATGTGGCCACTGGTCAAGTGTTTGGAGATGCTTGGCCCACACAACAGCAAGAATACCAAAGGGAGGACTCCCCAAAAACTGTGAACATATTGGATGCGTTACAGGGGATTCACACTTATGGGAAACCTGAGGTCACGGGACACGGTAAAAGGTCACACCGCCGGGCAACCGAGTGTGGCCGTTCACACAAGGGAGTACTAAAAAAACCGGTTATTTAGAACTCCCTGGTTCACACCCGTAGTCAGTTTTCATTTCGCCGTAAGTTTGGACATGATTTTGTGGCGGGATAGTGTAAAATCCAATCTGTTCTGCATTTTTGTAGCATATGTTCTTTATTATGTTTCGCAATTGTCATGCGCGATTGTCGCATAGGCACTGTCGGGAAATGCAGGTTGCGATCACGCGTACAACTAGGGTTCAGAGTTCTCGCCAAAGACAAGATCTACGCATGTGTGTCGTATAGCCGTGGCATTTCGTCCTTCGGCTTTGCCAAATTTTCCCGAGAGATTCTTCCTTTCCCCCAGTACAATGGTTTCCAACTTTCCATGATGACATTCCCAAAACCGCGGGTTTAACCCGTGTGTGAATCCACTATTAGTATTACTTGTGCAGCTCTCACCGCGGCACTGAGAACGGATATCCTCCCCCCTCCCCAGCCCATCTCTACTCAAAGCGTGAGCACTTTTGTTTTACTGCTGGAATGCTGTTTCCACCGCAACAGCCAGTCCCCACAGCATACCGCTGACGCGCAGTTTTCCGCGTTATTGACTTTCATCCGCGTTGTCAAGATTTTTTTGCACAAAACCCGCATTATCCGTGTGAATTACAAGAAAATAGTACATGATGATGGAAATATACTACAAAGTCGTACCTGCATGGGTTTGTACAACAAAGTTGTACATGTACACTTGCATGAAAATGTTCGCTCAAGTTGTACCAATGACAGATAACTCATGCACAATGACCGCAATGGGCACCTCTGCACGCCGTCTTCGCATATTTGCCGCATAATTTTTAGCATTTTGTCCGCATTATTCTGTGGGGACAGAGCAGCCACAGCAGTGAAACTTTCCCGCCTGCAAAGTGCCTGTAACGTCACGTGATCAAATCAGGGATGAATTTACTTTCATGTTTTTGCATAGCAGTCTTTGCTATGCAAACTCTCAATTGTGACGTAAGCATGGATAGCATGGATAGCCTGTACATCGCAGTTTTCTGCATGTCACTGTGATTTTTGATTAGCAGTAGATTGATTTTGCGTAGCAAACTGCGATGCGATACCGGATAAATTCATCCCTGCAAATCAATCACCTTGGAAACTTTCCCTTTCCGTCACTTTTTATCGGTAGTCTGAACGCTCCCATACCCCCATACTTGCACACGAGTGCACAATCCATTTGTCTCTGGAATCCCACAGTTTGATAATATCAGCAAGAACTCCTAGAAGAACTTGTAACATCGGTTAAATAAAAATTCAGAAAAAATAAATGTCAACGCAAACATATACCGTAAAACCAGCGGCTATGTGAAAACTAATATGTACAAGACTTCTACCTTCACAGACCTATTACAATTTGTAACTGTGCAGCAGATCAATGTGGCTTAGGAACATGCCCATCGACATAAAAGTTACGTGTGGCACGTGGCAGTACAAGCTTCAGCCCTTCTAACTCTTTCGTCAGTGTAATTTGGCATCCTAACCGTGAATTCTCCTGGAGGAACGGGGCAAGATCCAGCATGTCCTCCTCCTCCTCTTTGGGCTCTTCTAGTTTATCGAAGAAGCCATTCTCCACGTAGACGTGGCATGTAGAGCAGGCCAGGGACGCCTCACAAGCACCTTCAAGGTCAATATCATGGCGATGGGCTAAATATAGGCAGTTATCTCCAACTTTTCCCTTGACATTGATCTCTTCGCCATCTCTGTCTACATACGTTACATTCACAACGTCTTCTGGCGACTTTGGCTCCTGCCACTCGTAATCGCCATGTCTATTTGCAGCAGAGGTGTGGAGATGTCTTCTGATCGACTGTTTACAAGGCACTGCGAGAATGCTTCTGTTCACCTGCTGCAAAGCTAGGCCAGCGCAACGGACGGTTGCAAACACACCGCTCCGCAGCAAACACGCCATTACGTACTAACTACATACAGTCCAGCTGGGGTAAGGATCCCGAAAACTGATTGAAATGTTATCTGCTCAAACAGCAATAAGACGATGAAGGACTTTCACTTGATCAGATTTGAAAAGCTTTGAAAGCAAAAAATATTTTGCAAAAAGTTTAGAGCGATCACGTGATCAAAGGAGAATGTGGGGTCCGGGTGGACCATACAGGCATACACAACCTACCTACAAATGTAGTAGATTGTCAGTGCAGTGTTTTCCAGCTACAACAATTACAAGTACGAGGACTCGTACTTCGTAGGTTGGATGTTTTCAAGAGGACAATCATCATGATTGGACTGTCTTTTGATGTTTTACGACCATCGATCGAGAGATGCATCCAGCACTGGTGTTGATTTCTGGCCCTTGGCCTTCGTTTCTGATCTCCACTGCCTCCTGCATTTGCAGCTTGCCCTGTCACACACTGCCACTGGCTCTTGGAGTCTTGCAATCACAGACACTGCTGAGAAGATGCACGCTGTCTCTCTGACAGTCAGGTTGATCCCTACATCCCAGGGCTTATCCACAGACAAGCCCTGTTCCTTTTTATTTATTTACTAGTATTTTTATACTGATTCTGAAGTGAAGAGACTCGGATGGGGACATCCTTCTTGGCAGTCTTCCAAGCTGCAAGATCCTGTAGATTTTCTTGTGCCGAGTTGTGGGAGCAGTATGCGCATGCAGTCGCAGGTGGCGGACCCGAGCTAGCTTGGTGGTAACAAAATCAATTTTTGTACAGTCATGTACAATGTTTGTAGTGCAAGTGACTGTCTACGAAATGAAACGAAAGTTCAAACTGTCTTTGGAAAAAGTAACGCCTGAGACCATCGGCGTCGGGTGAGAACCCCCTAGCAAGGTGATAGCAAAAACCCTGCCAGAGGTCGCGGTTTAGGAGTTCAACCAAAGCTTCGGATTGCGGAACGAGCTAGAGTTTAGTCTGGTAAGAACGTGCACCTCCGTTGGAGTTCTTGAACAAATGTCCAGTGATAAAGACTGATCGTGGACTGCATGCAGCTACTTGTATCCCTGTAGTGACTTGGTGGTACTGAGTTGCACGTCAAGGATGCAGCACGTCTCGACTACGAGTGCTGTCTGTCCATAACAATAATTTGGGCCATGAAATTCAAATAGGAGTCTGAATGAATGAGTGCATGGCAGCAGAATCGTATTTCACCCAATCACAGCTGACTTGTTGAGGTCAGCATATCGCGCATGTCCAACCCAGCCAAAGCCGTTCCCTTAGTAACACACGCGCCCAGTTTCCCTTATAGGCGATTCGCACGACGTGTAGAATAATGCACGATAACACGTTTGTGTAGAAGAGGACAAGCGGCCCAACGGATTCACACATACACCAGACCCGTGCAAACCTGGCACGGGTCTGTGTACTCCAGCACCACACTCTAATACTTTCGCTGGTTTTTACACGCACGCAAAGCACAAAGTTCACAGAGTGTAATGTATTGCCTTCAAGTACTAATGCTCTGGTGTTGCATTGCGTTACCTTTATTACATACAGTCCATTTCAAAACTATAGACGTGTAGGGTTTTTGAAATATTTCAAATTTGGCTGGAACTTTTTGAGAATAGTTTTCGGAATATTGCTCAGGACCGCTCCACAATTACTCTCATAGATTCTAAACGATTGGATAACAGACGCCCAATTTGGAAAAATTTATGCACAAAGTGATCACAGATTTTATGTGGTATAGATGCTGGCATAACGGTTTTTGCCTAGGTACGCGTCTATAGTTTTGAAATGGACTGTAGTTATACATTGGCACCACACGTTACCACTCATATCATGTCACATCTATATCATGTCACACCTATATCATGTCACACCTATACGATTGGTATAATAGACTAGCAGAGCTACAGGGAGATCTCTCTCTCAGCCTGCACACCTAACTGTTGGTCACCACATTGGCGCAGTGAACAGGATTGTGGCCAGGCAGGATGGCAGCAGTCAAGGGTCGACCACCACACGAATTTGTTGTGGACCCCTCTGCCAATATAGCAGCCGATTTCAACCTATGGCTAGAGGACTTCGAGGACTATCTCGATATCGCTAAGGTCGCAGACGCAGGGGAAAAGAAGAAACTGCTTCTTAACCTGGCAGGACTATCTCTTCGCCGCATTGTGAAGGGTCTCCAGGTCGCAGAACCCTCTCGTGACCAGGACGCGTACCAAGTCTTGAAGGCCGCAATCCAATCGTACTTTCGCCCGTCGGTAAATGCAACTGCGGAGCGTCACAGATTCAGGAAACTCAGGCAGCAGTCTGACGAGTCCGTCACCTCTTTCATGGGACGGCTCCGAGAAAAGGCGGCACTTTGCGAGTTTGACTCGACTGCAGTGGACTCGTTAGTGAATGGCCAGCTTCGGGACCAGTTCATAGCCGGGCTGCCGTGCCAGGAGGCACGCAAGCAGCTTCTAATGGAGTCAAGACTAACGCTCGCTGATGCTATCGCGAAAGCTGTCGCATTAGAAGCCTCAAAGGTTGACAATAAACTGTTCAGTGAGGAAGCAGGAAGGACACTGGACATGCCTTCGGGAAGTGTGGCAGCCGTAGCACCGGATGCGGCTGCGGTGAATATGGTGAAACACCGTCAGCACGGCAGAAGCAAGGCTCACACGTGCAAGTACTGTGGCGGAACCCATCCACCAGGCAAGGACCATTGCCCGGCTGCGCGAGTTCGCTGCAGACACTGCTCAAAGGTCGGGCACTTTGAAGTCGTCTGCCTGTCCAAGGGCAAGGAAGCTAGAGCCCAGACTATTGGCGAGGAGGATGAAGCCAATGAAATTTGCGAGTCTGTGTATACCATGCACACTGATCAGAAACACTGGTTCACAGCAGCTCTGCAGGTGGATGGAAAATCATGTCTCCTGCATTTGCAGCTTGCCCTGTCACACACTGGCTCTTGGAGTCTTGCAATCACAGACACTGCTGAGAAGATGCACGCTGTCTCTCTGACAGTCAGGTTGATCCCTACATCCCAGGGCTTATCCACAGACAAGCCCTGTTCCTTTTTATACTGATTCTGAAATTAGTTAGTTACTATTATAATTATATTCTTGACATCATTCTCGGCATGCATGTATATGTGCATGCAGTCTTCCAAGCTGCAAGATCCTGTACCAAGAGTCCATAAACTGTTTATGGACTCTTGAGTCTTGCTCGTAGATCTACTGCTGTAGATTTTTTTGTAGGATCAGTATGCGCATGCAGTCGCAGGTGGCGGACCCGAGCTCGAGCTAGCTTGGTGGTAACAAAATCAATTTTTGTACAGTCAGATCATGTACAATGTTTGTAGTGACTCTACGAAATGAAACGAAAGTTCAAACTGTCTTTGGAAAAAGTAAAGCCTGACACCATCGGGTGAGAACCCCCTAGCAAGGTGATAGCAAAAACCCTGCCAGAGGTCGCGGTTTAGGTCAATTAGGAGTTCAACCAAAGCTTCGGATTGCGGAACGAGCTAGAGTTTAGTCTGGTAAGAACGTGCACCTCCGTTGGAGTTCTTGAACAAATGTCCAGTGATAAAGACTGATCGTGGACTGCATGCAGCTACTTGGATCCCTGTAGTGACTTGGTGGTACTGAGTTGCACGTCAAGGATGTAGCACGTCTCGACTACGAGTGCTATACTGTCCATAAAAATATATCATTTGGGCCATGAAATTCAAATGGGAGTCTGAATGAATGAGTGCATGGCAGCAGAATCTTATTTTACCCAATCACAGCTGACTTGTTGGGGTCAGCATATCGCGCATGTCCAACCCAGCCAAAGCCGTTCCCTTACGGCCTTAGTAACACACGCGCCCAGTTTCCCTTATAGGCGATTCGCACGATGTGTAAAATAATGCACGATAACACGTTTGTGTAGAAGAGGACAAGCGGCCCAACGGATTCACACACATACCAGCAGCAGCAAACAGGTCCATATATAGCTTTTGTAGTGACACACATTGGTACCTAAAAGATTGTGAGTGGCGCCACTTCTATATTATGTGTGTGTGTGTGTGCGTGCGTGCGTTTGTGTGTGTGCACTTATGTGTGTGTGTGTGTGTATATGTGTATGCTTTTTCCAGGGGTTTTGTTGCCTTGAGCCATGGAAAGTCACTCGTGGCTCGATCCTGAGGATGTCGTCATGGTCGAGCCAGTTGATGGAGCTGGTAATGCTGTTGGTCAAGTCACCAGACCTCTATCACCGCTCCGTGCCTACAATACGCGCAGCAGTATGCGGTCGAATCAAAGTGAAGCGACCAGCAGCATTTCTCCCAGCAGAGTTGCATCCACTGTTGTGCCGCCGTCAAGGCGCTGTCCACTGCCGAACCTTTCCACCGCTCACTCCGCCGCCAGGACGCCTATTAGCAGCAGTACGCCGGCGAATGAGTTTGAGCGGGGAGAAGATGGTGATGATGCAGTGTTGTGGTGCGCAGACTCGCCAGATGATGATGATGGTGGACATATGACTGTGTATATTGCGCCGCCGAGAGAAGACAGCGTTTACGACAGGGTGGACATTGGTCAGACGCGATGTGCAATTTGCACTGAGATGTTAGCGTCGCTGGACTCACTCAACAAGCACCACGAGGCACACATAGGTATGTTTCCATCTTTAAAATGGACATGGTGTTTGGCTTGTACAGCACATGTCCTGTAGTCTGTACCCGCTTAATACATACACCTGCTTATTTATTTATTTATTTATTTCACTCAACTCGTGGTCCATGACCAATTGGCACGCAAAGTGCGAGATAGGGATGATAGCCAACCACGGCAAGAAAAAAAAAGAAGGGAATAAAGAAGGATAGACAAGCAGCCAGCAAGAGAGATCCTATTGTGCTTCGTTATGTGATCGGAGAGCATTTTTAAAGCTGGGAAGACATTTTGATATCTTAACTTGCTGAGGTTAGGGCAGACGTTATCTACAGGTCTGCTCTCGATATAACAACTCTCACTTGTACATAAACCTCGCTAGTAAGTAAAAAAATCGAATAAAAAAAATCAAATCCCGCGCCGAAACAGCATCACTCCCAAACAAATTTTGTTCTACACAACATAATCTACATAACATAAACCTCGACATAACACACGCTACGGCGCGGTCCCCGACGTGCACACTCTCGATACAACGTAAATTCACCTGCACGGTACGATCAAGCAGTAGCTGTTGCTAGGCATTTTAGGCCAGTTTAGTCCTACATAACGTAAACCTCGGCATAACGCACCCTATGGCGCGGTCCCCGACGTGCGCACTCTCGATACAACGTAGAATCACGTGCGCGGTATGATCAAGCTGTAGCCGTAGCTAGCCAGTTTAGTCCTATTGTGCATATATTCTGCGGCATTGATGGTATCTGATGTCGATGGCGATACAGTGTGTATAATTATGTTTGCACGGTTAAACCTGCCTTGTAATACCCTTCATTTTGAGGTACACCTTGTATTTTACATACGTTTTTCTACATAACATAACTCTCGATATAGCATAATTTTTGCGTGGTCCCAGAGAGTAGACCTGTACGGATTTCCTTCCGTAGGAGCGTATACAAATCCATGTGTATTGCACATACTCTGTTATGTCATGTAGCTGTGTTTGTGGCACTGACAGTCATTATCAGGTTGACTGCTTCCTGTATATGCGCCCGAATCATCATACACAGCGTGGAGAGGTTTGCGGATACTAGTATGTACCGTATTACCCCGAATGTAAGTCACACCTTTTTACACTAAACTTCAAGAGCAAAGAAGGGGGTGTGACTTACCCCATCGAGCGTGACTTCCTACTTCTTCATTAGTTTGAGGCAGTTGCAAAGGGAAGAAAACTGGACTGTCACCATCTGGACTCGACCCAGGGACCCTCGCTTATGGCCATTGCTTGCATATAGCACGTGACCAAGAGATCATGTGAGAGTTGCCAAGAGGCGGCGGTGAAGTGCCAGCATAGCGACAGCCCCAAGCACAAGCTTTGTTGTTTTAATTTAAAGGTGACAAGGCCCTCCCTCTGCCCTTTGTAACTTTCTATGCAAACATTCCTATCCTTGTTTTTTGCAGACGCGTATCAGAAGAAGTCCTCCGGGGTCCGGGCATACACGTGTGAGGTGTGCGATAAGGACCTCCAGCAGCGGTTCAACCTGCTACGCCACTACCTTGTACATGCGGACGTTCGTCCGTACGAGTGCTGTGTGTGTTTCAAGCGCTTTCGCGAGGAGCGTAACCTGCGCAAACACATGCCGCAGCATTCCAGCGAGAAGCGATTTGAGTGCGATCAATGCGACAAGAAGTATTTTTCTAAGCAATCGCTGGGTCATCACCAGGCCACCAAACACAAAGGTAGGTTACATGTGTTTGACACAGTACATGCACAGGTGTATGTCACTGCACATGCACAGGTGTATGTCACTGTATATGTACAGGTGTATGTCACAGTACATGTACAGTTGCGCTCACTGAAATCTGGCCCGTTGTGCAAAACTGACACCCTGGACCAGTTCCGATTACATCACTGTGCTTGTACATGTGTACGTCCAGCCGTATTCGTGTCACTTCCAGGGCATCATGGGCCGTGCAAGTTGAGGATGCTAAATATGCAGTTTGGGTCAGATTTCACCAAGCATGACTGTACATCTACTGTATGATACAGTATGATACAGTATCATATCCGTGTGCATGTGCATGGCACTGTTTGTGTGTATTTTTACTTTTGGAAGAATTTGTAGTCGACAGACCGTTTTTTGGGTAGTGGTGTATAATAGTGTGAAACACGTAGGGCTCATCATTATTATTCTTATTATTATTATTATTCTTTATTCTCACTCATCGTTGCCATGTTGTTCTGCACTGTGACTTTGGGTGTTTTGCCCTTTGATGGCTTTGGTGTGAGTGCAGATGTTGTCAAGCGCTTTCAGTGCAAGTACTGTCACGTGGCGTTTGCTGCACCCAGTGATTGCAGTCGACACGAGATCAGTCACACTCGAGCGCCGCAGCACCAGTGCGGCTCGTGCAGCCTCTCCTTCAACAGGATCAACCAACTCACTGCGCACGAACTGGAAGTACACGATGTTGACTCTAATGGTGAGCAGCAGACAGTGTGGGTTTTTGTTTTTGTTTTTCTTTTATGTATTGAGTATGTAATTTCGCCAACACTCCAAAACACTCCAAAGCTGTGCTTAGTATATGACGATAGTGTAAATTTGATAATAAGACAAGAAAGACGAAGCAAACTCTATGAGCACCAAAGAAAAACTCTACCATGAACAAGAAAGCCCCCAAGACAAGGCTACCTCTTGCCCAGAGGAACAGTCCCGAAAAGGTGCTAGGAAACCAGAAAAGGATACAAGAAAAGAAACAAGTGCAAAATTCCGTACTGCGCCGCACAGTGCGTGAGAACCCCGCGCGGGATCAGCGGAAACTTCGCGAAGAGATTTAGGACACGCATTGCCAAAAGGAGAAGTGTGAAGAGGTCAAAAGTACAAGTACGATTCCAGTGCAAAACAGCTAGGCCCCCGTGTAATATGCCGGCATTTTTTTAGCATTTTCGGTACAATCCGCGAACCCAGCACTTTGGGCTCGTGATGCAGCATTTTGGGGGAAACGGAGCACTTGGCCGTTGTGTATCAAAATTAAGAGAAGAAAAACCATACGGAGTCTTCAAATCACGTAGCTGCCCTTGGCAACTCCGAACGCGGCAGTGTACGACCAGATCGACCTGGGGAGAGAGTCATAAATTTGTACCCCAATCAGCTTACGGACCAGCTACGTTATCAGAGCCCTATCTACGTACTCTACATAGACAACTTTTCGTAAGTGGAGTGCAAACTCGCGAATTCACGGGTTTTCCCCGCCCACTAACGTAAAGTTCCTCAACTTTACGTAGTGCGGAACCTCTCTATCATCACAGCGCCGCCACTTGCCTGCTGCGGAGGCTGGCATTGCAGTGAATTGAGCACGGCTGACTTCATTGACGTTTGGCTGGATGACGATCTGTCTGACTCCATGAGCCGACAAACCCAACATACGAGCGATCCGTCCGGCAACAAAGAGCCATTCTGGCTCGTGGCAACCACTGCTTCCCTCTTTGCAAGTTGTAGGTTAGCTTGTTCACCCATGGCGGATGCTTACTTGTCCAAAGTTGACCAAATATCATCGACATGGAAGTAAAACAAATTGGTGCATCACGTGGATCAAAGAAAATCAGTTTTCCTGCGACTGGCTGGACTACAGACTCCATTTTTGAGTCTCCATGGTGAGATTGTGGGAAATGGTCAACAATTTCCGCTGACCCTGCACATTGAAAACCCTAGCACAAAACTCTCTGAAATCTCCTGCGAAATCGGTCAAAATAATCGCTAACGAATTCGAATGTCAAATACGGTAAAACCTGTCAAGAGGACCACTCTGATAAGGCGACCACCTGTTTCGGAGGACCACTACAACTAGGACCAAGGGATGTGATTTCCAGTCGAAATGACTCTGGATACGGAGACCACCTGTACATGGAGACCACATTTTGAAGGTCCCTTGGCTTGAGCGGCCGGCTTAGACAGGTTTCACTGTACAGTGGAACTCATTTAATACGTACCCGGAAAACTCGTACACCTGCTTAGCACTGTACGATCCTTTTTTCGTCGCACGGATTTTCCTCCCATAAGCGCATATACGAATGTGTATGGTTACAAATTAGGGAGCGTTCGTTTTGATCTACAGGTTTGAGTAGAAACTACTTCTACTGGTAGATTTCACTGGTTTGAGGGAAAGAAGCAAACGGAAAAAGTCTGAAAAAACCACCAGGACTCGAACCAGGGTAAATATGTTCGTTTTTTCTACCACCAACGGTAGATTGTACTTTCCTCTGCCGGCTTTATCAGGTTTGAGGCCTGTGGAAGTCGGTAGAAGTTGGTAGAGGTATGGTAATTCTGTACTTGTGTGACGATGAGAGCTGGTTTCCACACAATAGCGTACATCGTACTGTAAAAATCGACGTTCTACTGAAAAGGGTAGATCTACGTTGGTAAACTAGCACCTACCGGCTTTTGATCCGCTCTACTCTACTCAACCAAGTACTTTCGCGGTGCTCAAATTTAGCGTTTCATAAATTGGGCTGGTTCACGATGAGAAACGTTTGCGATCCTATCTCTTCAGTCAGATCTTGTACTGTTTGTAGCACAGGAAGCCTGGTTTGGTGGCAGCAACCACATACATTTCTGAGTTCAATGAATAATTTCAAGCATTTTGACATACTGCACATGTATCGTATTGGTGGGGCCGCGTGAGTCAACTTTGAATAGGAAGTCCAGTACCTCGGATACTGCATACCTTTTTCCGGGATTTCATCACTGACAGGGGCACTCAATTTTCAACAGCATTGCGTGTGTGTGTGTGTGTGTGTGTGTGTGTGTGTGTGTGTGTGTGTGTGTGTGTGTGTGTGTGTGTGTGTACACTGACATGCTGTCTCTGTGTTGATCTACTGTGTGTTGATCTGTTACCTGCCGGCTTCAGCGAGGGCGATAGCTGCCGATCGTCCAAGGCGCTCAGCCAGAGCTAGTGGTGGCAGTGCTGCTACTGCGACTCCTCAATGTGCTGCAGGCGTCTCTTCCAGTGTCACAGCACCTTCGACGGGTCAAGCTGATGAGTCCGCTGAGAATTTGCACACATCATCGAATGAAATTGGGAACGAAGAAGGTATGGATGATGGTGCTGAGTCCCCGGTGGATACTGGTGATGTTGTCGCTGTAGCTGCCGCCCTAGCAACAGAGGGCAGTGAGACGGAGCAACAACACACCGCTGCCGTACTCAACCCGCTGGGAACACACCCTGCAATGGTGGAGATTGGGGAAACCCCCTGTTCTGTGTGCAAGCAGTGCTTCCCCTCGCTGGAATCACTCAGCCGGCACCTGGAAACTCACATCAGTAGGTTTCAAGTTGTGATTGTGTGTCACTGTGTGTGTCACTGTGTGTGTCACTGTGTTCGTCACTTTGAGGAAAGGGACAAGGGGATCTAGTATGGTGTGTGGAATGATAGCAGGCTGAATGTCGACTGGCCCTGTGCTGACACTGTGCTACAAGTGCATGTTCACATTGTGCATCAGTAGTGTTGTCTATAAATTATATCACACTCTTTTTAATATCTTATTATAGAGAGGACAGGAGACTTTTAGTTAGAGTTACATGTATGAATAGCCACCCACCACTGTAGCTACCGTGTTTTCCCGTTTGTAAGTGGTGATAAGTCGAAGCTCCATACTTGGGACCTCAATTTTGTAAAAGGTCGACTTCTATTCGAGAAATACGGTAACATGGGCAACAACTAGGCGCTAAGCTAACAGAGTACTGAGACATGCAACTCGCTGACACCGACTTTCATTAGACATTGGAGTTTCAGTTGGGTGCGTACTGTCCAGTAGGTTACTCGGTCTCTGCAGTAATCTTGCAACCCGGGGTGCTTAGGAGAAGACTCACTTTGCACATCTAACTAGTTATTGTTATGCTGCTTTATTACGCGACCTGTTTTATTATTATTCAGAACCACCACTTACCCACCCCACCGCTTAGGAGCTGCATCCCCTCTGCGCCTTGATCCAAGAGGGTGGTGGCGTTCCTGCGGATGCGGAAAACTTGGCCTTTGACCGAGTCTCACGCGAACCGTGATTTTTTTATTTTTTTTATTTTATTATTCTTGCAGATCAGTGCTCATGGAATGCCAAGCAGCGTGGCGTGTTCGTGTGTGAAGTGTGCTTCAAGGAGTTTCCCTACCGTCTCCAGTTGATACGGCACTATCTCATGCACTCCGACGTCCGGCCGTACCAGTGCAGCTTCTGCGAGAAGCGATTCCGCGAGGAGCGTACTCTCAACAAGCACGTCGTGCACCATGCCAAGGGCAAACTGCACGAATGCCCGCACTGTGACAGGAAGTATCTGTCGCGCGACTCTCTACTCTATCACATCTCTAAGCACAAAAGTAAGTGATGTCCAGTCGACACATGCCTTTAATAACACAATTACATGCTAGCTCAGGTTTGAGAGAGTACACACTAGAAAACAGGTCAGTTTGGAGTCCGGGAAACCGCTGCTCAAACTGCACTGGCTCTATGCTTCAGAGTTGTATAGTTTATTTCAACCAATAAAATTAATTTGTTTTTCCTGGACCAGGGTGCGCTGTTGAACTGCTCAGCGATTCTTTGAGGACACTGGCTATACTTTCCCATGTACTCGCAGACTCCAGTGCAGCCGTTAACACTCAGTCACTGGCTGTACCCTGATCATTTGAAAGCTATGACGCATAGAGTCAGTGCTTGAGCAGGGGTGCAAGTGAAATTGACACCGTTTGAGTCTCACTCCGAGTCACCATCGCTCAATTCCTCACTCATCGTTGCCGTGTTGTTCTGCACTGTGACTTTGGGTGTTTTGCCTTTGATAAGGGGTGAAACGAAGGTGTCAAAGGTTCGAAGAACCTTCGTTTTCATTTGAAACAAACCTCCGTTTGCAATTTAAAAGAAGGTCAACACACGATTTCTTCATGCAAGCATGCACTGATCTTCCCTGTATACACGTGTACCGTACTGTACTGTAGTCTGTACAGTCAACTACCGGTAGTTGTGTGTCCACTTGACTCCCGTTAGGCGCCACTGCAAGTGCATAGTAGGCCAAGGACTGGGCTTGAGCGCGTGCCAGTCACGGCCACGGTGTGCAGAAGCAGCCTTGGGCAGTTGGTGGCACAATCAGCACATAGCAAAAGCTATGGGCTTGTTGTGACCGCACAGCGAAACATTTGTGTACAGTCATAGTAGGGCACATCATGCACAGAGTTCGCTTCAACGGGAACTGTGAACTGGTACTTCAAGTAAAAGAATCCTACGACACATTCGTTCGTTTTGATGAAGGTTTGTTTTGCAAATTGAGACCTTCGTTTCACCCCTACCTTTGATGGCTTTGATGTGAGTCCAGATGTTGTCAAGCGCTTTCAGTGCAAGTACTGTCACGTGGCGTTTGCTGCACCCAGTGATTGCAGTCGACACGAGATCAGTCACACTCGAGCGCCGCAGCACCAGTGCGGCTCGTGCAGCCTCTCCTTCAACAGGATCAACCAACTCACTGCGCACAAACTGGAAGTACACAATGTTGACTCTAATGGTGAGCAGCAGACAGTTTGGGGTTTTCTTTTTCTTTTATGTATTGAGTAGAGTATTCCGACTATGCCTGGAGTGGTCACGGTGCCTGTTCAGTGTCTCCCAGAGATTTTCAATGGGGTTCGGGTCAGGGCTTTGGGCTGGCAACTCCATTGTGCGGAATGTCTGGTCCTAAAGCCACCTCTTCGAGGCGCATGTGGCATGTTTCGGGTCATTGTCCTGTTGAAAAACACAATGGCCTTCACCAAACAACTCGTGCATGCTTGGCACCATGCAATTCTGTAAGATGCCAAGCCACTGGGCACTGGGTGTGCTCCATCTTGCCCATGACCTTGTAGAGCTGTCCAACACCGCACGCCGCCATAGTGCCGCACACTATAATACCACCTCCACCATGCTTAACTGTGCCACGTGAGCACAGTTGGGGTTCAGTCATTCTCCTTTGCGCCTCCTGACGTACCGAACTCCGTCACTGCATTGCATATTGAATTTGGACTCGCCAGTCCATAGCACCTACGCCCATTGCTCAGTTGTTCATGATTTATGATCTTTTGCAAACTACAACCTCTTCTTGCGATGTGTTTCGGCAATATATGGCTTTTTCACAGCCACTTTGTGATCCAGGTACGACGTGAGAGATGTGTGCCAGTCTTTGCAGCAAGCTCCTTCCGTAATCCCGTGGCAGTTTTGAAGCGATCAACGAGACTGAGTACCTTAAGCCTCCTATCATACCTCTCATCACTCTTGTGTTCAGCATACCTTGCTTGCTTCCGCAGGTGAAGTCAGGCAGTAGGTCAGGTTCCACAAGCACAGAGCGGCTGTGAAGGATAGGACAAACCAACAACTCACTCTCGTTCGGCTAACCGACAACTAACCCTGAAGGAAAACTTCAACTGGTTCGTGGCTAAGGACTGCTCAACACTGTCACTGGTATAATCAAATTTGTTCCTTTTGCCGAAATAAGAATTAGCACTTACTTTCGGCAAGCGAGGTTTCGGTGACGGAGGTAACGAAACAAATCCGTCGGCGGAGAAGGGAGTGTCGACCGGGTACCAGCATCAGGTAGGGGCTCGCCATCATCAGGAGCCACCTCCTCGAACTCAGTATCGATCTCCCGACCCATCCCCGCACTGCTACGCGATACTGAGAGGATCTTCCGCACAAGATCAGGTCATGAACCACCGTTGGGGAGATGCAGCCCCCGGCAGATATCCCTCAACTGCTCGTGGCGTGTCGTGGCGTGCACACGCCAACGACTCGAGATACATGGCTCAACTGCGGCCCACGAACTCGAGAAAATGAAAAAATAAAAATAAAAATACTCGAACTTTCAGCAACGACGGAGGTACGCAGTACTGACACACAATGACTGGACCACTTCTGACACCAAGTGAAGGAGAGGACAAACCAACAACTCACTCTCGTTCGGCTAACCAACAACTAACCGTGAAGGGCTGTCATCCTTGTTATTTTATCTTGGTGTGCAATACTATCAAGTTGTACAATATGTGAGTACATGTACTAGAAAAGGTACCGGTAGTATGGGAAATAGTACTCAGCATGCTATTCTAATGTCATATATGGACAGATTTAAATATGAGGATGTGAAGGTTATAGTTATATCTAAAGGGATATTATTTTATTGGCACTAAACGATATAGAGTTTCAATATCATCACAGCGGCGTCACTTGCCTGCTGCGGAGGCTGGCATTGCATTGAATTGAGCACGGCTGACTTCATCGGCGTTTGGCTGGATGACGATCTGTCTGACTCCATGAGCCGACAAACCCAACATACGAGCGATCCGTCCGGCAACAAAGAGCCATCCTGGCTCGTGGCAACCACTGCTTCCCTCTTTGCAAGTTGTAGGTTAGTTTGTTCACCCATGGCTGATGCTTACTTGTCCAAAGTTGACCTTTTTTCTACGACATGGAAGTAAAACAAATTGGTGCATCACGTGGATCGAAGAAAATCAGTTTTCCTGCGACTGGCTGGGCTACAGACTCCATTTTTGAGTCTCCATGGTGAAATTGTGGGAAATGGTCAACAATTTCCGCCGACCCTGCACATTGAAAATCCTAGCACAAAACTCTCTGAAATCTCCCGCGAAATCGGTCAAAATAATCGCTAACGAAATCGAATGTCAAATACGGTAAAACCTGTCAAGAGGACCACTCTGATAAGGCGACCACCTGTTTCGGAGGACCACTACAACTAGGACCAAGCGGTGTTATTTCCAGTCGAATGACTCTGGATAAGGAGACCACCTGTACATGGAGACCACCTGTACATGGAGACCACATTTTGAAGGTTCCTTGGCTTGAGCGGTCGCCTTAGACATGTTTCACTGTACAGTGGAACTCACTTAATACGTACCCGGAAAACACGTACACCCGCTTAGCACTGTACGGTCCTTTTTCGTCGCACGGATTTTCCTCCCGTAAGCGCATATACAAATGTGTATGGATACGACTTAGGGAGCGTTCGTTTTGATCTACAGGTTTGAGTACAAACTACTTCTTCTGGTAGATTTCACTGGTTTGAGGGAAAGAAGCAAACGGGAAAAGTCTGAAAAAAGTGCCTGTCACCACCAGGACTCGAACCAGGGTAAATATGTTCGTTTTTTCTACGACCAACGGTAGATTGTACTTTCCTCTGCCGGCTTTATCAGGTTTGAGGCCTGTGGAAGTCGGTAGAAGTTGGTAGAGGTATGGTAATTCTGTACTTGTGTGACGATGAGAGCTGGTTTCCACACAATAGCGTACATCGTACTGTAAAATCGACGTTCTACTGAAAAGGGTAGATCTACGTTGGTAAACTAGCACCTACCGGCTTTTGATCCGCTCTACTCTACTCTACTCTACTCTACTCTACTCAACCAAGTACTGTAAAGCGACAAACTTTCGCGGTGCGCAAATTTAGCGTTTTCATAAATTGGGCTGGTTCATGATGAGAAACGTTTGCGATTCTATCTTTTCAGTCAGATCTTGTACTGTTTGTAGCACAGGAAGCCTGGTTTGGTGGCAGCAACCACATACATTTCTGAGCGCAATCTGTAATTCTGCAAGAATTCTCTGAATTTGCAGTGGAATTATGGTTACATGAGGAGGTGAAAGCGAAGATGTGACAGTGTGTTAGGCCTTTCATCTCACATAATAAAACCCGAGATTTTTTAGTGACGTCAATAAACAAACACATCTTCGCGCCTTTATCCTCAGCTCCAACCTGACCCTCACTGGCCTTTTGAACGAGCTGACAGAAAACCTAGTATTTCATGGAATACAACTTGAATTGGCAGGTGGCACTACAAAGTCATATACCATAGGAAGCGTGCAGTCCACACCTTGGAAACATGACACGGATAACGGGATAAACGGAAGTATTATACATTCGGCACCGCAGCCAAATAACACATAAAATAGTGGTCAATCCAACAGATGTGGATCACTAGAGCAGACAGTCAACCCACTGGTTAGGAACTGTGACAGCTAGGGTGGGTAGAATCGGAAACGTTCATCATAGAATGGGTGGGAACACACTGTCACATCTTCGCTTTCACCTCCTCATGTAACCATAATTCCACTGCAAATTCAGAGAATTCTTGCAGAATTACAGATTACATTTCAGAGGTTCCAGCTCGATGCTCCAGTGTGTCATTCAAAGTGAACAAAACCTAACATCGGTCTGAAGAGGCAGACACTGCAGTCGGTCCGGACTGAGCGATCAATCAGCATTCAGGACAGCTTGGGTGAACTGGGCCATTGCAGATGGCCGGTAGTAATGCCGAATAAACGTGCTGGGACCACTCCAATCAGCGGCGGCAAGCACAACTTCCATGGGGACACCAGAAGAGCGAGCAGCAGACGTAGCGGCAGATCGAGTTGAATGACCAGAAAACTGTGCAGTGTCTACTCCACATAATCCCAGTCCGAACGTCCTCGGCTCGCACCGCCTGTGGGATGCTGTGGTGGACGGGACCACTCGGGCCGTTGAGGCCTGTATGGAGCAGGTCGGCTCGCGCGGGAATACGCCCCGGGGCGGCTTTGCCAGGGCCTGGAGGAAAAACCCTCTGACGAAGAGTGATGGTGGGTCGGCAACCGATCACGACGGGTGTTGGTCCAAGCTGACGTGGACTTGGCGAGGGTTTTCCTCACCTCGCCTTTCTGCTCCAGTTCCTTGTAAAATGTGTCACCAAACAAGGAGGTGCCCTCCTTCGGCAGCGGCAGCTCCTTCGCATCCTTCGCCAGTGCCTTGTGCCCTGCACCCTCCAAGATGGCGGCACGGCGATGAGCAGTCATCCGGGCATTGGCATGCCCCAACAGTACCAGTGATCGCTGAACAGCATCCAGGACTACATCCGTGGGAACGTCCATACTGTCCCCGTTGCTGATAATGTCTTCCCAGAGTTGGGTCAGTGGGCCACACGCCGATAAAAAATTCTGCTGTAATTTGTGCAGGCCACTATCCATGGTCTTCGGGAGTTCCTCCCCGAGCCAAGACGCAACGGCGTCGTCCACCGTTGGCACAACACATGCTGCGGTATCGGGACGTGGGTCCTTGGAGGTCATCTCCTTTACTACAGCATCACTTTGGATTGTCCGGAAATACTGCTCTACATAGCTCTGCACTTCTGGAGAGGCTTTATACAAATGCCTTTTCGTGGCAGCCTCCTCGCCCTTGGGATCGAACAGTGGGCGAGCCGAGGGAGTTGCCTGGCCAGCCAATGGGCCCTCCGGCAGATGCGACAGTCCCAGCTCCGGGGATGCGCCTGCAGAAATTCCATCTGGAAAAACAGAGTTCGTATGTGCCAGACCAGCCATTGGGTCGTTCGGCAAGGATGACAACCCCAGCAACGGGGGCGCATCCACTTCCATGTTCAACACGGGTACATCCTGCGTAGCAGCAGGGGATTGGTGCCCATCAGCAACGTTCAACGGGGAGGTAGCCATGGCCAGAGACGGATTTCGATCCAGGAGAACAATTTTTGGCATCCACACAAAGCGAAAGCGAGAGAAAAAAGGCCAGTGAGGGTCAGGTTGGAGCTGAGGATAAAGGCGCGAAGATGTGTTTGTTTATTGACGTCACTAAAAAATCTCGGGTTTTATTATGTGAGATGAAAGGCCTAACACACTGGAGCATCGAGCTGGAACCTCTGAAATGTAATGAATAATTTCAAGCATTTTGACATACTGTAAATATACAAAATTTCGGCGCTGCAAAATTTCGGCACTTCACGATTTTTGACATTTCGGCGGCGATTTATTTTCGGCGTGGGGTAGAGGGCATAGTATAGTGCGACAGATGCTGTGAAAAATTTCATCGACGTTTTAATTTAGGCATTTTGGGTCGGTGCCGAATATAGCCGAAATTAAATAGCTGCCGAAAATTTGTATATTTACAGTACTGCACATGTATCGTATTGGTGGGGCCACGTGAGTCAACTTTGAATAAGAAGTACAGTACGTCGGATACTGCATACCTTTTTCCGGGATTTCATCACTGACAGGGGCACTCAATTTTCAACAGCATTGTGTGTGTGTGTGTGTGTGTGTGTGTGTTTGTGTGTGTGTGTTTGTGTGTGTGTGTGTGTGTGTGTGTGTGTGTGTGTGTGTGTGTGTGTGTGTGTGTGTGTGTGTGTGTGTGTGTGTACACTGACATGTTGTCTCTGTGTTGATCTACTGTGTGTTGATCTGTTACCTGCCGGCTTCAGCCAGAGCTAGTGGTGGCAGTGCTGCTACTGTGACTACTCGATGTGCTGCAGGCGTCTCTTCCAGTGTCACAGCACCTTCGACGGGTCAAGCTGATGAGCCCGCTGAGAATTTGCACACATCATCGAATGAAAATGGGAGCGAAGAAGGTATGGATGATGGTGCTGAGTCCCCGGTGGATACTGGTGATATTGTCGCTGTAGCTGCCGCCCCAGCAACAGAAGGCAGTGAAACGGAGCAACAACACACCGCTGCCGTACTTAACCCGCTGGGAACACACCCTGCTATGGTGGAGATTGGGGAAACCCCCTGTTCTGTGTGCAAGCAGTGCTTCCCCTCGCTGGAATCACTCAGCCGGCACCTGGAAACTCACATCAGTAGGTTTCAAGTTGTGATTGTGTGTCACTGTGTGTGTCACTGTGTGTGTCACTGTGTTCGTCACTTTGAGGAAAGGGACAAGGGGATCTAGTATGGTGTGTGGAATGATAGCAGGCTGAATGTCGACTGGCCCTGTGCTGACACTGTGCTACAAGTGCATGTTCACATTGTGCATCAGTAGTGTTGCCTATAAATTATATCATACTCTTATCTTATTATAGAGAGGACAGGAGACATTTAGTCAGTGTTACATGTATGAATAGCCACCCACCACTGTAACTACCGTGTTTTCCCGTTTATAAGTGGTGATAAGTCGAAGCTCCATACTTGGAACCTCAATTTTGTAAAAGGTCAACTTCTATTCGAGAAATACGGTAACATGGGCAACAACTAGGCGCTAAGCTAACAGAGTACTGAGACATGCAACTCGCTGACACCAACTTTCATTAGACATTGGAGTTTCAGTTGGGTGCGTACTGTCCAGTAGGTTACTCGGTCTCTGCAGTAATCTTGCAACCCGGGGTGCTTACGAGAAGACTCACTTTGCACATCTAACTAGTTATTGTTATGCTGCTTTATTACGCGACCTGTTTTATTATTATTCAGAACCACCACTTACCCACCCCACCGCTTAGGAGCTGCATCCCCTCTGCGCCTTGATCCAAGAGGGTGGCGGCGTTCCTGCGGATGCGGAAAACTGGGCCTTTGGCCGAGTCTCACGCGAACCGTGAATTTTTTATTTTTTTTATTTTTTTATTATTGCAGATCAGTGCTCATGGAATGCCAAGCAGCGTGGTGTGTTCGTGTGTGAAGTGTGCTACAAGGAGTTTCCCTACCGTCTCCAGCTGATACGGCACTATCTCATGCACTCCGACGTCCGGCCGTACCAGTGCAGCTTCTGCGAGAAGCGGTTTCGCGAGGAGCGTACTCTCAACAAGCACGTCGTGCACCATGCCAAGGGCAAACTGCACGAATGCCCGCACTGTGACAGGAAGTATCTGTCGCGCGACTCACTACTCTATCACATCTCTAAACACAAAAGTAAGTGATGTCCAGTCGACACATGCCTTTAATAACACAATTGCATGCTAGCTCAGGTCTGAGAGAGTACACACTAGAAAACAGGTCAGTTTGGAGTCCGGGAAACCGCTGCTCAAACTGCACTGGCTCTATGCTTCATAGTTGTATAGTTTATTTCGACCAATAATTTTTTCCCCTGGACTATGTTGTGCTGCTGAAGTGCTGAGTGATTCTTTGAGGACACTGGCTATACTTTCCTGAGCACTCGCAGACTCCAGTGCAGCCGTTTACACTCACTCACTCACTGGCTCTACTCTGATCATTTGAAAGCTATGACGTATAGAGTCAGTGGTTGAGCAGCGGTGCAAATGAAATTGTCACTGTTTGAGCTTCACTCCGAGTCACCATCGCTCAATTCCTCAGAGCTCAATTCAACAGAACTGACAGTTCAATCAAAGTTGCCAGTTTTTTTGTTTGCGAATGAAGGAGCTATGACATCATCATTATGCCATGATTCATGTGCCATCATAATTATGTCATGATTCATGAGACTTCTTGCTGTGTGTTTTGCTATTCAGCCCCTACGCTACGTCATGTGTGCAAGCTGTGTGGCAAGGCATTCCGTAACCCTAGCGACCTGTCGCGACACGACCAGGTACATGCCAAGGTGGCGCAGCACACGTGCAAGATCTGCGACATGGCCTTCAACAAGCGCAGTGAGCTGGTGTTCCATGCCGTCGACGTGCACAAGACATCAGGAGAAATGAAAGGTGAGTAGCTGCATGCAGGGCGATGGCGCTGGTGGTGGATGAGAAACAGCTCCCACTAGCTAGTGTCTTGTGGTGTGTTGCATGTGCCAGGTGGAGAGCATACATCTGCATGTGCGTCTGTGTGTGTGTTTGGTGGAGGAGGGGGGTATGCGTATAGAGCACCATTGGAATTCATGGTAGGAGCAAGCGAAGTCAAAGAACGTGCCGTATAAAAGTCCAGGCGGGAGCAACAGAGTTGGCCAAGTGCCAGCTGTGTGGATTAGACAGTTACCATATTTTCCGGAGTATAAGCCGCGACTTATACTCCAGTGTGGCTTATACTCCAGTGTGGCTTATACTCCAGTGTGGCTTACACTCCAGTGTGGCTTATACTCCAGTGCGGCTTTTACTCCAGTGTGGCTTATACTCCAGTGTGGCTTACACTCCAGTGTGGCTTATACTCCAGTGCGGCTTATACTCCAGTGTGGCTTATACTCCAGTGTGGCTTACACTCCAGTGTGGCTTATACGCCAGTGTGGCTTGTACTCCGAAAAATACAGTATTAGATAGTTATCTGACACCAGTCTTGATCTGTCTCATTCAGATCTTGTCTGCTATCATTGCTATAAGAGAACATCTGTGGTTGCACATCCAGTGCTTCTCTTGCGACGGGCGTGTCCTTTTTCTGCACCTTGTCCTCACCCACTTACTGAGGTGTGGTGAGCCCATAAGTGGGATCATTTTTCAAGTCCACCCAGAGTTAGGGGATTTCAGGGGGTGTCGGCCGTTGGGCGGTTCAATAGCCCATTGAGTCATCTTTCCAAGATTCCTTTTGAGTCTCTCTCCCCTCTCCCGTGGAGACCCACGTGCCCAGTTATGGCAGTGAGCAAGTACAAGTAGGTGTGTGTGTGTGTGTGTGTGTGTGTGTGTGTGTGTCCAGCTTCATTTGAACCGGTCGTTGGACACTCTGGAAACTCTACTACAAAGGTTATAGTGGAATGCGTTGCTGCCACTGTGAGCGACAGCGGTGACAACAACTTCTCTGCTGATAACACCGCCAGTAACAGCAGCAGCCGCAGCAGCAACGACAACCCCGGTGATAACTGCAGCGCCAGTAACAGCAACAGCAGTGCTGGAGAAAGAAACACCAGCGACATCACCGCCACAATCACAACTCCTGCCACCGCCACCACCACCAGCAGCAGCATCAGTGACAGCGGAAACACCAACATTAGTGAGAACATGGGCAGTAACACTATCCCCCTGCTGCCTTCAAATAGTGCCGTCACAACGGTCACTTTCAGCGTTCTATCACCATCACCTGGCAGTGGCGTGGCAGTGCCATCTGTAGACACCATACCGGTAATCGCTTCCAGTAGCTCACAACCTGAACATGCTAGCCTGGAAGCCATTAATGACAATGGGTCAAAGTCAGCAACAGCACAAGTGAGCGATGGTGATGGTGATGGTGATGTAAGTGGCAGCAGTGGGACGACTGCCACGGACAATGCTGCTAAAAAGTCTACGCGTACCAGTGCTAGTAGGGTGTGTACAGAGTGCGGAAAGCAGTTTAAGTCAGCGCAAAGTCTCTACAACCACCGCCTCTCGCACGACTTCATCAAAGCGCAGCAAGCGTTGGCCGCCAAAGGGATTTTCCCCTGTGCTGTCTGCAAACAGACATTTGACTCGCTGGAGGTGCTCACTCGCCATCTACTAGACATACACACCGGTAAGTTGTTCTAGTAGTGACCTGTGTTTGTGGCCCGGGCCGCGTGCAATCACTGACAAACATGAGTACGGTACTAGACGTGCAATCACTGACAAACATGAGTACAGTACTAGACGTGCAATCACTGACAAACATGACTACGGTACTAGACGTGCAATCACTGACAAACATGACTACGGTACTAGACGCTGAGCACTGGACTGCGCTTACTTGTGCTTGTGGTCCGCGTGTAATCACTGAGAATATGAGTACGGTATTATATAGCAGCAGAGCATTGCACTTACATTTGTTCAGAGAGTCACAACTTGCCTAGCCCCGTTTAGCTCAGTGACACCTTGCTGGCGTTGTTCTGCTCACGCCTGGCTCATGTTTGCAGTGGCGTAGATAATTATGCAGTCTGCACTGTGCAATGTGCAGTCTCTTTGTAGTGTTTGTCTCAACTGAGTCCGCTCCCATGTCGACGTCCGTGCTGCCGCTGTCAAATAGCTGCTAGTACCGTAAAATCCCGCCAGAGCGCCCCGTCTCTCCCATCCGCCCCTCCCTGACTTCTTGTCAGGGACGTGATTGATTGTATCCTCGTATGACTCTGGCGCAGTCTGTGATGCCGTACTGCACTGCAGACGCGTGCTCGACCCCGTTGGAAATGTACGCAACAGTGCCCACCCTCCTGACCAGGGATCGCACAAACCCTGCGTTTTGTCGGGTCTGTACGACTCCTGGCTCTTGACCTTTGGTCGGTGTACGAGATGCACGAACAGTTTTCGTAGGGTGAGTACTTTTTCATGTAGCACTGAATGCAGCAAGTAGGACTCGCCCATCCGCCCCTCCCCACCTGAAGCGTCGAGGAGGTAGGGGCGCTCTGGCGGGATTTTACGGTAATTGTGACTATCAGTATCATGTGTTTGACTTTCCACAGTGTGCGGGCTATAGCTGCATGTAATAAAGGCAGTCCACAGCGCATCTGGCCCATAACATTGAAAAGAGGTCACAGTTGCACTCTCTCTGTCTGTCTCTCTGTCTCTCTGTCTGTCTCTCTGTCTCTCTCTCTCTCTCTGTCTCTCTCTCTCTCTCTCTCTCTCTCTCTCTCTCTCTCTCTCTCTCTCTCTCTCTCTCTCTCTCTCTCTCTCTCTCTCTCTCTCTCTCTCTCTCTCTCTCTCTCTCTCTCTCTCTCTCTCTCTCTGTGTGTGTGTGTGTGTGTGTCTCTGTGTCTCTCTCTGTGTCTCTGTCTCTCTCTCTGTCTCTCTCTGTCTCTGTCTCTCTCTGTCTCTGTCTCTCTGTCTCTGTCTCTGTCTCTCTCTCTCTGTCTCTCTCTCTCTCTCTCTCTCTCTCTCTCTCTCTCTCTCTCTCTCTCTCTCTCTCTCTCTCTCTCTCTCTCTCTCTCTCTCTCTCTCTCTCTCTCTCTCTCTCTCTCTCTCTGTCTCTCTCTGTCTCTCTCTGTCTCTCTCTGTCTCTCTCTGTCTCTCTCTCTCTCTCTCTCTCTCTCTCTCTCTCTCTCTCTCTCTCTCGCTCTCGCTCTCGCTCTCGCTCTCCCTCTCGCTCTCGCTCTCGCTCTCGCTCTCTCTCTCGCTCTCTCGCTCTCCCTCGCTCTCGCTCTCTCTCTCTCTCTCTCTCTCTCTCTCTCTCTCTCTCTCTCTCTCTCTCTCTCTCTCTCTCTCTCTCTCTCAAGTGTTCTGTGCTCTTCTTCTCTTCATCTCTGTCTAGGTTGTCCAGACTCCAGTGAGACCAGATCTGTTTATACGTGTGAGGTGTGTAGCAAAGACTTGAAGAGCAAGTATGTGTTGTTGCGTCACTACCTCACGCACGCCGGTGTGCGTCCGTTTGAGTGCAGCATCTGTCACAAACGCTTCACGGAGGGCCGTAATCTCAACCAGCATGTGCTGCTGCATACACAGGCAGATCTCTATGAATGTACCATGTGCAACAAGAAGTATTCCTCCAAGCACTCTCTTCTCTATCACATGACCAAGCAGACCAAGCATGCAGGTTAGTAGTCCTGTCACATGTCCGAACATGCAGGTTAGTAGTCCTGTCACATGACCAAACATACAGATTGGTAGTCTTGTCACATGACCGAACATGCAGGTTAGTAGTCCTGTCACATGACCAAACATACAGATTGGTAGTCTTGTCACATGACCGAACATGCAGGTTAGTAGTCTTGTCACATGACCAAACATACAGATTGGTAGTCTTGTCACCTGACGAAACATGCAGGTTATGATTGTCAAAGAGCATCTTCAATATCACTATAAGGATGACGAGCTCAATTCAGCTCGTCATCCTTATACTTATACAGTCAGACCTCGCTTAACCGCACACATCCGTTTTCCACAAAAATATCCGGATAGGCGAGGGAACCGGATAACTGAACACACATACTCTATATGCATGTGGCACATCAAGATGGGCGGCATCGTACATACATGTATGCGGGTCCTATGCAGAACAACTAGGGTGCACAATATGTAAAACAAGCGAGAAAAATGACAAGTGCATGCAACTGAGTGCTATCCGCATGCATGCAGCAGGTCAAGGACCTCATTTGTTTGTACAACTCCCTGGTTCTAGCTTCTGCAAGCCACGTGCAACCGGATACGACGAAGCTTTTTGTACATATTTCGACCAGTTTGTACACAAAATCATCATGCACCGGTATGCGGATCGCGAGGTCCGGTTATGTTGTATGCGTAATGTATGCTGCACATCGGTAACCAATGATTTTCTTCCGGATGGCGAGGGATCCGGGTAAAGGAGGACCAGATAAGCGAGGTCTGACTGTAGCGATATCATAATTGTTGTCTCCTCGCTGTTTGTTTAATGCTTCTTTAAACACGTCAAGTCGAGAACATCTTTGTTTCTTTAAAATTCTTTTCTTATTTTACTGAAAATCGTTGTGCGGTTATATGGCAAACGGGCTGACCCAGCCCGAGGCATCTAGAGCCCCCAGCTAGCCCGGCTGGCCCGTTTGGCATGTTTTAACACTCACAGCGAGTTTCAATTTGTTGACGTTTATGCCAGAGACCTCTGCCCCCCTCCCCCCCCCCCCCCCCCCACACACACACACAGCTGTCAGAGAGTCTGGGCTGGAATTGCACATGTACATTATACCCTAAGACGAAGGATGCTATGGCCACCCAGAGGGCCATTGTATATTCCTTTTGTCTGCACCTGTATTCTCCCCTGTGCTATATTCGTACTGACCAACCCCTCAAATGACAAGCCCTTGACAAGCCATGGTAGTTCCCTTGATTTCAGCTAAAATCCCTGGATACACCCCCCCCCAAAAAAAAACAGGAAAACGGCGTTCGCCCCGATCGGAAGTGTGCCGATACAGGACGCATGGTGTTGCAGGTAAACCAGACCACGGGTGGGGAAAAACATAATACTTAATAGGCTGAGGCAACAAAAGAAAGTGCACATAGCTGGTCCTGGACTTCCAAGAGTACGTGCAAAAGCAACATGTGGGGCCTGAACTTCCACCGGATGGAGAAAACAGTGTCTAATGGCCCCTGAACGAGAATAGAAAGATGAATAGGAAAAAACGCAAGCAGAAATAAACAGCAAAAGCAAAGAAAAGCAAAAAGGGCAAAATGGAACGTAGGGCCTGAACTCCCACTACAACACAACAGCGATAAGAAAAAGATCAGGACTTGAAAAGGAGAAAGAAAGGAGTGCAGCTATATCAGTCTGAATGTGCACAAGGAAACAACAGCAACCGGATTTTCCAAAAAGCAAAGGCATTGCATATGGGGCGTGAACTCCCGCCACAAGAGAAAAAAACCGATATCAGGACTTAGAAACGAAAGAAGACAAAGAGGATCACAGGAGATGGGCAGAGGCTGCATCCTCATCACTGGTAACCAGGTTTCTGAAGGCTGAAGACTGGCCATTGTGGCTTTCTTGGCATGACTTAGAAACTGGGGCCTCAACAGTGAGGTACTCTGATGGCCCCGGGACCGAGTGCTTGTACTAACAACTGATAAGGTTGCTTGTTGTTTCTGGCTTCAAGTAGCTTCGCTAGCTCGTCTCAATGTTCTTGACAATACTAAAAAAGCGCTCTGGATCAGCATGTGCATGTGGGAGAACCAGTGCCACCTTCGCCAGCTTACTCAGATTTGCAAATCGAAGCTGGGTTGTGTCTTCAGGGTGAGTCAACTTGTTCAAAGAAGACCAGAACTAATTGAGGCTTTCACCAACGGCCGGCAGCACTGTCATCTGGCAAGCTCTTGTAGTCGAGCAGCTCAGTGAGGATGGCATCAATTTCTTCCGGTCACTGCTCTTCCAGTAGCCTGCGGCACAGGTGGTGATGACAGCAGCAGATGAAATCCATGAACGATTGGTCGGGTTGAGAAACGAAAGAGCACGGATGGTGGGATCGTTCAACGGAAACTTGTCAAGCATCTTCTTGACGCAGGCTTCGTAGAACCTCCGCGGAAAATTGGTTAGTGGAGAGGTCAAGAGGCTGCCAGATCAACTGTTGCGCTTCGTTCAAAATCGATCAACAGTACGTGGAGTTTCTAGTACTACAAGTACAGTCAGTCAGGTCTACCCTGTTACCTACTGCATGACCGAATGCGAGAGCTGTTTACAGGGCCAGCGCGCTACTAAAGTATTGTAAAGTCACGCGCACATCGAGTAGGTCTACTACCGTACATCGCGTACGGGCACAACCGCCCGTACCGCTTTTTTAAGAGAAAAAAAGGGGACTTTAGCGGCCAATCCCCGGACTTCGACAAAATGTCCATTTTCCGGGAGTTTGCATGAAATCCCCGGAACCCCGGGAGATTGGTTGATTTCCCGGGATTTTCCCGGGAAACTCTGGAGGGTTGTTCAGTATGTGTATTAAGTGTGTGTGCTTGTGCCTTTGCCTCTGTGTGTGTGTGTGTGTGTGCGTGTGTGTGTGTGCGCGCGCGCGTGTGTGCGTGTGTGTGTGTGTGTACAGATAAGATCATGCCATACGCGTGCCAGTACTGCGACAAGCGATTCCGTGCTCCTAGTGACGTGAGTCGCCATGAGCTCTGCCACACCAAGCTGAAGCCTCACGTATGCAAGATCTGCAACAAGTCCTTCAGCAAGAAGTGTCGCTTGACTTTGCATGAAATCAACGAGCACATGATATCCGGAGAAATGAACAGTGAGGGACCACTGCACCACTGCTTGCTTGGCGTTGTAATTGTCCTTGTTGTTCATTGTCATTGTCATCATCGTCGGCGTTGTTGTTGTTGTTGTTGTTGTTGTTGTTGTCGTTGTTGTTGTCGTTGTTGTTGTTGTTGTTGTTGTCGTTGTTGTTGTTGTTGTCGTTGTTGTTGTTGTGGATCTTATGTTAGATTTATTTTGTGTACTCAGTGGAGGGGAGGGGGAAAGAGAGAGAGAGAGAGAGAGAGAGAGAGAGAGAGATAAGAGAGAGAGAGAGAGAGAGAGAGAGAGAGAGAGAGAGAGAGAGAGAGAGAGAGAGAGAGAGAGAGAGAGAGAGAGAGAGAGAGAGAGAGAGAGAGAGAGAGATAGAGAGAGAGCAGAGAGCAGAGAGCAGAGAGAGAGAGGCTGTCTTTCTCCTGATGACTTTCTTTGTGTGATTGTTTCTTGTTCTGCCATCAGCTATCGCCATCTCCCATGAACCGCTACTGACCGCAGCAAGCCATGCTGCAACTTGTAATCCTATCTCTGAAACAGACAAGGACATGTCTGCCATAGAGAAGGAAATATCTGCAATAGACGAGGACATATCTGCAATGGAGAAGGACATGTCTGCAATGAGTGATGAGACGTCTGTGGTTACCAGTGGACCATGTGCAGGTGGTGACGACATGTCTGCACTGGACCGGGAAATGCCTTCCCTGGACAAGGAAGCAGCAGTTGTCGAAGAAGTATCCGCGATGGACAGTGAAACACTTGCAACGGCAATGGGCGACGGAATGCCTACAGTAGACGCGGACATGTTAGTGGTGGACACAGAAATGTCTACAGTGGATGCCGAAGAAACACCAGCATCGGTAATTGATGAAACGTCAGTTGTGATTGAGGGAACACCTGCATTGGACAAGGAAACTTTTGTAGTGGACAAGGAAATGACACACGCAGACTCAGCAATGGATGATGAAACGCCAGTTGTGGTTGAGAGAACACCTGTATTGGACAAGGAAACCTTTAAAGTGGACAAGGAAATGACACACGCACACTCAGCCAATGTTGTAGATGAAATCGTAATGGACTCTGGCAGACGCCTGACGTGATATTACGTCCTGCTGACTGGAGCTTCCCGAATGACAGGTTTCCTGAATGGCTTGCTGACCGAATGGCTGATTGCCTAACTGGCTGACTGCTTGACTGGCGGAGTGCCTGAATGACTGCCTGAACGGCTAACTGCCTGAATGGCTGACTGCCTGAACGGCTTACTGCCTGACTGGCTCACTGCCGCAACGGCTTACTGCCTGACTGGCTCACTGCCTGAACGGCGTACTGCCCGAATGGCTGCCTGACTGCCCGAATGGCTGGCTGGCTGACTATAAGTACATGTCTGCATACGTAGCACTTCAGCTCCGTTTGTATCCTAGCTAACTTGTTAGGCAAGTTCACACACCAACTTGGGTGTTTTAGAGTGACGAGCTCAGATTTGTAGAGCTTCCTTCTTCCTTGCAATGCTGATCTGAGCAAACGTCTAGCATAGAAGTTATCACGAACATCATGTACCTCAAAAGAAGCTCTTGTGATTGGTTTCTTTGTCTCGTGATAACAATTTAACAATAATTTAGGATTTTTTAGATTTTTGTTGCTGATTAGATTTGCTGCGCTTGCCGTCTCGCAGCCGCAACACTGCTCGTCCACAATTTTCTGCGTGGATTTAGTTATTTTCTGTTCAGATGTATTTGTTTTTAACCGGCAGGAACCTGCACCTATTCTACCTTACCTATCGTGTACATTTACATGTGATTACTTTTATTTTCATTACTTTTAAAAGCTCATAGCTGTACTGAGGAAGCCTAATTGGCCGATACAGCTAACTGTCTACAGCATTGGGTGCACGTGAGTAGATAGAACTGGATCAGTAGCCCAAGGGCATGTTTGATTGGTTGGATCTGGATCCAGATCGATCGGATCCGCTCAATATATGCACGTTCGTTTCAATGAATCCAGATCCAGATCCAACGGATTTGGATCGGACCAACCCTAGTCCGGCTTGTGCTCCAGTGCGGCTTTTTCTCCGGAAAGTACTGTCGTTCCGTGCATGCACCGTTCGATTACACAAATTCCGCCGTCAGAATCTACGGAATGTTCCGAACCCTATTCTGTCTATTCTTTTAAAGAGAGGATGGAATTTCTTATTCTCCCACCAGAAATTACAGTCATTGACGAACGCTCCTTTAGGGGCCTTCCGTAAATACCGATATTTATTTAGAAACGAAAACTAGTCGTTTCTCTTCAACCCCCCCTCCCCCCTCCCTGAGAAACGAACACATACAAATGGCACATAGTGTCGATATTTTTCGTTTTTTTCTGGACATGCTCACGCATGCAAAATGCACATCGATATTTTTCGTACCCACGCGAACCTGCATGGTCCGGTTGCGATTTTTATGTGGTATGGCACGATTTAATGCGTGATGAATTCCAGCCGTTCGTTTACATGGCTGCAAGGGCCGTTCATTCTGGTTACTATGGTATTCGAGAATTTTCAAATCTGGGTCCAGAGAATGTGTAATCGAACGTGTCTGTGTTTTTTCCTACTGGGTGCAATAACAACCACTCCGGTTGGCCTCGTAGACCCGGGTGCTCGAATGAGACACAGGGTACCAAAACAGAAACACCCTGAAATTGTACCTAAACTTGTTCCGATTTCGTTTAGTTTTCACAAATACCATCAACATACAGCCTGCTAACGGTATGCCAAATTTCAGCGCTGCCCGGTAAACACTTTTTGAAATACTCGCGACCCACTTTTTGCTGGGTCCTTGATTCGAGGATATGGGTCTCCTGTACGGTGCTGCCAAAGACCTGCTGAATCTGCGGCTCCACTGACCATCTTGCTCTCAAAAATGAAGTAGTAAGTTACTACTCCCTGCCCTCAACTGCCACACCAAGCGTAGACGATGGCAGACCCGTGTGCTTGAATCGGAGACGATCTGACGAGTTCGCTGTTTCTGATTCGAGCACCCAATTTTCAAATAAAAAATCCGAAGGAAATACGACAATTTTACTGCGTCTGTAGCTTGTGTTGTAGCGCACCCAGGTTCTGAATTCCTGCTGGGTGGGTCAAGCCAGACTCTCTTCCCTGTTCCATCGCCTCTCCAAAAGTATATTCTGACGTTGAGATTTACAGATGAGAAATTGCACACCTGTCAAATCGTTTCTGATTCGAGCACCCGGGTCTACGTTGAGTCTTTGCATAAAACAGTCAAGTGAATTGCTTGCTCGCCAAGCTGCAAAGTGCAAGACTGATGCGCTCACCTAGCAACAGCAGTGAACAATGGTTTGCTGAGGCCCTGCAATGCTGCTTACCGTATTATCTCTAATATAAACACAGTCTCCAATAATAGCACGTCTGGCAATAATAGAACGCGAAGGACTAAAGGGACGCTGGTCTAGGAGTGCGGCAGTTTTTGCGCGCCATGGCAACGAGGAGTGCGCGCACGCGAGAGCCACCAGCGCAAAGCGCTGCAGACTTGCGGCGGGACAGCGAGTGAGACACTTGGCCGTGACCCAGTACGAGTGCAGTCTTGACCAGGGAGCCCTACACATACCGGTATGTGTAGTATAGGGCTCCCTGGTCTTGAGCTACAGGAGGTAAAAAGTTACTCGATCGGATAGAGCGAAACTGAGCACCATGGGATGCGAGCAGCTGTTAATACTCCCGACCAGGGAGCCCTACACATTGTGTAGGCACCTTGCTTGACAGCAAGGAACGCTTTTTTTTAGAAAGGAAGCTTCTTCTCCAAAATTTAAAAAAAAAAATTAAAATTATTCCTTCTGAAACTTGACCTCGAAGCTGACTGCTGAATGCGATTAGGATTCCTGAAGATGCACCAGACTGATTCTGGCAAGCCGTCTGTCGTCTGGATATGCACTGTTGTTCGTCATGGTCAGCAATCTTCTTCGTTCGTCCTTTCGTTTTCGTTTTCCGCGTATTACTTCAATATTATTTTATTAGTGCAGTAATTGCCAAGACAGAAGACTGCAGTACGAACTCGTACTCGTAGCAGCAGCAATGCCAAGAAGAGCAGGCAGCGTAGCAAAAGCAGTCACAACAACGCAGACGCAATAACATTTTCAGCAGCCGTTCATCTCAGAGGGGATGCAGCGCCAAACTGCGAGGGTGGGGTGGTAACTCTCACAACCAATGCCTCCGCAGGTAAGTACTAGTAAAGCCTCTTGTGCGGGAAAAATGAATTGCACATATCATCAAACAAATTCAAATTCAGTAAACTACTTTGAAGTACAAAAATCAATTTAAATGCATGAATCTTCACTAGTTTGAGGGAAAGAGACAAACAGGAAAAGTCTGAACAAAAATGACTGTCACCACCTGGACTCGAACCAGGGACCTTCGCTTGAAGCCAGCGATGCTCTAACCACTGAGCTATGGTGTAGTCGTCATCCCAGCAGAGACTGTTCAACATTTTCTTCAGACTTCGTAACTTACACTTCCTGTGAATCCACGCAGGCGGGTGGGACGCAGCCCTCACTGTACCCACACACTTCACGTACACTCTAGCACGCGGGGAGCCCCAAGTCATAAAAATGCATGAATGTTAGTATTAAACACAAAAATATAAAGTAAAAATCAATTGGAACACAAAAAAGAGACAAAAACCCTAGGTAAAAGAGCCCACAGAAACATTACCGTACTGGCAAAGAACGGCAGCTATTTACAAAGGCCCTATTCCTACGCCTGTATGATGCCCGGGACCCTCTGATACAGATAAGTACTATTATATAACCCTGTTCTTACTCGAACATGCCTCCGGATAGCACACGACTTGTTGTTTTAGAAGACTGTATTATAATGTTTTACTCTGACTCTGATCGAAATCATCTTGCAGTACAAAGGAAAGTTCTGCCTCTCTCGAAGCAGAAGCGGAGATTCAAGAAACATTCAAATCAAAAGATTGCGCGAAAGCAGTGTACGCGACTACGCGCATCAGACGTGAATACAACATGAGAAGTGAAAGCAGTGTACGCGACTACGCGCATCCAGACGTGAATACAACATGAGGAATGAAAGCAGTGTACGCGACTACGCGCATCAGACGTGAATACAACATGAGGAACGAATGCGTAGTAGTATGATAATGCACAACAGTACAACAAGCAGTGCTGATAGACACATAAAACGGAGTGGCTCTGCACCATTATCAGTGGGCTGGATATAGACTGTACAAACCCAATACTAGTACAATACTAGTATTAGATAAACCTTGTTATAGTTCATACATGTTGTTAGTTTGACAGCATGAAACAAGGTGGAGGACACAACACCCAGCTGGAGAAACTAAAGAAGTCAGTTACGACTGCCCTTGAAGCTGAGAAGTTGTGTGAGCTCAGTCTGTGCGAGCGGTAGGTTCATTATCCAAACAAATGGCGAAATAAAAAGTTGCCAGAAGAATAACCTCTACAAATAACCACTTGTGTTATCCACATGTATCAACTACTTATCAGCATTTCAAAGAATATTCTGATTCTGAAAACAATCGTTTCAATGCTCGACCTTATTATAATGATGATAAACTGAACACAATTCAAGAATACTATAACTCAACACATAAGAGATTGGAACTCAGACGGTGAGCCAAGAAAAAATTATAACATGGAAAAATGTGGGCACAAGGCACTTTCATGCCGTGGAATGTCTCCGTGCTCCTTGTCAGTTTTGTGCTGGATTGTGCACGTCCGACTCTTCAAAATCTGGCTTAGTTGGTAGACTCAATCGCATAACTTGTGCCCACATTTGTCCATGTTACATAAGTGATATGAATGTTATCTAATCTGGCACTCAATGTGTTACATTTTGTGTGTTATCTTGCAATATCACGCGACTCAATATCACATCAGACTAATTATACCAAAGTTCCGTTCGTTTCTCTGCAGGGACTGGGAGGATGGGAGTTGAAAAATCCACAGCTGATGCAAACCGGATTTTTAATGTATGATGTATATGTGTTTTTTTTCTGCACCCTACTAGGTTCATCCTTAGCTACCCCACAGCTGAGTGCCATACTGGTCATGACGTAACTACAGAAACAGGAAAACTTGGAGCTGAGCCAAGGGCAAGGTAAGAAACTAAGAATCACTCCTGGACATCTGAGGCTTCATGCAAACGGTGATAACGGCACACTCGCCATGACTTTGTTTTGTAGGCTCTGTTGAGAAGCGACACTCCAACGCGTTCACCTGTGACCACCACGGCACAATGTATAGCGCGACAAGGCTGGTGTGATATTCAGTACTGAGAACGTGACCGCGGTCCGAGCAACAAACAACACCTTTGTGCAGTTGACAAGACCCTTGTTCACCCTTGACCATTCCTGGAGCAATATAAATCTAAATCTGCAAAAAAAAACTCTCTCTTCAGCTACTTGTTTTCTCCTGCAACCTTCTCCAGGACTGTGCTGCTTTTTAAAACTACTGCCATGTCCAGCAAAATCCAGCCGTATCATGCTCAACTAGGGTCAGGACCATACAGTTGTTGCCCACAGGGACAGTTGTCTGTGTACTGCTGCGGGGTAGATGTTTTATTTGGCTGGATTTCATCAACAACGACTACTTTACCATTCAAATGGTTGGTTGTTACCTGTGATCTCTGTGTTCTCTTTGTAGAACTTTATACCTGTGCATGGCCATGATCCCATGTACAAACAGCCCCAGAGAGTACCCATGCGTGCTGGCAGCTTACTCATCTGGGACCAGCGTGTGGCGCACGGCAGTCGGCCCAACAACAGCACGCGAGCAAGGTACGTCAGAACACTGCTACGTATATGAGTATTCGTGTGCGTGTGTGTATGAGTGTGCGCTCGTGT